CCTTAAATACAGCATGTTATAGTGATAGGCCTAATGATATACATATTTACACGTTACTAAATACATAAATGCTATAAATACACGCAGGCGTAGAACTAATGATGATGCTCTGCACACTGTCATTTGTTCGAGGTGAAAATCAAACCCTGCGACTTTTCATTATGATATAATAATATGAAATAATCGAAAATGTAATTCTTTTCTTCATTGGTTTATCCCGTTTATAGGCGCATTGTTCTCTCGGTAAGTCATTCAGTAATCATTATCATACTAGTTAAGACTTATTCCAGTCGACTGAATTTCAAGGTGACAAGGACTTAGGACGGCTCCTTGTCAAGACCGTTTCCCTCTACAGCTACGGACCCCCCAATCCTATCTGTGATCCTATCGTCACAGAGAAAATAATAATAAATTTGTTTAAATTTTAGGTAAATAATCATTGATCAAATAAATGATCGCAATAATAATTATTTTTTAAATTCAACTAAAAGTCGTCAACGTAAAAGTGTCCTTATAACAAAATAAAAAACACAAGAAAAGCTTACGTGGCAACACTAAGACACGCTAATCGAGGGACGGGTAGGTAATTGAAGCCATAACTCTGGCAACCCCACTTTGACATTTAGATTTTTTGCCGCGCAAAATGAATAAGTAGCTGCTATAGTGTAATTTGCGTTAGAGTGGGGTTCGTAGACACTTTTTTATTTATTTTTAGATTGAAATTGACTGATGTGTAAGTATCTAAGTTTAATTAGGCGCTTAGATTTCCGTGCAATCTTGATAGCTTTAGTTTGATTCCTGGATCAGTTTATTAAGGTTTTCAGTTAGATGTAGATAATACAGCTAGCAATATGTATGTTACTGATTTCTTTGTTTTAGTTTCAAATAAAGCGTTTTATTTTATCTTTATTATTTTATGTGTGTGTCCAATGCAAATGTCAATTTGACAGATTAGACGGGCCTGTCGGTCTATGGTGGTCCTGACTGCTAAGATAATACTGTGATGTGCACGATCATTATTCTATTTGTAGGTGTAATTTATCTATGATATATGTATGTAAGCTTTGCATACTGTATGTTGGGTATGTAGCTTAATACTTATACTATGCGAACGCAGCCTTAAAGTATGTCGTTACAATATGGACGATAGATTCAAGAGTGTTTTATGAGACGTAGTAGATAATAAGCTTGCTCGTGAAGTGAGTTATTTGATTTTATTATTTGTTTGATAAGAAGTAAATTTCATAAATTCATTAAGTTTAGTAAGAGTGTTGATCTACTAAAATATTGGAAGTAAAAACCTTTAAGTGTCGATTTTTCTATTTTTAGATAAATCAAATTGTGCGTTATTTGCTCTCATATCATCCAACATATTATATGTATATATTTAAACATATAACAGTACTTTTATCAGCAGTACGGTACCATTGTACAGGCTCTGCGTAGTTTGGAATCAGACGGCAGCGTGTCTGATTCCATATTATTTAAGTTTTTATTATTAAATGCACCTCTATCTACTTCTGTTACGAATTGACATCAATAAAAAAAAACATTTTATACATATGGGCCGTTTCGATAGGAATGATTCGGCCTAACAGAAAACCGCTATTAAGCAATTCTTTGAGCAATTCTTTGAGGATTTCGGAGGCTTAAACGCACTTGTGAGTTGCAAGATTCCATGGGTAGTGGTATCCACTTACCACCAGGAGACTGGTCTGGTCTTTTGCCTCCTGTCCCTTTAAAAAAAATTGGACTTTAAATTCAACATACTTCTATCTTTCGTTATGAATCTACATTCTTAATCATACTCCACTCCACTCAGCGGCCTGGAAACATAAAAACCTGAAACTCCCGGAAATTCATTCACTTAATTTCCCAAATCATCATTATGTAAAGCGTATTACAGGAAAAGGGAAAAATAAATCAAAAATATTCGCGAGCGAACCGCATTATGAAAAGAGGATAATAAAATATTAAAGGGTAAAACATGACCGTGGCTGGTAACCCTTCCCAACGGAAGCGGATATCATAACCTTGCTTTGCGGTCACAACTGTTCAACATTCTACTATTTTTCGCGAATATATTTGGCATGTTATTTTACAAAAAAAGTATAGTCTTTTGTTAGTCTCAGTTGCGGTTTTATTCACTTTAAATATGACATTAGGTATATGTATTATATATATGTATACATGTTTTTTACACCAATTTACTTAATCATAAATGTCAATAAAAGTTTTTGTTGGTGTAGTGGCTAGTATCTGGCAATCCGGGTGATGAGTTCAATTCCTTTACAGAGTGACATCAAACTGTGACTTCACACCTCACAGTGATGAGCACGATAAATTGTTCTATCTGGATGAAAAATATCTGTAATATTTAATGTTTAAGCATTTATCAGCTGCCTGATTGTCATGGCATAAGTCCTGCCTAATTTAAGACCACAAGGGCATGTAAAAAGTTATTTCGCTCATTGAACTACTAGCCTTAAGGACCGAACGTATACAATAGGTGGCATTATCCGATGACAATATAGGAATCTTGAATTCCTTGTAACAAACAAATGCATCGTGAATCAGTAGACTATAAATAAAACAAAAATAACTACTGATTTCTAAGTCGTCGAAATTCACCCGTAATTCATTACTTTTGACACAATATACATTTTCTTTAACGCACAAATCCCTTTGTTTAATATAAATAACAAACTCAAAAGAAATTCTAAATCCATCTTTATATTAACCACTAAATCAACAAAATGTATCACCTATCATCACACACTAAAACACCATCAATCAAATCACATTTTTTACCTAAACCCCATTCCAAATGACTCTATTACAAAAAGTCTAATAAAACCTCTATGGTCCTAAACAATTTTTGCATATGTCAACTCAGCAGAGGCTGGCAATAATTCACGCGCGCGTGCTATCTATCATGGCGGGAATTAACTGTCAAGCAGTAAAGCGGGATAAAATGGTCGCCGTTGTGAGCTTGTTTTAATTTTGTGGCATGATTTTGTATATTGGAGATGTTATAAAAAATGGCGGGCCGTGATCTGGTTTTTATAAACTAAGTTTCATCTCGATTAAAATGAAATATAATCAGTCTGATTGAACAGCAATTTGAAAATTTTGCTTTTAACTTTTTTATTTGTTATTTGCAGTTTATTTTTATGTCTTCTAATATAATTATGGTTTCATATCTAATTTTCTTTTAAAATTTCATTTACTTGAAGTTTGCTTTAGTATTACATAACAAAATAAATACCAAAAAAGACCAGATAGGTATGTAACTTTATAATAAATATCCACAAAAACGAAAAGCACAAGCACAGTATAGTATAATACTTCCTTAAGACTCAAAACTGTGTGTTCGTTTACCTTATCTTCTGAAATAATTGAACAAATCTTTTTACCCTTAAAAAGACGACTAGTTAATAACATTGATGATTAATCTCGTAGTTACTAGAGAGTAAAGGAGATAGATTTCTAATTGAAACCAATTTGAAAAACAACGCAGAGAACGTTACTCCAATTTTCCCACAGACAATAAAACTACTAATTTAAAAAAAAACATTCATAATTATACTTCATGACAAGAATAATCCATTAGACGACCCCTCAAAAAATCGCAAGGACTAAAAAGTCGCATTGGGTTCCCGCAGACCGCAATAGTTACGGCACGCGACGCAACATCCTTTTGCAATATACAGAGCGCTCGCCGCGATTAGTCGCGCTTCCGATTTTATTGTCGTAAAAAAAGCCCATTGGCAAATTGTTAAGTTATAAAATGTAATTTATAGAAATTACCACGGATGTGTCATGTTTGAGAAGCGTAGAATCGGGAATAATCAGGCATTTTTTTGTGCATAAATTCTAACAGAAATTATTCTTAGTTAATGAGGACTATCTTCCAGCCCTTTATAGATTATCTGATTGATTATATAATACATATATAACATAGAATTATATTTATTAATAAGAAAAGATTTGTTAATCCGTCTAGCTTAACTCTTTTTTTTTTTTTCTTTTCTTTTTAAAAAGACAACTCCCGCACTAGGAATAAATCCTGTGTCGCGGGGGACTTTACAAACATACATGAAACGGACACAAAGTACACCCAGACTCAAAACAACAATTTTTGGATCACACAAAGTGTTATTCCATGTGGGGTTTGAACCCACAACACTCGGCGCAATAGGAAGCGGTGTGGCGACCGCTTAAACCACTACGCCATCCGTGCAGTAACTAAACGCTTGTTGCTAGGAATGGTGGCTAGGCTAGGTAAGCGCTGGATAGAAATCGAACCCATAATCACTTGACCGAGAATCCAACGTTTCAGCTGTTGCTCTATCGCCGCTACAAGTTATAAAGTTACTAAATATTATTGTCCGTGTGGTGACGGATTAAGAATACAGATTCTCACCACCCCTATTCATCCCGTGGGTGTTGTAAGAGTCAACTAAGGGAAAAAACTATGCAGAACAACAACACTGCAGAGAGAAGGAGAACTTGACACAAACCCTATACCAACCCGTCTGACCAGCGTGGTATAGTAGGCCAAAACCTCCTTTCTAAGGAGAGGCTTATGTCCAGCAGTGGACTATTAAAGGCTGTTGATGATGACGATGATGATGATTGTTCACTTTGAACTGATTTCATCCTCACCACTTGGATAATTGGCACTTCACCACTGTGCGCTTTTAAAGACACTTTTTGCCTGGCACAGCCAATCTGTGGAACAAGTTATCGTCCCACAGATACGGTCTTTAAACCTTCAAGAAAAGAATGTACTCCTTCTTTAAAGGCCGGCAACACGCTTGTGACTCCTGAGTTGCAGGCGTTCATGGGCGGCGGTGGTCGCTTACCATCGGGTGACCCGTCTGGTTGTTCGACCCCTCCACCCCTCCTTCCATAAAAATAAACTAAAATTTACTAGTTACCAATTTATTTATTAAAATGAATATAAGGAATTAACGAGCGAGTTTTGTTGCCAACAGGATCGTCCGCAACAAAGCAGCGGAGAAGGCGAAACACGCGCACAATCAACAACAACAACAACAACAGGAACAAGAAATTAGTTCAGCTCAAGGCAGTGTTGTCTCTGTAAGTATTGTTCTTCTAACTAAACTGAAAAAACACTGAAACGTTTTTTTTATCTCAGAAAAACCCTATAAATTTTCTTTCTGATCTTTGTACCAATTTTCATTTAAATCGCTTCAGCGGTTTAAGCGTAAAGACGTAACAGACTGACAGATACACTTTCGCATTTTTAATATTAGTATGGATAGTATGGATTGTAGCAGCCATTTAAACCATACAGCAATAGGATACTAGGCACTGAGCAGAAATCAAAAGCGTTACCTTGCCTTTACTTACAATGGCTGTATAAATTACAGGTATTCATTTTTTCTCTATTCTGCAGGTAATAACCCATGCAGGCAACGCTCCTGGCACGACGGCAGTTCTTTCGCCTACGACTGACCAACATGTAACCAATACTGGAAGCTACAGCATCAACGGGATCCTGGGTATCGAACAAGTGGAAGGTCTGCACAACGGGAACGCGACAGGCCTGAAGAGGAAGAGACACGAAGACCAAGGTAAGAGAGTAATTCTGTTTAGAAAGCATGGAAATAAAAGTCAATCAGATTGCTCTATTGGTCTAGTGGTTAGTGACCCTGACTGCTAAAGCGGAGGTTGTGGGTTCAATTCCTATTCCCAGGACGAATAATTGTGTGATAAGCACGGTTATTAGTTCTGTGTTTTCGTGTAATTTATCTATAATATGTATGTATTTAGAAATATTTAAGTATGTTTATCAACAGTCTAGATATTACACACTTATACACTACACTAGGCTAGACACTGATACACTAGATATACAACACACTTCAAAGATGGTTTTTATCTAAAAAAAATTAACCACAATGAGCCACAGCGTGACAGGGTACACCTTGTTATAAATATTATTATTAGTAGTACCTATGAGGTACTTAAATGGGTCCTTTTTTAACAAAATAATTACAATTTGATGCGTCAGCATTGGGAGGGTTTGCCCAAAATCGAATCGAGTTCTATGTCTAGCAATGGACTGCGATAGGCTGATGAGGAATCATAATTTTAAACCTTAAAGCTTAGTATTAAGTTTGAGACTTTGGAACTAGGATTTTGGGAGTTAAGTTTAATTTGATAGAGGATTATGGAGTTAAAAAGAATACTGATAATTAGTCTAATACCTCAAGATTTACATTAAAACAAGAAAGAAGTTGTACTTAAAGGCCTGTTTACGTTAGCTTATAAATTATGATTCTCATACTTCACAAGTAACTGTGAAAATCTTTTTAAAATCTCATTATAAATTATGAAGAGTACTCCCCGGCGAGTTCTAAAGTGACTCAAGCATAAGTCAAGAGTTGAATTTAATAGAAGTTCTAATAATAAGGTCACCATTTGTGCAGTAAACGTAATAGCTCAGTAAATCTTGGCGGTCTTGGTTCGTGCTCACCACTACGGCTGAAAGCATGATAGGGATGTACCGCGCTGTAAACTTTGTCGATATTCTCTAATATCCATGTTTGACTTGTTATAGTGATGGTCAAATAGATCGAAAGCAACTATAGTTGTAATTAGTGAAGATTTAAGAGATGTCCTTTTCTTTTTTCTTTTGAAAACAACAATTAACTTGAAAGCATAAACACGTTTTTTTTAGAAAAATAAATATGTTAAAGATAGATTATGTGACACTTCGTGTGTTTAAGAGACAGAGCTTCAAAAAGGAATAATGTTATTATGATAATAGGTATTTGGTTTAGGTATGTATTGTTGTAACTTGACGTTGTCAATATTTTTATATGATTTCTATACGAGAAAAACGTAAGCGAAACCTAGTAATAGTGAAACTAACATGGCTTTCAAGTAATTAACAAAGATGGTATTTTTGTGTCTATTTGTGAAAGTAATTTTATGTAATAGAAATATAGTTTTCTGTTGCGCAGCACACAATTATCCTACTCACAAATAATGAGGCTAATTATACCTACAGGTTTTATTTTTTAACTCGTGTAATTACATAAAATTATAACAAGAAATAATATGTGATCAAGTAGCGTGCTTTACATTTATTAATTGCCCTCGAGAATAATATAACGAAATGTTGTTATGTACCTTTCTAATTACACTACGAAATAGAAAAACAAAAACATCGATAATATTTATCGACTATTTCCCATCCCTATTTAACTTTAGGGAGCATAAAACGAGGCGCATCGAGGGAGGCCACGAGTAGTTCACTGCCTATATTCAGCTAACATCACTTACAACTTTTCCTTACTCTACGTGGAGGCTCTATTGCGCCCTAGCGGCTTGTATGATGAAGGGTTTCAAAGAGATATAAACTTTAAAGGCTTTTTTAATTGTCTCCTTCTTACAACTAAAATAAAAATTCCATTATCCTTTCTGAAATTAAAATTGAGAAGAATTGGAACGTTCTATCTTACTAATTAAGGTAGCTTTTTAATTCCATTCCCACCACTTTAATCATTAACTCTCAACCACACTGAGTTTTTCAAGAAACTTGGCCTCGCACATCAAATATTGGGACCAAATTATCCCTTACGGTGCCGTCAAAGTACATGGTAATCACTTAATAACGTCTGCTGGTTTACTCCATACTAATATTGTAAATGTGAAAGTGCGTCTATTTGTCTGTTACCTCTTCACGATTAAACCGCTGAAACGATTGAGATGAAATTTGGTATAGAGATCATCCGAGTTCCGGTAAAAAAAAAAGATTTTATCCCAGAATTATCCTTAAAGGGGGTGAAAAGGGGGTTGGAAGTTTGTATTAGGAATCAATAACCGCTGAACTGATTTGAAATTTGGTATAAAGATACTTTGATTCTTGAGGAAGACGGTGGGTGGAACCGCGGGCAAAAGCTGTATATTATAAAAAAAGAAATTTCAGTAGCTCTATTGCAGAAAAAACCCATGAGCACAATATCCCTTATACTGGAGTCTCTGAATCTGACCACAAACTCAAATACGACCTTGTACAAATAAAATTTTTCCTTACAGATGAAAACCGGGACTTCAACAGCCATTCGGAGGATGATGTCAAGAGACAAAGAAGTCACTACAATGGCGACCAAATATACTCCAATGTAAGTGTTTATTTACAATATTATTACACATTGGTTCATCTTTACAGTTCAGTTGAACTTTCCTTAAAAAGATTTCATTATTTTAACAAACTATGCATGACCGCACGGATGGCGTAGTGGTTTAAGCGGTCGCCACGCCGCTTCCTATTACGCTGAGTGTTGTGGGTTCAAACCCCACATGGGACAACACTTTGTGTGATCCACAAACTGTTGTTCTGAGTCTGGGTGTACTTTGTGTTCGTTTCATGTATGTCTGTAAAGTCCCCCGCGACACAGGATTTATTCCTAGTGCGGGAGTTGTCTTTTTTAATAAAAAAAAAACTATGCATGCGTCTCTGTAGTGTTTAATATACAGTATCGATAAATATAAATAGATGCGTTTTTCAAATATAAGTTCTACTTACATTGCATCCATACTAATATTATAAATGTATCTGTCTCTCTGTCTGTTTCTCTCTGTCACGCTTAAACTGCTGAACCGATTTAAATGAAATTTGGAATAGAGATAGTCCGAGTCCCGGGCAAGGACAAAACTACCCTAGTTTTTATCCCAGAAATTATCCTTTAAGGGGGGGGGGGGAAGGGGGGTGGAATTTTGTATGGAGATACTTTGCTTTTTACCGCTTTAACCGGCATTTACGCGGACGGAGCCTTAAAAAAAAAGCTGGTTAAAAATATGATAATCTAGATGTAATATTTTTTCAATGTAGTCAATAGTAGAATTCATTCAATGAATGAATGGAAACACTTGACATATCGATCACTTGCTCTCAACGGCCTAAATGACATCCAATACAACTAAAAAGCGAATCACACACGATTAAATACTATTTTTATTCACGTAACGCGTAATGGCGCCATTAGCGCGCGCCCAACGCCATTCGTCACCGCACAAGATGGCCGACGGAATTTACGCGCCAATTCGCGCCGTCGGCCGTAAACGATGATTGTTAATTTGGTTGTTAATCTGTTGTCTTTATGGTCATGGGTTTTGGAAACTTTGGTCTGTACTAAGAAATGGATTTCAAGCTTTTTGCGACAAGCTAATAACAATTCTTGACAAGAAAATAAAAAAGCTATAATTGATGAAACATTATAGCTTTAGGAAAGGAAAGCTTAAGAAAAGTGTTACTCGAAAAGATGCCACACTATCATTTGTCAAGAACCTCCGCCTTTGAAAGTCTGTTAATTATAAGTAACTTTTTGCCATGTTTTGAACTACTTAGAACCTAAAACTTTAAATTTTCTTAGACTTAAGGCGCACTTAAAGCATTTTTTCTTAGGCTCCTGTTTAAAAAAAAAACTAGGTACAATTCCTAAACGTAAACTACTTCTGTCTTTTAATTACAACAAACCCAAAAATAAAAAAAATAACTTGAAAAATGGACTTAGCGAGACTTCTTAAAGTCTTCAATTGTATACAATCGAGAATTTTTTTGGTGTTATTAAGACACCTTACAACTCTTTAAGAGTTACACTTGCTGTATTATACCTGTTTTTATTTCAAAAGTTTATTTTCCTTTTAGCTCTGGTCATCATCAAAATGGAGTCTAAAGGACGAGTACAAGCTACTGTCAGAGCTTGGCGGAGCAGCGGGTGGAGCAACTGGATACTACGGGGAGCTGTTCGATGCACCTTATGAGCATGCAGCGCATCCGCATTATACACCTCACTCTGGTAAGTAATTCAAGAACATATTGTATATATACACAGGGATATACAATAACATATGCTAAGACAATGGTTGCAAAACTAGGCTTAAGAGTAAATAAAAACATCGTGGATTATTAAATAACTTCGCTTGATACCCATATAAAGGCTTTATCTAAATTTAACGTTTCTGAAAATTCCTTAAATCTTAGTGTTCAAAGAGAAATACTTAAATTAAAAAATGTATTTATTAAATACCTTAATACTAATGTTTTTTTTTAATATGTCAACAAATAACACATCACTATCTTATTATGTCATTATAATTATATTATTAAAAAAATCGTTTCATGTCTATGACATCCAGCTAAATTAAAATCGATTTTACCAACTTCGTAAAGCCCACGATTAACTCTGGTTTTGTCCATAACACGTACTATTTAAAGAAAAGGAGTTAATTTAGATTCCACGAGAAAGATTTAGGAAAGTCTTTAACACGTGTTATATGCCCCAAAATCCTATTTAACGGTTTACAATGTCCACAGAACATGCTACCACTGGACATAATAATGGCAGAAGGATGGGTGATCGGAGTAAGTTAAAAAAAAATACCCATTCGTTTTAAATGTACCACCGACAATCAGTCAACAAAAAAACAAGAAACTATTTGCGCTCAATTTCATTTGCTATGCGAATCAACGATAAGAAAGTTTATGTAACGGAACGCAAACAAATTTACTTCGATATGCTCCTATATCACGCGCCATAAGGCTTATTAATATTATTTCAATACAAGTAGATATCTACAACTGTAGCCTGCCGAACTTCAAAGAAGTCGCCCAGAGATGTATTACAGCAAATGATTGTTATGTATAAATAACTGTTACTTACTGTTTTTACTTACAGTATCGTTTTGGGATAAATCCTATAAAGACACTGTAATTGTTTTTAATAAATAAATAAATGTAGATAACTATGGCCAAAGGATATCAAAATTAAATATTAAAAATACCAAAACCATATTATTACAATAATAATAACTTCACGTCTCACACACGGCCGTGTGATCCCAAATTAGGCAGAACCTGTACTATGGTAACCAGACTGCTGATGCTGATAAACATGCTTAAATGTTTCTAAATACAAACATACTCATCATCAACAGCCTTCAATAGTCCACTGCTGGACATAAGCCATAGAAAGGAGGTTAACATATTATTATAGATAAATTATAACCAGACATAAAACAAATAATCATGCTTATTACGCAATTATTTGTTCTGGGTAGGAAAGTAACCTTCCACCTATGGATTAGTAGTCAATGATGTGTACTTTTCCCTTTAATCTATCTGACATTGAAGGAGTTGTAACACCCTCTTACCTTTACTTTGTATTTTCTTGGGTTATCATAACCTAATGCGCGTGGTGCTTTGGGCATCTTTAATGCTTTGCCAACTTGCTTTATTTGGAGATTAACTAATTTTGTTGACGCTAGTTTAAGACAAAAAACATTTACCCGATCTTCATTTAAATAGCTCTTGCATTTTTATTTGTCTTTGCTCATATATTTTAAGCTCAACGTTTTCAAAACTTTACTTACGGAATAAAATAAGGTAAGCAGATAAATAAATATCCACATCAGTATCAATTTCCCCAATGCCGGTACTTACATGTTCTATATCAGTTACAATACAACCTCACAAAACAATTGAACATCGTGTTTATGAATGAGAGGCGAATGAATGAATGGAAGTAGTTCCCATCACGTCTTAACCGCAACTATTATGTGGTTGCATATCTCATGGCACTGGAATCGATTTATCCGATTAACATGATCACATGGGAATCGTTGAGAGTGTAAATTATAGTTTGCACTGTTGATATATTTGTATTTAGGGAAATCTCACATCACATCAACAGCCATTAATAGTCCACTGCTGGATATAAGCCTCTCCTTAGAAAGGAGGTTTTGGCCTACTATACCACGCTGGCCAGACGCGTTGGTATAGGGATTGTGTCAAGTTTTCCTTCTCTTTGCAGTGCTGTTGTCCTGCGCAGTTTGCTCCTTTAATCGGCTTTTACGACACCCACGGGATTAATAGGGGATATAACCTGAATGAAATCTGCTGTGACTTTTTCATAATTAAGAAACGACAGGAATACTTGTTGGCTGTAACTCATCGTTTCATTTAAAGAATATAACCATCATTGATAAAACAGAAATTTGTTGAAAGCCTTCCGTTAGACATTCTCTGCTTAAGACTTGAATTACTATTGCGGTATCTATTCTTTCATCATTAGATTATAAAGCTACAGTAAACAAAATATCTCACAAAGCAGACAACTTGTCTGACCACATCCTCCGATGTGAATGGACCGCGTTTGTCCCTCTCAGTAACATAACACGAGGTGTGCTTGTAACATGATGCGCATGAGTCGCTTAGTTGTTTCATTAAAGGTGTGAGGTTTTATTGAATGGTAAGAAGAACAAAACAGAAAATAATGTTATTGTTAGATGAATTTAGTTTTTAATTCTCGGAATGTTTAATTATAGGTAATAGTAACGAGATTGTAGGTTAACCTGCTTTGAAATTATATAAATAAAGTAACAAAACAATAAAATTATTACAGTCATGAGGTTGCTTCATAAGAGTAATATACAGTAAAATAATAATAATAATATTGTACCACATTCACACAACGCCATCTAGTCCCAAACTAAGCAGAGCTTGTACTATGGGTGCTAGACAACGGATATAAATACATATATACTTTTTTTTGTAAAAACATACTTATTATACATAGAAACACCCAGACCAAATCAAAAATTAAATGTTCATGCACACAAATGTTTGACTTTGAATCGAACCCGCGACTTGGAATAGTAGTACGATGCACAAACCACTAGACTATCCGGTCTAATTCATTCGATATAGTGAAACAGATGATCTAATACATAGCTATATTAATTACTTAAATTAGAATTTTACTTGTGGAAGAAAAAATAAAGATTTAAACAATATATCTGAAAGTTTGGAATATTAACAACAGTATTTAAGATAATGTCATATAATAATAATATAATATTTTCGTACATCTAACACACAACGCCATCTAGTTTCAATTTAAGCAGAGCTTGTACTATATAAGCTAAATTGACCGATAGAATACTTATATACTTTTTTTTTGCACAGAAAACACCAAAATTATTTAGTAATCAAATATAAGAATGGTAAACCATTGAAAGAACCTCGCATTATCGACGTAAATTGACTCCAAAATTCTCCCATTCATATATTCTTAATATTTTCTTATTCTTAACAAACCTAACTAATATCTTAAAGGTTTAAGTCGTTTGTTTATTTGTCTTCAACAACCTATCTACAAAACTTTACACGTATGTTATCTGGAGTACCGCTAAAGATATAAGTATGCAAGGAACATTTCAAACGAAAATACCTAGGGGTTGCATGAATTGATGAAGAAAACCTTTATGAATACTCACGCAATCAAAGCAAAAAGATAGTTCCGTATAATAATATTCATATACAGTTATAAACAATCAAATTGACTAAACTAACGGAAATGACTTACTATTTTGCAACACCATAATTCCACCATGCCATGCCTATCATTTGTCACGCCCTGAAAATTGTCTGCGGTGTAATCCTTCATAGCATGCCATAACTGTTCCTAAGCTGACATTCAGTTTTGTGGGTTATGGCTAGGTTAATAGGATTGTAGGCTTGTTCAGAAATTCTTCACTAGAAGTAGCTAAACCAGAATTTAATGTTGTTAACTACCGGCGGGCGCGACCACGGGACTCATAGAAATTCCGTGATGAGTAATTCCGTCGTTTTATTTCTCCGAATGAGTGAGGTTATCTAAAACCCAGCTCCGGGTCTAATTTTACAGAGAGCACTCAAATACGGGTAAGAATTGCTGAACATTGGTTATTTGTGAGACCGTAGTATCAGTCCGGTCAAGCCGGCCCATATGTGCAAGCATGGCTCCCTAACTAATCTCGCCTACATGATGACAGAAACATATAGACCATGGCAACTAATATAAAAAAAGTACTGTTTCCGTACCTACTAAATGACTTGCAATCACATTATTCTGTTGCTACAACAAAAATACAGCACTAAAAAAGGTTTTAAACTATGATAAAAGCGCGTCCATATAAATCGTATCCGAGAGGCTGTTCTATAACTCACTGCGAGTAAGCTTTTTCAGGATTCAGTGAAAAAATATTCATTTTAAACCGAATGGCAACCATTCATAACGAATTGGAAAAAACTGGTTAGTTTGAAAACATTTGGTTTGCCATTCGACATTTGTTGTCTGATTCAAACAGATGTGGATACTACAGCGCTGTCTTACGCTATGATATCTACCTACTGGAGCTCAGGAGCAGAAAGCTCGAATTGAAGTCTATTATATGCCGATATTTGATCTCTGCTGAACATCACTAGCAAACATTTTTACGAATTTACACCTCAGTCAATTGACCCTAGTTATATTTGATACGATCGTTCACCAATCAATTTTGATGTTGACCTACACTGAGCATTCGAAAATCTTTCTCCCCCAACGGTTGCTAACTTTGCAAACTATGTAACTAGCTTGCTACCACTTAATTTTACGAGTCATGTAAAGAGATTGTGATGTTTTTACTCCATTTTAACTTGTCAATTTGTTTCAGCAACGAATGACTCGACGGGCTCCAACGGTGGTGCTGGTGGTGAACCTCCGTCAGCAGCTGCGAGTCCTGATGCGGCCGCGCTGGTCGTGCTTCAGCCTCCCGCACCTCCATACCCGCCGTACGCGCATTATGAAGGTATGTTTTGTTTAACTTATACATTACTCGAGACTATACTATAACACTGAGATATCATGTTCGCCAAGGTACATCGCGTTAGATTAACATCGAAAGAGAAAAATTCTCATAAAATAGATTTTCTCATATGTTAATTTCTACGTTTTACTTAAAATAAACCTTAAAAAATACACAAGTTTTTTTACGTGCACGTGACTCGAACAAAACTTCTAACATGTTTCGAATAAGAGTTGTATAGGTTTGTCCATAACTATTTACAAATTATTAAGCAGTATAATTAAAATAAAGTAGGTATCAATAAAATTAACATTTTACATACATTATACTTCTGCTATAAAATAAAAGTAATGTTTTATTTTATACCATCAAAGCTTCTAATAAAGGAATTCATTGAAACAATTACGCAAATGACAGGCATTTGCACAAAAATATGTTGGCATCGTCTTTCCGTTTAAGTGAAAGTAAAAAAGGAGGAGCAAAATTAAATTCTAACTTCCCCTCAATAAAGACTCACGCACAGAAATAAAACAATGAGAACTGAAACAAAAGTGGCCAAACAGATAAACATCGAGAATCACAGTACAGAAAACAAAAGCGAAAAAAAAAACGAGAAAAGCTTTCGACAAAGTCGAGTGTGCCACTCTGAGGCACTTCGTCGGAAATCTAATTTTCTCCTTGGACCCCGCGCTCGCAATGTTATAACATCATAAAATTTCATACAGAGCCCACAGTTTTAGCACTTATGCATATTAAAGAGAGATTCTATAATGGAGTGCCACAGGGATTTGTAGAGGGGTTGCTCTTTATGCTTTTGGTCTTTAATCTGCCGCAATCTGCTTATCTTGGTCGGGGGTGGCGAGGGTGTTTCGCAGACATCTTTAATAGCTCATTCGGGGCTCTATGCAAATAATTTTAGAGGGGGTGAAGGGGGGATCATACGGGCTTTGTCTGGGCTAACGAACCGGGACAAGAGGCTGCGTAACAGAAGTGCTTCTAGCTCAAACGGGTTTAGGCCCACGTTTATAAATATTAAACCGAGGGTGGGTGGGTGCAATGGTTACGCATAAGCTCGTTTCCAGGGGGCGTGTTAGTGTTAAATTTGTTTGAGGCGTGGTGTGGGTGATGCCTATTAATGTTGAGTGGTGGTTTTGAGTGGTATAATCCTATAATGTAATAAATAATGGATTCTAGATGTATTGAAATAAAATCCGATTTTCATCAAAGGTATTCTCTAATATACCTTTAACTATTACTGATACTGAACTTAATATCCCAACTAATTATAATTCTAAATATTATTATAAATGAGAGAATTAGTTTGTTTATTTGTGTATGTTATGATTTTACAACTTGTTGAGTATATAACTCTATCTGTTAACATTAAATACAAGTTAGTGGTACAGAAAGTGACACTGGCAAAGAGAAATTATCTAGAAACAGAAGTGTTTTTACTGAGGACAATAAACCCAAATTGATTGACAAAATATACAATTCTTTTCTCGATGATGATATAAAATTGTTGAAAGGATGAGAATTATTTTAACCAAAACTATTGTTAATCCGAGGATCTTTTAAAAACGTTTCATTTTGAAATAAATACGAGAATCGTGAGAAACCAAGTCTATAATGTAATGATTTTTTTTATTAGTTAGTTTTAATATAATATTGGTTTTTATCTGTTGATCATCCAAATAGAAGGTAATAAAATTGGGTTTTATGATTCCATTAAAGGAACCTCTGACCATTACATAAAATTATGGTACATTAATATTATGTCTACCTCCTTTCGGGAAACTTTATGCTTCAATACAAATTCACCAGTTTTTCAATAATAAATACATGCTAGTAGTACAAAAAGTGTCACAGGCATCAGAAAAAGAGAATTTTCCAGAAACGGAAGTATTTTTACTGAGGACAATAAACTCAAATTCATTGGCAAAATGTACAACAATGAGAATATTAATACATGATGATGATACACATCAAGTTATCCGTTAAATCGTAACAGTAATTATCTCCAAGGAACTAAGTTTTAAAGAACAATAGTTTTCTAACATAAACCATTAGATGACTGGCATTTATAAGTTGATAAAGGAAGAAGGAAGCCAGTTAGAAGGGCCTTCAAACAAAACATTAATCTAGACATTCAAGTTCAAGTCAAAGAACATTGTTTAGGGTTTTTTCCTTAGCTTCCTTTGAAGCAGGACGCACAAATAATTGAAAAAGGAAATCATTAAGTGAAGCTTAGTTTAACTTAGATGTAAATTTAACATCTGCTGTTTTTATTTATAAAAATGCTTTTAGGAACATTGTAGCTTTTAGTTATTTTCATGAGAGAAATGTTACTCACAATGTATATTCATATATTCCATAGAGTAATTCAAATTGTCTGGCCCCTTGATCTAGTGATATATAGATGAAGTTTATGATTCCAGAGTCTACATAATCATTTCGTCATTTCCTGAATGTGATTTATCGATAATATCTTATATATTTAGAAATACCTAAATATGATAGTCAGGAGTCTGGTTACTAGAATATAGGGTCTATCTAGTTTGGAATCAGACGGCCGTGTGCGAAATTCGGCATGAAATAAAATTATTTTCTTTAGGTTTGGTATGCAATCCTAGACTACATTTTTAGATAATTTGTTTCAAGTTAAGGATGTCTCATGATGAGAATAATAAAATCTATACACAACTATTTAGATGGTTAGTTAGGGCATGAATATCTAAGTATATGAGTAGATAGATCTATCTTTCTATCTAAAGGCATCTTAGTATAGTTAATACATGACATTTGAAAATAATCATCCTAAAGTTCCTGATTTAGGGAAACTACTAAAAATTAATATAAACTCCATGTGGTGAAGGATTAAGAATACGGAATGTCACCACCCCTATTCATCCTATGGGTGTCGTAAGAGCCGACTAAGGGAGCAAATTACGCAGGACAACAGCATTGCAAAGAGAAGGAAAACTTGAAACAAACCCTATACCAACCCGTTTGGCCAGCGTGGTATAGTAGGCCAAAAACTCCTTTCTAAGGACAGGCGTATATCCAGCAGTGGACTGTTATAGGCTGTTGATGATTAATTATGTGTATGTGTAATTAATTTTCTTTTATTTCAGGTACCACAACACTAGCAAGTGAATACGCGTACGCGGCTCCATACTCGCAGTACTCGCCTTACGGGGGCCCTTACTCGCACTCTGCTGCCACAGGCTTGCTATCCAAGTGGTGAGTATTAATTCAATGTATGTGGCTTATATTAAAATATATATAAACTAGGTGACCCGGCAAACGTAGTTTTGCCATATACATTATTTCTAGGAAATATTAAAAATTTAGGGGTGGATCACCCTTGTCATTTAGGGGTATGAAAAATAGATGTTGACCGATTCTCAGACCTACCTGATGTGCTCTCAAAATTTCATAAAAATCGGTCCAGACGTTTCGGAGGAGTATGGTAACTAACATTGTGACACGAGAATTTTATATATTAGAATATTCAATCTCATTCAAACAATACACGCAATATATTCTATATACTCCAGTCTCAGTCCTCCTCTATCCAATCTATTCTAGATACTTTATCTGGATATAATAATATATTAGTTCTTATTATAATTTTATGAAAGTCTTAGACATCCTGACTACAGCCAGTTTAATTTAAAGGCAAAAGCTATTACTTATACTTCCCAATATAATATAACCAATGTGCATGACTTCCATTTGCCTTCCCTTTTTACATACGTTTTCCTCTTAATATGCTCTCAATTAAATCATCTTTAATTTCCAATAGAACCTTCCAAAGTACGGGTAAAATTATATGTAACCATGTAAAAAAAAACAACCAAGAACAAACCCCAATATATTAACAAGACACAGGTGCTAAAATACCTCCCTTAGGTACACCTACCTAAAAACTGACCGAATAAGCGGTTTTAAGTGATAAACGAAACAGATTTATTCCCAACACATACCCATTTGTTATTCTGAGCCTGTTAAACGGCCAACGGTTTAAAGGCAGTAAAATTCATGGGATAAGTTAATGTGCAGTGCGGTTGAATGCTTACACAAATCCCGCGTGAATTAAAGACCGATATTTACGAAGGAAATAAAATACTGCATTAGTTTTCATCATTACAGTAAATATTAGGAAAACTATAAAAAACCATAGTGATTATATTTTCAGTTGTCGGATAGTTCAAAATATCTATATCTTTAATACTATGTATAGAGATATTGTCTAGATTATTGTCGCCCTAAGATTAACTCGTAACATAATACCTATTTATATATTACACATCAATATCTAGATCCAAACTAACCAGTTATTTGCATACCATAAACTAATGATATTACTTGTGATCATTTAGCTGACTATTAAATTCAGGCCTAACATTGGTATTTACTTTTAACTGCAATTTCAACAGTAAATCTGAGCAATACATCGAGAATAAAGACTTTTGATATAAATGTAACACAGAAGCAACCGATGCGTTTTCTTACTTATTTTTATTCTTCTACGACCAGCTAAGAAGAAGAAGTTTAATTTTTTGTATGACTGTCATTTGCAGTTTTTATAGATACTTCGCTCCCTCCCTCTCTCTCTCTCTCTCTCTGTCTCTCTCTCTCTGTCTCTCTCTCTTCAGTTGTCAAGATTATTCGTATTGCTTTTTACTGATAATGATGATAATTGAACACGTATCAAAACAAATAACTTATTATTCATTCAAGTATACGTATTTCCAAATAAACCGTCAACACAATTCAATTTAAAAAAAAAACTAAAATCCTCAACCTCTACGTCATCCTTATAAAATTCCAAAATCCCTAACGTCTACAACTAGATGGGATATAAAGAATCACTAGCACAATACACTGTTTTGATTCCACCATCAAATTATGTACAAATTCCCAATCCCGTAGGTGATACATCAAAGCTACTGCTTCATACACATTTATTATTTCACCGCCAAAATATAATATCTCATGAAAATAGTACCTAACCTCCTCATCATAAACACCATTATTGCTTTTATCGACTGCTATAATATCTTTGCTACATTCGTTCATAGGGACCGAATCGGATCCTGCCAATTCCACTAGGATTTCACATGTTGTCAACTAGGAAACTGTTATTTTCTTGATAATGATATGAAATAGTTGAAAGGATGAGAATAATTTCAAATAAAGTTGTTGTAAATCCGAAGATCTTTTGAAAAACGTTTGATATTGAAAGCTGTAAATACGAGAGTTGTGAGAAATCAAGTTTATAATGTAATGTATTTTAATATTATATTGGTTTTTTATCTGTTGATCATCCAAATAGAAGGTCATATAATTGGCTTTTATGATTCCATTGAAGGAACCTCTGACCGCTACAAAAAGTATGGTACATTAATCTTGCGCCTATCTCCTTTCGGGAAACTTTATACCTAACTAGCTTCCTCTACTGTAATCAATACTTTAATACAAATTCACCGGTTTATTAGTAATATAATTTAATAAACAACACAAATAAAAAAAAACCAGAATATTGTAAGCATACCCGATGTTGATAAAAGCAGTTTAGAGACAGATAATTTATAAACTTTTACTGCTATAATAGGAATAATAGTTGATACAATAAAAATAATACATAAAAAAGATTGTCAGCATAAAATAAAGCGTATTAACTAATAACGTATAAATTAATCGCCAAAAAAGAAATCAGAAGTTCAACAAAGGGACACAATAGGGTTACGTTCAACGCATTTGTTGTCCTGTCCCTGTATTCGTCCCTGTGGGCCTTTACAAAGGGCATCCAAGTTCCCTAGGGACCCTGGATAACTTACAGGGCATTAAATTTAAGTGATTCTACTGCGAATACTTTTAAACTTTGCGATAGGGGAAACTGATTCAATATCGTGGATTGAGAGAATGGATTTCAAGAATTAAAAGAAAGTGTATTAGGTTAACTTTTTGTTTAGAAAGACGGTAGATTAAAAATGTAACATTGTCCAACAGCAAATATTGTTTACAGTTTTGTTTTATATAGTGTGTTAGGTTCTTTACAATCAATTTTTCTTTTTACCCGACTGCCAAGGAAGGATTGTTTTTAGCGTGTATCTCGTATGTTTGTTTGTTAATTTATTTATTACGTCGTATCTTTCAAATGGGTGGCGGGATTTCGGCATTTAAGCTGTTGTTTTATCCGTCTCAAAAAGCCAAGTGTCCTTAGATAACTTTTTGAAAGAAAAAACAAAATGGCGGCAAAATAGTAATAGGTCAAAATATAATATCAAAATCAAGAAAATTAAAATGGTATTACAAAAATATATATAAGTTATATATTTAAATTTTTTAAGGAATATTTAATTGATTTAAAAAAAAACAGCGTAAAAAAAGTTGGGAATTCTTCATATCGCGATACAGGATTAGCAATTCTCATTCAGGAGTTACTCCGTAGTTCGGGATGTTTTCTTTAGATGGCGCTGTAGTATGTTTCTGTTGCTTTGTATGTGGGAGTCACCACAACTTTATTATAATTTATCATGATGTAGGTATATTGGTTGATGATTTTTAAAACATTATTATTTTATTTTTACAGATATCAACGTACGCCGTGCGAGTAGTAGGTGTCGGCGAAAACAACGAACAAACAAAACAAGTGATAAAAGACACTAAAACTAATGTATATCGATCAATAATGTGAGACATTTAGTTTAAATACAACTATAAAGAAATCTCCTTTGTGTAGATAAATTAATATATTTGTACAATCAATTTTTTTAAACGTAATCATGTTTTTATTTCTACATATTAATTTAACTCAGGTCAGTACCGCTATCTTTGCTTTCTCGGAAAAATAATAATCATTTATACTCATTATATTTAATTAATTAAATGAAAGCTGAGAGAGCCAAAGTAACTTCAATACTATTAAGATGTAAATAATGTATTTTAATGAAAACTATAATTATGTAATTCATTTAATGTCATTATTAGAGTTAAGATTTATTCTCGTTTTCATTTTACCTCAGCTTAGTTACAAAGTAGTAAATAATTTTGTGTAACATTTTATGTTTAAAACTTCCATTTATTTTGATAAGCTGTCCTGTGTGCACAAGGAAAAGATTTTACAATTATTAATTATTATACATTTAAAATCGTTATCATTTATATAAGTTATCTAATTTATTTTCATGTATTGTTACTTTTTAATAATATAATCGCTTCGTGAGAAGCTTCAGAACAAATATGCAAGTCAGCTGATTAGTATATTTTAGATTATTTTTGAAATTACTATGAGATTATTTGTGTTTTTTTGTACTTTTTATATAAAAAATGGTTAGGTTTTAATTATTTGTATATAGCATGTTCAACATAGCACGCTGTATGCCATAATTATAAAAAAATAAGTTCAAAATAATTGTTTTATTATAAAGAAAAGATTAGTTGCAAATCTTATCGTTTCCGTCCATTTATTAATATTATTATTGTTTAATTTTCTCAAATGTTGAGATTTTTTAAATGTAAATATATTTTCTTTTCCTCAAATTCAAATGGCATGTTTTAACATTGTTATTTTTTCTTTAAATGAACATCATACAGTTTAGATAAAGGCCAAAGACTTAAAGAAAAACATTGTAACATCTAGAATACAGCCCCGTATAAGCTTATATTTATATGAAAAAGCAATAATTTTTCACCAAAGATACAAATAGCTGACCTTTTTCTGACGAAACCATAATCCTGAAACCTAAAATAACCTAACTAAAGAGATTTCTAAAATCAATGTTATAAAAATAAAATTTATGTATTTTTTTATATTTGTGTTTTTCATTTCTTTTATTATTAGAAAAAGGTCTGGTCTGTATAAAGTATTCTACTCATTTTATAATAATTATGTTTTGCATTGTAATATTTACTTATTTATTAAATAATTTGGTGTTGCTTTTATTTTCCGGAAGCATATCGTTAAGAGGTCATCATGATAGATAAATAATAAAATGAATTCTTTTCTCGTTTAATTTGTAATAAGTATATTTGTAAGGCAAACGCACCATTACGAAATAAAGCATATGAGTTTATATATTTAGTTATTTTATTTTTTGTAGCCGCACATTCTGTAGTATTCCGTGTGGTGACGGATAAAGAATACCGAATGTCACAACCCCTATTCATCCCGTGGGCGTCGTAAGAGCCGACTAATTAAGCAAATTACGCGGGTCAACAGCACTGCAAAGAGAAGGAAAACTTGAAACAAAGCTTATACCAACCCGTCTGGCCAGCGTGGTACAGTAGGCCAAAACCTCCTTTCTAAGGAGAGGTCTGTATCCAGCAGTTGACCATTAGAGGCTGTTGTTGATGATGACATTCTGTAGATAAGTTTCATTTAGTTATAAGGTCTGGCGAGTACAGAGGATGACGTATGGTTTTTAACTGTAGCTCCTATAGAGTTATAACGGTTTCTCGTGCAGTGTGAGGTATTGCGTTATCATGTAGTAATAATGGTGTAGATCGATTCACGAGTCGAGGCTGTTTCACTGACAATTTCGCCATCATTGTGTGAAGTTCAGCACAGTAAACATCTGCTGTTATTGCCAGACTAGACTTGAGAAAGCTATAGTGAATAACACCATGAAGAGACCACCAAACAGTTACCATTACCTTTTTATTGGTAGGCTTTGCTTTGCTTTTGCTTGTAGGGGTCAGCCATTGCATTTTTCGCTTACGGCTATCGTAAACAATCCACTTTTCGTCACATCTTACAATTCGATCCAATATTCCTTTATTGCTGTATAAATTCAACAAGGCAACACAAATTTCAACACGCATTTCTTTCTGCAGATGAGTCAACCATGAGGCATCCATTTTTCATATTTTTTTGATCTTATTGATTTGATGCAAATGAGTTGATATTGTAGGTAGGGTAACATTAAACCATGCCGCTAATTCCTAGGTAGTTTGACTCGGATCGGCTTCCATCATCTCCTTTAATTCAGTGTTATTTACCTGCTTGGGCGGTCTTCCACGTGGTTCGTTCTTTAAGTAGAAGTTCCCATTATGAAAGCATTTAAGCACAGTGCGTTCATTAGGAGTCTTCTCTCCAAACGCAGCGTTGATATTGTGAGCCGTTTCTGCCGCGTTAGTTCCGCGTCGGAACTCGTATCCAAAAATCATTTGGATTCTCGAAATATTCATCTTTCACGTCCAAGCTGAATAAAAAAACAAATGCAAGTAAAAAATCGAATGTTGCACATTTTTTAAAAGAAGAACCGCATAGGTATCATGTGAAAAAAGTTTCATGAGAAAATCTCACACCATGACGGTTTCATGTCAATTCAAAGTACCTATTACTACTCGTATACAGCGACAATTTCATACTTTAACCCCTATTATTTGAAATATATAAGTTTGTTTATCAGCAGTCTAGTTATCATGTCTAGTTTAAGATCATACGGCCGTGTATGAGGGTATTATTAACTATTTATTTTAAAGAGCGTTTAGTTTCAGTTTTCGTTTGTAAAGTGTACGCTAATAACTCATCCTCTTTATTAAAAAACTCTTTATGTTTAGATTACAATGAAGTATAGTAACAACTTTCTTCTAGTCATATGTCAAACGTCTTCTTGACACAACAATATTAATGAAAAACCAAAATTAAAAGCAACATCTCTCGTCATTGAAATCGAAGTGTAAAAATGGATCTGAATATACTCCAAACACTGAGATTTCAAAATGAATTTACAAAATAACATTTTCATTTTGATAATAAACCAAATGAATAATCAACTATCACCATGAAGTACTAATACGGGAGGTACTGAACAACTTCAAAAATCTCAATCACCACAGAATTAATTAAAGAAGACGAATTACGAACAGTGTTGGATTAATTTTCTAAGTTCTTTCCCCGGATTAATAAAATACACCTTGCACTCTAAAATTTACTTCATTGCGTCTTAAAATAACTGAGGGAAGAACTCAAAATGCCTATGCCACCAAAAAAGAAGAAAGAAAGAGCATGTATACCGGAACCCTTACCTCCATGTCCTCCGCCTCCAGACATCTGTCTTGAATCAGGTCTGACTCCAGCCGAAAAAGCTGTTTGTTACGAAAAGGAAAGATGGAAATCACCAGTATCGCGGGCAGTAAAAAAGTTTCATAGCTTCACAAAGCCACCCATTGAGAAATGTAGAATAAAAGAGAAGGTGGTAGAAGAAGAAGATGATCCATGCTCATCAAAAGATGACGTCGATGATACACCACAAGAAGAAGAAGATTAGTAGGTCAAGATTTTCATTACACATGTAAATAGTATGTAAAGTAATATTAAAGACCTTTAGCAAACTCTTAGTTCTTTTTCTTTGGTATCTTCGAAGCTTGGGAAACATGTAATCTATTAAAAAATATTGAAGTTTCTGTTTGTTATGTCAAAATAATAGGTTTTTTTTCATGCTCACAGTTATTTGCATGATACCTATGTTTAAAAACCAGTTTCAATATGTCTGTCTGTCTGTTTGTTCCGGATAATCTTGAAAACGGCTGGACCGATTTTGATATTATTTTACTACCAGGTAGCTGTCTATATAAGGTCTATATAAAGTTTATTTTTGCCAAATTTCGTGATTCTAGGTCAACGGGAACTACCAAATAGGTTTTCGACCCAAAAAGGGTACTTCCGGTTGACCTAGAATTGGCAATTTTGGTGAAAAGCAAGGTCTTACAGCACAAGTGAAAAACAAAAAAAGTTGAAAATTAAGATAAATTTCAAATTTTCCCGAAAATCGAAATTTGCCAATATCTTTTTATCGTGTTAACTCAGGACCTTGATTTTTATACAACTAATAGGAATCATAGAACTCAGTATCTGGTATAATTTTTAATTTCTCTCTCTGTCTACTGGTTCCTGAGAAAATTGGTGGTGACACACGGACAGACGGACAAGAAAGTGATCTTATAAGGGTTCCTTTTTTACCTTTTGAGGTACGGAACTCTAAAAATTATAAAATTTTGACAGTTTCAGAAACGTTAGGTGAGTGCGCTTATTTTTGCTGTGAAGTAACGATACGGACTCGTTTAGCCCCCTTCGGCCGCCATCGAAAGCGATGGTTCGTAACAAGTTGAGGAGGAAAAAAAGGATCTTTTTTTCTTTATAGTATGGTATAGTTACGAAGACGTAAGATGCATGTGAGGAAATATTGTTCCTTATTCCGAAATAGATAAGAAAATTGAGCATTGAAACATTGAGTTGTAAATGAACATCGCTTATAACAATTTCCCCTTTTATCCTTCCCCTATTATCAATTTAAATATACATGATATTAGTGGTTGTTGAAGAAAAAAAAGCATTATTGTTTGAAGTATTTTTTAACATCTTATTAACTCTCTCGTCTTAATGTTTAACCAGTGGTTTCCATGACGGCCGAAGATTCGTTCATCGAAACTATTAAAAAAACATTTCTATTATGTAACCATGGTTTCGTAGAAAGAAAAGAAAATCCTGGTTCGAAACTGTTTTCGTACAAAGATCATTTTTTCGTCCTCCTCAACTGGTAACGAACCATCGGTTTCGATGGCGGCCGAAGGGGTTTAGCCTATGTCATAGAATGTCATACTTCATTAGTGGTAGGTGCGACTAAATTGGTGAGTTCCTTCACTACAAGACTGCTGTCATTATCACATGATATAGTTTTTATTGCAGGATAGGAGGTCATCTGATTGTAAGTGACTATCGCCGCACTATGGGCAAAAATGGTTTCATTTTTCTCAAAATTGAAAATCTCTTCAACGAAAAGAGATTTCCAAAAAGTTATATCACCCTATCTTCTATTGTTCGGAAGATTGACGATGTTAAAAACAAAAACAGGCATTTTAGTCGTAATTTAACCATTATTTTTTAGGTTAGGGAATAACTTGCAAATGTTCGCTATATTTTTCCTATAATCCATATTCAATTGCTGGAGCTGAGCCTCCAGATTCAGAGGAGAGGTTTAAACTCCGATAACCTCCCTCATTCGGTGAAAAGCAACACCGGTCGAGCCTGCCTATTGCTGCCGAAGCATGGCTCTCCCGCGGTACAATGACCTAATACAACTAACATGGCGAGTTCCTTCACACAAAGACTGCTGTCATGCCAAATCATCACATCAACAGCCTTCAATAGTAGTGATATAAGCCTCTCCTTAGAAAGGAGGTCTTGGTCTTGGCCTACTATACCACGCTGCCCAAACGGGTCGATATTTATAGATACGAGTATATGTCGATTATTTCAAGTTTTCCTTCTCTTTGCAGTGCTGTTGTCCCGCGTAGTTTGCTTCCTTAGTCGCTTCTTACAACACCCTTGGGATGAATGGATGTGGTGACACTCCGTATCCTTAATCCATGACATACATGTTACATGACATAGTGTTATTCCTAAAGAGAACAAAGCATTAAATGAAAAAAATATCAACTGCTGATTAAAAATTTCTAATTTCAAGAGGTAGTTACAAATTTTTTACGATCATATTATTTTTTCCCCTTCTACAGTGATCACTAGTGCTGTAAAGAAAATTCTAAAGACTTATCGTTCTTCAGAATCAGTTCAGCTGTGTAGTAGTTACAACGAGCCAAATGGCGTATAACAACATATACATATACAATTGGGTATTACCTTCCTTTTTGACTATGCCGCTATCGGGTAAAATCAGAAACAGTGTTGATAACGCGCAAGTGACACTATCAATAACTATCAATAACCACTAGCCACTGTTGAACTACAGCTAGGATGGCAAACAAGTACATATTCAGTTAGCAGTTTCGTTGTAGCTGTTTATGTCTTATTTGTACACACAAATGCAACGAAAATTATTTGTAATAGGCTTTTTAATAGGGCTGCACAATCAAAAAACTTTTGGCCTTCATTACAAGCATGAGCAATCGTCACTTAATTTCAAAATTCGTCAAGTAAAAAAATAAAAAGAAATGCCAACAGATGGCGTTGTTACAACAAAGTGTAACAATGCCATCTATTGAAATGTTATAGAACCGCATGAGTAGTGTGAGTACTATGGTATGGACAGAACAGAGTTCGTATGGTCACAGAATTCTATACAGCAAAAATATATATTATTGAGACAAGTTGACAGTGCTTGAATAACTTAATTCACTACAAAACCACCATAATTATGATGTTTAAGTAAAGAAGATGTCCACAAATAGTTTTGTTGGAACGAAGGTCCTTTTCTCGCGTTATATGCTCTAAGCGGGTGGGAGCGAGACCGAAAAATGTATAACTAGACATTTTTGATTATTATTTTATCATAGTTTTTTCAATTTAACTCTATTAACTTCATATTTTATAAATAAATTATAATGGCTGTATATCAAACGTCAAGCAAAAAGCGAAAGGAACTTTGTTCCGACCGGGGGCCCATAGACCCCTCACGAAGTTTTGGAATGAAGTTCCTTATCGCGCGTTACACTCTCTGAGCGGATGAGAGCGATACCGAAAAATGTGTAACAAGACTTTTTGCCGACACTATAACAAATACTATACACATAAAATATTTTACTGACTTAAACTACGCCTTAGTATTATTTATCTCGTTGTCATAATTATGGCTGGCAGGAGTGCTAGATGCGAGAAGCCGAAAATCAATCGAAGTGGCGTGCAATGGGAAAGGCCTATCTCCAGCAGTGGACTGCGATAGGCTGATGATAATAATGTCATAATTATACATAAACATAACAGTTGTACACAATACTTTTATACATAATGTTTGGTAGTTGAGGGGAGCTACATGCAGTTCCTTATTGCAAAAAGGTGCTAAGCTAAAAACAAGTTGCCAGATATTTTCAGTATTTTGTTCCTTTGTAGTCATAACTGTCAAAGAAATGACAGAAAAATACAAATAAAAAAATAGTAAAATAACACAAAAAAATAAAGAAAAACAATAATAAAATCATAACAAATAATTTAGATATGCTATCCTATTCCAATATGGTAATAGATACTAAAGACGTTAATCCAGACCTTGAGAATATGGAGGGGTCAAACAAGACACCATGTCAGTGCTTAAGGAAAGACCTTTGTAAAGAAGGAGTTAAGAACCCCACTGCAATAGAAAGTAAACCAGTCAACTTTGAAGCAAGCAAACAGTCTAACACATCACCAGTATCTAAAGATTATTATAATATACCTGTTAATAAATGTCCACCAAAACTGCATAGCAATTACTGCATTCGAGAAAACAATGATTTTAAACCATTGTTAGATGCACCGATTGAAATTCCAACGCGTTTAGAACAAGAAAATAGTTACAAATTTGTTAGTAGACTGGTAAGAACTCCGACTGAAATCCAAAATGAGAGAGATGTGACGCCTGATGGAAATCCAAGTTTGACTAAACGAGAAGCAAAGTCTCTAATCTTTGAATCTATGGCTCAATCGATTTCATCATATGGAATGGATCTGGACATGAATTCTTCTTTGTTATATTTTATATCATGATTTAAATGATTTGTCACGGACTGGTTGTTTGTAATCGTGTGCGGTCTTACAAGGACTGAGAATAGAAGGACGACTAGTCAAGAACCAGCGACTGTCATTCATGGTTTAGATGCTATTTGGATTTTGGTCTAAAATATGTGTAATAATTATTTTTAAAATAGTATTACAAATTTGTGTTCTTGTACAGTTTAACGCTCAAAATTTACATATTTCTGTCGACATGGAATTCTCAAATATTAAATACAGTAGCTGCCAAATTTTTGTATTATCAACATTTTGATTTCCCCGTGATGTCGCCTTTAGAAATAAAATGCATCTGATAAATTTGTTTGTTCAGAGTAAAGTATTCATAAAATTTCTTCAGAGAGCTTATTCTGACTGAACATAATTTTAATTTCATACTTTTAAATTTAATATGTAATAATCATGTAATATGTCATTGTGCGCAATGGTGGAGCTTTCGGGACCGGGACCATGGTCTGGAAGTCCCCTTCTGATAGTTTTTTTTAACAGTATATTGGGATCACTGAAAACAAAAACAGTTTTTATCTTGGGAAAGTACTGTCAACAAAAAAAAAGTCGTAATACTAATATAAAACAATAAAATATATCTTTTATTTAAAAAAATGCCACATACATCTCACACACGTCTGTCTGATCCCAAACTAGGCAGAGCAGACCAGACTACTAAATTAACATACTGCACGGAAGGAGTAGTGGTTTAAGCGGTCGCCACACCACGCACAACGTAACGCAACTCACGCATCACGGCCTAACAACAATACTCACAGGATACAAAGGACAAAGCTAGACCAATCTCACGAGTAGTTGACACAGCGGGCCCCAGTTTCCTACTACGCCGAGTACGACGACACTGTGTGATCCACAAATTAACGTTCTGAATCTGGGTGTTCTTTATGTCCGTTTCATTTCTGTACTATATATTTATAGATACATTATTTTTATAGATAGATTACACTCGGACACAGAACAACTGATCGTGCTCATCACACCATTCTACGTATATATATAATTTGGCGGCCCAATAGGCGCGTCAAATTTGCTCAGCAGATTGCAGTGAGTTATTACATTACCATCCCTTGACGTGACGTAGAGATGTAGTTTCACTCTGCATTCTCTGTAGTATATATCATGGAGAGTGCTCTGAGGAATCCTTCGGTCTAATACCGCCCGCAACTTTCCGAAATCGTTGAACATTGCCATATTTTCATTCCTATCACTTGGTTTATGAGCGCTACACCACTGTGCGCTTTTCAATACACTTTTTGCCTCGCACAAACAATCTGTAGAACAAATTTTTTTTTTTTCTCTTTAAAATTGTTTTTTGACTGAATCGTTGATACTCAAAAAATACATTTGCTTTATTAAAAAAAAAATTGAAGTTTCTTATATCAAACATTGATGTTAATGACAGAATCAAAACATCAAACCTTCCTGTGAAATTAAAACTAACTGGTGAACTGTAAAAAATAAGAAAACGAGATGAAGATTTAAATAGACCATGCATTAATAAAAACTGAAAAACTAAACGTCTGATCTTAGAAGACGCAAGCGAAATATATTATACATATTGAACCTTATTTCCATGTATAAGAGTTTGTAATGCATAGAGTGTAATAAGTTTGATTACTTGCAAATGTCCAATCCAATTAAGTGCCCTTGTGATTGCCCTGCGAGTATTCTTGATAAGCAAAACTATGAAAATTACAAACGTCTTACTGAAAACAGGGAATGTGCTCCGGCTTATCAAAATGACCAAAAATGCGAATACCATACTAATAACAATGAATGTGAAAATCGTCATAAAAATAATCATATAAGTGATGATAATGAGTGTATGTCTTACAGCCAATGTGATCAAAAATATAAACGTGACGACAATGTATGTGTTGCTCATAAAAAAAGTGATCTTAACTTAAAAAGCCATACAGACAATAATAAGTGTGTTCTATGTAATGAAAACTACAATAAAACCCAACATGCTGCGAGAAACAGTGAATGTATTTCTAATAAACAAAGCCAGGATACATCTCAAATCGAAAGTGATTATAAAGAATGTTTAACTAAATTAAGGGAATACGAGAAAAGGCTAAAAACCGATGAAAATGTTTCTGAAACGAAATCAGTGATTAGCCAAAGAAAAGATGAAAATTTGATCCATAAAAACGAAACGTGTTTAAAAGTGCTTCAAAAAAATATTTCTCAGTTGTATGCTTCGTCTGATCAAAACTGCTTTAAAGAAAAGGCACGTATAGAACAGGAAAAACCAGAAGCTAAGCAGAAATGCCAAATCAAATGCACAGAAGATCAATTAAAAATTCAGTATAGTCTCTCACCACTAACTTTGCCGAGTATAAAATGTGATGATCAAGATCAGTTGAAAATTCAGCACGATCTCGCACCACTTACCATGCCGAGCATAAAATGTGATGATCAAGAAAAACTTGAATTGCAGAAAAAGTGTACACCACCACTTAAATCGAGCAGTAGCAATTTAAAGAAATGTATCGGCAATGTATGTTCAAAAATTTGTAAAAAATTTAAAGATATCGAAAAAAACTTAGCTTCAGATAAAGAAAAAAGTAATTTGCCTGCGTCTTCTGGGCTCAGTTCAAACTCAAGTACTGGGAGCCATAAGAATTTTAAATCATCAGTTAGATCTAAATCTTCAAAGTCAGACAAAAGTAATAAATCATCTGAATCGATTTCTAAAAAATCATCAGAACGATCAGAGGTAGTCATTATTTCACGGGCTCAACAAAAATTTTACGAATTCGAAAAGAAGCCTCCTAAGGCTTGTTCGCCCAAATCTTCATCAAAAAGTATCAAAACCGGCGAATGCAATAGTAATTGCACTTGCTGTAAAAAGTCATGGTGGTGATCTAGACAATGAACATAGCCTTTATAAGCAACATGAGTAAATAAATGTTAATATTAACCATAAACGAGAATCCAATTACTTAAGAGCTGGTAATAACCCAAATAAAATATTTGTCAAACATAAAACTATTTTTATCCTTCTTTGAAAACTATAACTTTCTTTTACATTCCTCCTTCTGGCTTAGACAGGTGAACACGTCGCACCGACGTATTGTAAAACAGTAACATGTAACTAGTATGACACCTTTTTTAACCGACGTCAAAAAGGAGGAGGTTCTCAATTCGATTGTTTTTTTTTTATGTATGTACACCGATTACTCTGAGATTTATGATCCGATTTACGTGATTCTTCTTTAGTTTGATGCGGAATAGTTGCCATTTGGTCCCATAAAAATTTAACATAGTTAGGTCCAGTAGTTTTCATTTTATGAACATTTTTAATGAATATTATTTTATATAGAATTACAAAATACACATTAATAAATAAATACTCTATGTACAATATTCAAAGATAAAAGTAATTTGTCTGTGTCTTCTGAGAACAGTTCAAACTTAAGTGCTGAGAGCCCTATGCCTTCTAAGTGATCAGTTAACTCTAAAGCATTAGAATCAGTCAAAAGTAATGAATCATGTGATTCAGTTTCTAAGAAATCACCAAAACCACCAAAGAATAAGGTAATCATTATTTCACGGGCTCAACTCAAAATTTTACGAATTTGAAAAGAAATTTCCCGATGGAAGAAAAGATAGTAGTGATGATCATGGTGGTGATCTCGATAGTGAACGTAACCTTATTCTATACTAATATTATAAAGCTGAAGAGTTTGTTTGTTTGTTTGTTTGAACGCGCTAATCTCAGGAACTACTGGTCCGATTTGAAAAATTCTTTCAGTGTTAGATAGCCCATTTATCGAGGATATAGGTTATAGGCTATAGGCTATATATCATCACGCTAAGACCAATAGGAGCGGAGCACCAATGAAGAGTGTTTCAAAAACGGAGAAAATTTATTACTATTGAGAGGCGCAGACGAAGTTGCACGGGTCAGCTAGTAAGCAATACGAGTAAACAAAACTATATTAGCACTAAACCTTTTAAGAGCTGCAAATAAACTAAATGAAATATTTGTAAAACTTAACTATATTTTTCTTTTACATTAGTACTTGAATCTCACGTTCATTATAATTTAAAAAGTCTTTGTCCATCTTTAATCATATTTAGTCTATTTTATTTCTAGGACAAACTGTTTTGGTAGTGAATCCTTAAGGTAGTAGGGAAGTTTCAGTTTATTGTTACTCAATACTCTCCTCATATTCCTAGTCACCATCATAAACAAGTTGCAGGATAATGGGGCACATTAAAGAATGTTACTTTCCATCAGGTGACCCGTCTGCTCGTTTGTCTACGAGAGAAGATATACCTACCCCTACAATCCAATCACTAGATCCTTGCATTTGTTTCTTTGAATTGATAGGTCTTCAGATTCACGAAATCCTACTCAGAACATTCCATAAGATGTAACAAGTATGAACGATTTAAATACAAATGAAGTAGGTCATTTATGCGTTTTGTCAACTAGTCTCTATGATACGTACTTGTAAAATAGAGGTCAGTGCCTCTGTGTGGCGACGGATTAAGAATCCCACCCCTGTGTCGTAGGAGCCGACTAAGGGAACAAAACCAAGAGAAGGAAAACTTGACACAAACCAACCCGCCTGGCCAACGTGATATAGTAGGCCAAAAGAGGAGTGAGGAGAGATCTACGTCCAGCAGTGGACTACTTAAGGCCATTGATGATGATGTATAATAGAGATCAAAGGGTTCCTCGGTTCAGATATAAAGAAATATTAACGAGCCCTTTAAGTGGATTTAATTTTGCAGCAATCCACATGATTATATGGTTTTCATTATTTGTTTTTAATGCCCGGAACAGCATCCTGAAGATGATTGCTAGTAGGCCAGACTGTCCTATACAAAGGCACTGGGTAGCAATAGCTATAGGAAAGCATAGTTGAATGCCTTTATACTATTAAGTGTCGTTACTAACAATACTAATATAGACGTTAAGTACATTATGTTTCTAACCCATTAATAAACAACCTATGGACTGTATATGTCTGAAAATAAATATTTATTATTATTATTATCATAACATGTGTACGATAGCTATGTTTAACTGTATGTGGTTTTTATTTTTCCGTATTTTAGTAGAATCATCTTCTATTGAAGGTAGTAATCACCAGATGTGATGTATTGCACAATGCATCTATTCCTCTATGTCCTAATTACATTGATCAGACAGTAGATCTCCAAGCAAACTAAGCTAACAAGAAACTAAGCTAGAAAACTGAGTAAAAAATCTATGGTTTAAACTGTCAGTGAAAGTCAAAAATATATCAACGGTTCCTGCAATACAAATTTAAAAATGAGCTGAAAATCAATGAAGCAAAATGCACAGTATGTGAAACACATACTCAAGAATAAACTTTAAGCTCATAATAAACCAGAACTCTAATTATTAAACGGTTTAGCAAAAATAATGTGAAATGGCAGACAAAAAAGGAATAAAAAGTAAGTTGCCAAGCCCTGATCCGGTAGAACCACGTATAAACGATGTAAGTGAGCCAGAAGGTACAAAAGCTAGCAAAGAAGATAATACTAAAACAGAACCTAGTCATAAAACACAAAAAAAAAGGAGTATCTATTTCGACAATGTTGCATATGACGAGGGAGGTGAGGAACACATGCTAAAAACTGATGAAAGTAAATCAGTTAAAAGATGCAGAGAAAAGGATACAACGAAAATTAAAAAGTGAATTCAACAGTATTGTTAATAATCCTATTAGCAAGCCATTTTGTATTTTGGAGATTTGTTTAAATAAATGTTACACAGCTTCCTTGGGATAAATATTATTTTTTGATAGAAGGTAACCCATTTCCTTTGCTCCCTAGGTGTAATTAAAGCATTGAAGTGTAACCAATAAACAAACGACCTCATTTCGCATTATAATATTAGCGAAGATGCTTTGCATTTTGCAAACGAACAAAGCAGGTGTACAAAGCGGTTGTTTTTAGATCGGCGATCTCCCAACCAATTCGTAACATGTCGGGCCATACGGACCTCAGTATCGCCCGACATGTTTGTGTTAAACACTCGCTTTTGCCAACTGCAATTTGGCTACTCTTACGTAAAAGAGTCCAAGCCTGTTGCCGTCAATCCGTCGCATTGTTTGCAAATCAACTTACATATATATTTTTTAAATTGATACATATTATAGATAAATTACACCCAGACACAGAACAAGTCGAACCCACGACCTCCGGTTTAGCAGTCAGGGTCACTAACCACTAGACCAACAGGCCCGTCAAATTGTAAATATTTGTAAATGATAACTATTAAAATCTATAATAAAATCATTCTTATGTTATGTAAACCATCCATTTTTTTCTTAAGAAACTGAATGGTTGAATTTCTTATGAATTAGTTCTTTATATAATAAAAATGGATTTGTAGTGCTACAGAAAGGAACGGGGATGAGGTTCATGGGATAGGCTCTATATGTAGGACCACCATGTACGTATTAATTAAGTTTTACTTTCAAGCAGTCGTCTACAAATGTATTTATAACTAGTTTTTGACGTGACAACGTCTTATAATTCGATGGAGCCGGCTGCACGCACGAAATAACATGACGCATGCGGCGTTACCTCGCTCTGAGGCGTTCCATTTAAGGCTTGAAGTGCAAGCGAGAGCGCGGAACGAGCGACAAAGAGGCACAATCGGCCTCCGCGTTCGGCAGCGTTCGACATCTGTCTCTCTCCTACTTGAGTCAGCGATGCGTCCGCGTGGACAGCTGCTATACAATAATACATTTACATGTTTTCGTCAAGTATGAAGCGTAATTAAAATTTTCTTTTGAAAAATGCAACCTTTCCATCAGTATTTTCTTATGACGTTGTCACGTTCAACTATCGTCAGTAAACCGACTTTACAGACAACCGATTTTTTTAGTTTTTTTGTAGGTATATTTTAGTGAAGAGAAGCATTTGGCTTCCCTCGGGATAGAGCCTAATAGGTGCAACGTCGGACCGGGAGACCTGAAATCACATGTTCCGGGTCCTCCCCAGTAACCCGAGGCCGCCGTCGAGGTGGTTTTCAACGGAAAGACCACATACTCCTGGCTCCTACATCTCCTAGAAACGGGAGACACGGACGAATTTTCCATCCCGTCAATAAAAAAAAGGAAGAGGTATATTTTAGTATTCCAGACTATAATCTATTTATGTGCCAAATTCCATCAAGATCCCTTGCATATTGAGTTAAAAATATCCGTCTCCATTTATGGTATTAATTCGGTTGTAATTTCACTAAAAGATATGCTGATCAAAATAGAATATGTAATAAAGCTTGCGTAGGTTGTAATCGTAACAGATTTCTTTTTATCTACGGTTATTGAAAGAAAAACTCCTTGTAGATTTAATAAAAGTTATAAAATGTACACGTCAGAAATGTCAAGAGTTTGAAAATTTCTAATGTGTTTTCATATTATGCAATAGTTGATCGCTCTCCACAAAATGTCTCAAACATAGGCGTTTATAAGCAATTGACCAAATAAAACCTTCAGTAATTATGCATTACATTTAAATGGTGTACGTCATAAAAATGTAATACACTAATTACCACGATAACTTATACAATTCCGTAATTAGTTTATTAGTTTATTATGCGGCCTAAAAACCTGGGATTCGAAGATTGTGACATTATCCCGTACTGCCGAATCACAGAACCTAACACCCAAACACACGAATGTGACTCTCAAAATTATAATAGGGATCCAAAAAAGGCAAGTAAGTTACCAATACCGCGAGATTTAAATATAGATGAACGTGTAGTGAATACTCATTCTTCAAATAAAACGGAATATGATCCTGAAAAAGAAACCAACCAGAAACCTAAAAAATGCAAGGACTTTAAATCATCATCGGAGACCAAATTTACCAATAAAAGAAGTAATCGTCACTCATCTTTATCTCAAAAATGTTCTTCTGAAAACGTTTCCATAAGAGACAGTTCGCAAGACAGTTATAATTCAGATAGTAGTGAAAATGAGTGTAAAGAAAAACATCCTCATGATAATCGAGATAAGAACTCTACTAACTCTACCTCTAGTGCAGTAAGCCTTACTCCAAAACACAAAAAATGTCGCAAAAGGCTTTATAAAAAGAAGTCTAAAATATGCCTCAAAAATAATATAGAGATTTTGGAAAGTACTTGTAAAATTCCATTGACCAAAAAACATAAACCTGTAAATTCTGGTAAAATCAACAGTAATGATTCAGGTGAAAAAGTCAAAGTAAAATGTTCTAGAAACAATTTATCCGATTGTTCTGATTCTTGTGCGAGTATTTGTCCCCATTCTAAAAATACAAAAACCTGCAATCCATCCAATTTTTGTAGTAACTGTCAAAAATTTTATGAAAGTATTCTAACTAGCATCAACTCACACTCAGTGGAAGAAAAATCATGTAAAAACTGTATTAAAAATAAGCAACTTTTTGAAGATAATAAAAAGAAGATAAGTCATGATACGGAAGATGACCAGTTGAGTCAATTTGAAGTTGAAGAACGTAAAATATCTTATGAAGAGCTGTCAGAAGGAAAGTCTAATACAAAATGCCCAACAACAGAAAAAACTTGTGATAATTTTGGCGCAAAGCTGTCAAGTCAGATCTCAGAGAAAATAAATGAAAGTTTCTGCAATGATTCTAGTGAAAATAAAAACTTAGAAAAAGACTTACTTGAAGAAAATTTCAGTCAATCCAAAAGTTGCAGTGATTATGCCTCTAAAGAGCAAGATTCGAGAAAAGGCCTTAGCGAGGAACAGTCAAGAAAACCCGTTGCAAAGAAGAAATGTGATTGTAAAGATAGAAAATATTGTAAAATAGACCCAGACAATGAGGATTACAAGGAGAAAGTAGGAGACATTTACTCAAGCAATAAGTCTAATATTTGTGCAATTACCAGTGAGCCTATTTTAAACTGTCCGACATCGAAACAGTATTTTGAAGACTTTTGCAAAGAGAATGACAAATTGAAACAGCTTGAAAAAACAAGAAAATGTGCTGAAAATAAGAAAAATAAGTTGGAGTCTATGTTGAATCCGTCAAATACAAATAAAAATATTTTAAATCGAGAAGAGACAAGCGAAAAACAGTTGAGTGAGTCTTTGAAAAAGAAAAAATGTGCTTGTAGAAAAACTAATGATAACAAAGACTTACAAACGTTGAGTAAAGTAGCTTCAAATAAGCAGATTGAAAAGAAGAAATGCTGCTGTAAAAACGAAAACAAAAACGATCAAGAGAAAAAGTATTATGACATAGACTTATGTGGAAAAAAAACTTATATAGAGTGCCCGAGAAAGAAACAATCGTTTGAAGATTTTTGTAAAGAAAAACAAAAATTGATTGAACCTACAGATAACATATGCTCCAATATAAGAAAAAGACAGAAACAATGTGGAAAGCAAGCTCAGGACGTAGAAAACAAACAAAGTTTTCAAACAAAAAACATGACTTATAAATTGGAATCGAATTTGAGTCTATCAAATCGTGCAAAAAGTACAGCTGTCCTCCCTTTAGAAAACCAAATAGATCTTATAGAGCGTTTTAGGGATTTCGAGTTAGAATCTGATTCTTCATCAAATTCAATAAGGCTAAGTGCATCAATTCTGTTATTAAAAATGCAGAATCCATACCTTCGAGAGTATTTAGGAGATAGTGAGACTAGCACTAATCCGAGTTTGTCAGTTAGTAATTTGTCTCCAAAAAGTATCAGTCATGTCTGCTCTCAATCTAGTCTTTCATCTGAAACAAAGTTTTCTGAACTATTTAAGAAGAGTTTTCATAGTGATAATAATAACAAGTGCATGACTAAAAGACTTGATAAAGGTATTAGCAAGCAAGTATCAACTGAAAGCTTTCAAGAGAAGAATACATTTGAAACTAAACTTTGTGGTAAATGGAGTCTATACCAAATACAAATACAGAGTGAATCAGATGAAGAGCTTTGCAGACAGTATGAGGAATATTTAAGACAAGAAGAAGAATTCAGAGCAGCAGAATTTAACACCTCATCAGACCAAAACATGAATTTATCTCAATCTGACTATCTTTTTAGTATGAATTCCCCCAACTCTTCTTCTGAATCCATAAAAAAATTACCTTTGATAATAGAAAAGGAAAAGCTACCATCTTCTATCCCAGTTACAGGTGAAGGCCCGCTTAAATCGAATCAAAACGAAATCAAAATTTGGAACAATTGCTTATCAATGCTTTTAGGATCTGGTAACACTGATAACAGTGCCATTAAAACTTTGACACCGGAATTATTCCAATCAACTATGGAATCAGAATCAGGCACTAAAAAGTGTTTCACGAACCCAATCATGCTACAAGCTATTTCGGAAGAGAACAAGAACACTGCACCTTCTGCTTCCACGGAATATTTTTGTAGAAAAAAAGATTCAACTTGTAAAGTGACCATTAATAGATTAAATGCAATTGAAGAAAACGATCAGAAATTATCTCTAAACAAGGATGAATCGACAAAAGAGCGATCAATTACTTTATCACCCAAAATTAGTTCCTTAGATAAAGAAAGCCTCAAAGCCTTTTCTGACGCACATGATCAAACTATGGCTACTATAAAGTACGCTATGCAAGACTTAGCAGACACAATTTATAAAAATACGTCAGAAGTAGCCCTAAGTGCCGTCACACGTATTCAATCTGAGAGCGCCAAGCCGATAGAAATCATCAAAAATTACAGGCAGAGTGAGGCTTCACAAATTAATAAGTTAATCGACGACAACACTGAAAATAAACTGAAAATAATTATGAGTAAAATTAGTGGAGGGGATGAATCGGAACCTCCACTCCATGAAAAAATGTACATAAAAGCTAATGAAGCAATCAAATCCACAATGTTATATGTTGGCGATTCTGCCTTGGGAAAAATTACACTTCCAAATTTTAATGATGAAAGTTCTGCTTATGACGTACCAGATTCCAATTTAGAAAAAAAATGTAGCAAGATGCAAGACATAGCTCATGTAGTTAGCAGTAATCTTTTTAGTGACATGTTTGCAACTATGAAAGCTAAGTTTTGGACTATGTTCACTAATACAGACAAACGTGAAGAAAATGTTTCTTTCAAAGCATCTGAGACATCAGTCTGTAGTAATTTGAATGAAAGCGAGACAGAAAGCGAGGAAGATATAACGAATAATTTAACAGAATAAACAATCCAAGGAAATGAAAACGTGCGTAAAATAAATAAATAGAACGTTTTGTTCAGAGTTTTTTTTATTACAAATAATTTGTCTTACAGTTCATAACTATCCGTGTGGAAACGGATTAAGAATACTGAGTATCAGCACTCTTATTGTGTCGTAAAAACCGACTAAGGAGGAAACTACCCGGACGATAGCACTGCAAAGAGAAGGAAAATTTTACACAAATCCTCTACAACCCGACTGATCAGCTTGGTATAGTAGGCCAAAACCTCCTTTCCACGGCCTATGTTTGGCAGTGGACTAATGAGGGTTGTTGATGATGATGATTCTAGTATAAATAGAAAGAAAAACAGCCGTACATTGCGTTACATATCAAAATACATATTAGATTAGGTTTAAACAATTTAATCTCGAAAAGACATATGAGAAATTATTTAAGCTTAAAAATAACTATTTGATACTATTGTCATCTAGAACATTTAGATATTTAGTGAAATTACAATTATTATTATTGAAGTTTCAAAAAAAAATATCTTTAAAGGTAGACTGATATACGGGCATGCCGTTATCGCAGCGGTAAAACCCGTTGTGAAGGATTGGCTCGAGGGGCATCATTGGAACCTCTCTCTCGGGAAAATAAGCTCCAGAGATCACCTGTGTCTGATCAGCTAGGAGCCTACCCCTGAGTGCCACCACTGCAGTGACCGGACCGTGGTCACGGCTCTCCTCACGCTGGCAGAATGCCTGGCGTGGGTTGAGCAGAGACGTGACCTCATGGCGGCCATCGGAGTGAGAGTTCTCTCTCTCGGTAACATGAATGCGGCCATGGTACGGGAGTGCATGGAACTCCGCTGTCTCCTTCTGGAATATTAATACTTGGAATAATATTCATACTTTTATCCTAGAAAAGGTAGGTTAATCGTTGATATTATGTAAAATGTATATTGCACCTTATATTCTATCTAAATGTGGAAGAGCAATGCTTCAACACAAATGTAACATTTAAATCATGCTCTTCATAGCTTCATGCTCAACCTTCACCCTCATGAAGAAGGTACTGCTAATGAATGGAGAATATTAAAGCCATCTCCGTTTTGCAGATGAAAAAGTTGTCTTCCTTGCAATGTTATTTAATATTTAGAACAAGCAAATTACTTTATACATACAATGCATTACTAAATACATTCTCATCAAGTATTGTTAAATAATTTAGTAGTAGAATAAATGGCTTTTTTATTTTTATTTTATTTTTATTTACTCATACCTTCATGCGTCAGCTTTATTGTCATTGATTAGCTAGAAGACAAAGAAGTTCCAGAAGGCAATAGCAAGACAGAATTAGTCCGGGCTTGAGGGAAGGGACCATCTTTCCCCGCTGCCTGCAAACCTTATCTCTCACGCCCGCAGTGTAGTTATACGGGAAGGACCCCTTGTGCAAAGATAAAACACAAAACCAGAGACCCTTGTGTATACAGAAAGACATTCCCGATTCCTTCATTCTTCTGTCTGGCCTGTCGATCTAATGGCTAGTAATCCTATCCACCAACTGATATTTTCTGGGTTCGATTCCAACCCACGACAATTAATTGTGTGATTAGCACGATTATTTGTTGTGATTCTGCATATTATCATGTATATCGGAACAACTACAAACTACCTCACTTAATAAAAATATTCGATTGATTTAAATTAGATTCTAATCGATTATAATTGAAGTTATGATAGATAGTGTTAAGAAATAACCTGAAGAATCGTATTATCTAAACACAACAAGAAAATACAACAAATTAAATGGTATAGGAGCAGATGGGTCCTCTGATGACAAGTAAACGCTTAGAATTCAAGATTCACAAGTGTTATAAATAACATGTGTGTGGAGGAACGGGTGTCATGTCCCTCCAACACAAAGGAAGGATCCTCCGACAAGGCGAAGTGATCATTCCTGGCGGGCCGCTGCCCAACGGTTGATGTTGGGATGTTGTATATATGCTAATCGGCGAGAGAATCGTTAAATGTGCTCGATACGTAGTTGTACAAAAGTACAGGACTGCCCTTTATTAGAAAAATAGCATGTTTATGTGTTTCGAGATCTATAACAAAATTCCCCAATATCTAAGAGAATTACTCTTTAAATTGTTTGGTGTACGCCTAAAGAAATGGCTAATTGAAAAATTCTTCTACACTGTTAAAGAATTTTTGGAGTCAACATTTATAGAATGTCCAAAATAGGCTGATTGATGTTACTCAAATATTATTTCCCTGCAATAACTGTATCTAAATCTTTATTTTTTACATAAAATTAACTTTACAGTACACAATATTTAATTTTTTTAACTTTCTACAATATGAACATGGCGGTAACACTTATTACACACGTGAAATTATCACGTGCATCATATTTGTTTAAAAAAGGGTATAAAAATCTCCCTACGTATTAACACCCTTAGGAGTAGAATTTTTAAAAATCCTTTCTTAGTGAACACCTACGTCACCTACGAAATATTTGTGCAAAATTTCATGTTTCAGATCCAGCGGTTTCACCAGTACGTTGATCGAGCAATCAGTGAATCAGTTTGTCCGTTTCTTCTAATATAGATATAAAAGAAGTTCATACCATGCATCCTACGACATCTGAAAATTCACAACGTACAGGCCGAAAACTATCTTCTAGCTTCGTGACACTCTAAAAAAAAATATTTTTCTACATTTCAACCCATACAGCTTAATATGTCGATCAAATAACTGTCACTAAAGAAAAAAATGAGCAAAATATGATTACAAAATAAAAATAAATAAAACCAAAATGTCTGAACAGAATCCCTGTACAAAAAAGTGCAAAAAAGGAAACAGCATTTGTGTACCCTGTGTCATTCCAAGTACAGAAAACAAAATGATCAAAGAAGAGAAGAATAAAGACTCAAATGCTCCCGACTGCCAGTGTACTGGTAAAAGGGGTTGCCAGAATGAAGAAAATCATGAATAACTAACCATGACTTCAGCCGCAACAGCTAGACAACTAATGAGTACAGCCACATTGCACATCAGAGCCTTTAGACAAACTGCACCTGCTTTGGCCAAACAGAACTGATTCAAGCCGATAAGGATATATTTACATACACTTCAGACTAATGTTAGTATTTTTACATATTCCCATCCTTTTAACTATCTGCTCTCTCATTCCAGCAAAGCCCTGAAGGTAGTAAATCGACTAACTGCTTAAGTAATTTGTGACTCAGTTATGTGATCTTTGTATGCGATCTTTTAGTTAAAGAACCAAGCCTCGCCGCATTTGGGCCAGCTCTATCGGGGCACCAGGTACCACGGCCTCACAGAAAAGCGTGCGCCCAAACCCCTTACTTTAGGAGGACTCAAATGGAAGCAACAGCTTAGTGTCTCCTGATTTGCAGGTGCCCCAATATCACAAAAGAAAATATTCTTCACCCTTACTCATCCTACCCCATTCCCCCTCCCCAGCCGTGAGCGTCCTTTATTGCAATCGAACCCAGTAGTTTTGCAAAATTAATTTCCATGATTCTCTCCGTGTGGTGACGGATTACGTATACAGAGTGTCACCACTCCTTTTCATCGCGTGGGTGTAGTAAGAGCCGACTAAGAGAATCACGCAGGACAACAGCACTACAATGAGTAGGAAAACTTGACACAAACCCTATACCAACCCGTCTGGCCAGCATGGTATAGTAGGCCAAACCCGCCTTTCTAAGGAGATGCCTATGTCCAGCACTGGACTATTAAAGGCTGTTGATGATGATTTTCTTGATTATTGATTCCTTACCTGTTCGACATATTCTGTGTTCTTACAGAATAAAATGGTTGACGCAAATAGGTCATTGTTGGTAAAATACTGCGTGCGGCCAGAGGCGCCACATGACTGCGACAATATTCCTTGCGACCCATTGGAGGAGGTGGAAGGAGAGTGTCCGAAGCCATACATTTGTGCAGAAAGGATAAAAAACCCAGCTTTACCACATGAAAATAGTAAGTAAAAGTCCGGCCAATTGCTTATAGCAGTTTCAGGTGGACACCAGCAAATTACGAGACGGACAGACGGGTCACCTGTTGCAAAGTGACCATCGGCGCCCATGAACGTCTGCAAGTCAGGAGTCACAAACGCGTTGCCGACCTTTTAGAAAGGAGTACGCTCTTTTCTTTTAGGTTTGAAGGTCGTATCAGTCCGGAAATATCGCAGACGATAACCCGTTCCACAGATTGGTTGTGTGGGGCAAAAAGTGTTACAGTGCATTTTCAAACGTCAATAGGAAATTTTAATAATAATTGTAAAAAACTAGCTGTACCCAGCCACGCTTTGCTTTAGCATATTGTGGATGAATTTATAAGTAATAAGAACTATCTTTGAAACCTTTTTTTTGTTTTATGGAATAGAGATCAAACGAGCAGACGGGTCACCTGATGGAAAGCGACTACCGCCGCCTATGAACGCCTGCAACTTAGGAGTCACAAGCGTATTGCCAGCCTTTGAGAAACGAGTACGCTCTTTTCTTGAAGGTTTTTGAAGGTCGTATCGTACCTTAGCTTTGGTTTTTATATCGTGCCGAAATATCAAGTCAATCGGTGAAGAACTTTTTGAGGTTTTAAAGCATACATAAACCAACTTAACATTTATAAATAAATATAAGATGCCGATAAATTAGAAGATCAAAACTAAGATAACCCTGAATGATCTAAGCAAAAGGTCCTAAGAGTCACATTTATATTATTATCGCTAGCCTAACATAGACCAGAAAAGACGTAACTGCTGGTATGGAATGGATGTATGGTAAAGAAAAACTGGTGGTGATGAAGATTTCAGAAAACCCGGTCGGTTCGATGGAATCACACACACATTTAATATTAACAAAAAAAAAGGAAATTGAAAGGAACTGATCACCATCGATTGTAACTGCATTAAGATGCATCAGTATTTAGAAAATACTCTCTGAGATTGTAAATCTCGCGATTATGCTGGGTCTTGATATTTAATAGTCCCCGACCCCAAATTTTCGTGGGATATACAGTCTCATAACCGATGAACGTGGGTGGTGCATACGGGATGCCGTCAGCAGTGTATGGACTCCTCTGTCAAGGGCATCTAATTCGGTCTGAGTACATCTAAGTGTACCAAAGGAATACATCAGAACCGGCATGACCCAACAGGTCGTGCCAACCGTTGATGCAAACCCGGTCAGGTCGATGGAATCACACACTCATTTAATATTTACAAAAAAAGGAAGAAATAGAGAAGAACTGATCACCGGATGGCAAAAAATTTCGTGCTGCTCTTATTAGTCCGTAGTCGCTTTCGAAGACACTTTCTTATCGGGACTTGTACCAACTCACTCTGTCTATGAGAGTTACTTTGGACGTACTCTTATAGATATGCAGATTAAGTGAATTTCAGAATTTATTCAATCTATCTTGTATAATTATATTATAAAGCTGCGGAATTTGTTTGGTTGAACGCGCTCAGGAAATACTAGATCGAAATTTATAAAACTTTTAGTGTTGGATAGCTCACTTCTCGAAGAAGGCCATAGGCTATATAACATCGCACTAACGCAAATAGGATCATCAAAGAAAAAAGTTGCGGGAAAACGGGGAGAACTTATTCGTTTTGGGAGACGTAAAGTTGCGTGGGACAACTAGTTGTATTATAAGTACAACATCATAGAATAAGTCGAAACGACCATTCTTCAATAATATTTTAATTCTAAATAGCCGTCAACGCGTTTGTGACTCCTGAGATGCAGGCGTTCATGGGTAGTCACTTTTCATCAGGTAACCAGTCTGCACGTCTGCCCCCACTTCCATAAAAAAACCTTAAAATTAAATATAATTAACTCAAAAGTGGGTTTACTTTTCAACTGATATGAATTCTGAATACTACTACTAACTATCACTTCCATATCACAAAGCATCCATCTGGCATCAGTCAAGCATATTTGAGCCTTTGCCTCACTAAAAATAAAATTTCTTTCAGCTCGCTGTCTACCTGGATCCTTTATAAATGTTAAAAGTTGCTTCGTACCCGACCCTGACCATCCATGTGACCCGCCTGTGCCGTGCAGCGTCAAAGGTAAAACCAGAAATTGCCAAGACCCAACATTGTGTCATCATAGGCTCAAAAACCCTGAGATTCCAAAGCGACGTATCACTAACGATTGTGATCCCAATAAATAAATTTATCATCTCATGGTATCTATTAAATAAATTACTAACTCTAAACTGCTATTTCATTTCACACGTAATAATAATAACTTCACATCTCACGCACAGCCGTCTGATAACAAATTAGGCGAAGCCTGTGCTATGGTAACTGCTGATAAGCATACTTATATTCATCATCATCATAATCAACAGTCTTTACTAGTCCAATGCTGGACATAAGCCTCTCCTTAGAAAAGAGGTTTTGGCCCAATATACCACGCTGGTCAGACGGGTTGGTATAGGGTTTGTTTTAAGTTTTCCTTCCCTTTGCAGTGCTGTCGTCCGGCGTAGTTTATTCCCTTAGTCGGCTCTTACGACACCCACGGGATGGATAGGGGTGATGAAACTGTATTCTTAGTCCGTCACCACACATATATTTCTTAATAATACATATTACTAGCTGACCCGGCAAACGTTATTTTGCCACATTGATGTTTTTTTTGTCAAAAACATAAAAGAAAACGTTTAGGGGTATGAAAAATAGATGTGGCCGATTCTCAGACCTACCCGATATGACCCGACACAAAATTTTATAAAAATCGGTCCAACCGTTTCGGAGGAGTTTGGTAACAAACACCGCGCCACGAGAATTTTATATATCAGATAAATAAAGTACACCTAGACACAGAACAAATGATCGTGCTTATAACAAAATTATTAGTCCTGGGTGGAAATCGAATTCACGACCTCCTACTTAGCAGTCACAGATAATATACAGATAGCTGTCGTAAGCTCAATATGCAATCAATCTTGTAACCATTGAGAAGAGAAAGAGAAGTACAGGACGAATTGGTTCTGTGCCTAATACTTCCCAAATTGTCAAAAGTAACTGAATATCAATTTAACCAAAACATATCAACCGTACTTGTTAAAAAAAGCGTGGTCAAATTTCGAAAGGAGGTGTTTTTTCCAGCTCCAACTAATATTTCCTACTGGTAGGAGCATTAAATAGCCTAAAAAACATCGTTCGTAGTAATTTTTTACAGAGTGTGAGCATCAGGATATAGAATAAATATTTTTCGTGCTCCTACTAAATGGTTGCAGAACGATGAATAATATATTCTCGTGCTGCTATCAGTGGGACTGATCTGGGTTTGCATAGTAAGCTCGCATAATTCAATTTTCTTACGCTGATTGAGATTACTGGCGTCCCAACTCTCGATCCAAGCCCTAATTAGGATCAGGCAAGCACTCAAAGGATGGTAACGCATTTGTCTCTTGAGTTGACAGTGTCCACTGGTGGTGGCAGTCGCTATAGCCATGACGGTAGATTGGGCTAATTTGAATAAAACAATGGACAATTAGGATAAAAAGACCGGTTGACCTAGAATTGTCAATTTTTGTAAAAAGCAAGGTCTTACAGCACAAGTAAAGAGAAAAATTTAACTTGCTGGGTCTACCCGTTCCTGAGAAAAATCGGTGGTGACACACGGACAGATAGACAGACGGACAAGAAAGTGATATTATAAGGGTTCCTTTTTTACCTTTTGAGATACGAAACCCTAAAAATATTTATGAATTATGCGATTCCAAATATTTGGACTCCGTACACCAAGACCAGCTCTATATTATTATTATAAACGCGAAAGTTTGTGAAGAAGGATGAACTGAACCAATATGGATTATATTTGACTCAGCAATAAATTACAGAAGTGTCAGTGTGGTGATGAATTAAGAATACGGAGTGTCACCACCCTTATTCATCCCGTGGGTGCCGTGAGAGCCGAATAACAAACAGCACTGCAAAGAGAAGGAAAACTCGAAACAAACCCTAAACCAACCCGTCTGGCCAGCGTGTATTATCTATGGTGGTATAAACCTCCTTTCTGAGGATGCCTATGTCCAGCAATAGACTATTAAAGGCGGTTAATAAATAAAATACAATCTAAAATCTTTAAGATGTTATTTATCTTAAGCTGCGTGCAAAGGCTAGTAAAAAGTTAAAAAAAAATAACCCATTCCAAGAACAGAATAATCTGATTTTGAACAGATTTCTTTTTAATACGATTACAATTATTACTATGAGATCATTATTATATGTATAATCAAAGCGATTTATCAAGATAAGTAACATTTTTGTGAAAACAATTTTAAGAATATTTTGCACCGTTCTTTGAAAGGACTTAAATATGTATTAAAGGTCCTGTGTAGGTCCGTTTTGGATCATTATGTACTCGTCATAAATAAAGTAAATATTGAAAAGCGACTTTTTGAACTTACATTCAAACTTCTTTTACAATTCTTTATTTCATTGTTTTTAAATAGAATATTTGACATACATATTTTAGAACAAAAGTATTTGTCAATACAACATCAAACATAGGTACAATGGTGAAATAAAACAATATTTGGGACATGTTTATGAAAAAATGCACAGTCGAAAAAGTACCAGACCCTCCTCCGCCTGACCTATGCAAACTTCAGCGCATAAGAAAAAAACAAAAAGCTGGTATTAAAATATGTCCCAAACCACCACCCCCTCAGCCAGAACCTCCGCCTACTTGTTTTGGTATTTGTATAGAAAAGGTTAAAAATCCTCCATTACCACCGAAAACGCAAGATTTTCCAATAGTCTGCACTGTAGCAAGAGAAATTACAACAGAAGACAGGTGTGACGCAATTAAATGGGCAACAGCTGCAAAACCCGATCTTCCTTGGCCAAGTTGTCCACCTCCACCACCAGCTCCAGAACCGCCGAAACGTGACCCTTGTGAAGAATTAGAAAGACGAAAAAGAATAGCTCGATGCAAAGAAAGAATGAGACGATACTACGACTAATGGATTTACAGGATAGTTCACATAGTTCTAATTCTCTACTACAGAAATTAACATTCCAAATTTCCTCCAAAGACAAAACCAACCAAAGAACATTAACGATGGAACCTATAGCGGCTATAAATACAGATATTAAGGATCCCTCACATGACATAGATAAAGAAATAACAGATTTAGAAAATCTGATAAGAAAGCTCCAGACTGAAATATTTGAAATGAGTCAAAATGCAAGCAAGCCTCTAGAGGAATACATTCCCAATTTCGAAGAATACAATAATACATCCAGTGACACAAGGGCAGATATGTTTAATAAACCACAAAGTAAACCGAATGATTCCATTGATAGCGTTAGAGTGACTTTCAAAAAGTTATGGAATGATTCAAGTTCAGCTACTACCAGTAATACAACAGAACAAAATGTCAAAAATGATTCAAAAAAAGAGTTGCAGGGCAAAACTGGTAACAAATATTTTGATGATGATTTTAACTTTAATTTCAATGTCAGCATACTCAAAGATTATATAGATGCCAACAAAAAAGATTTTGAACAGTTGGAAAACAAGAATAACGATTTACCGAAAAATATAGATGAAAACGAATCAAAGCCTCTCAATGATGAGCAAAACGAACCAAAGACACCAATCAGAGATGAGAAGATATCGGACCAGCCAGTCAATAATAATACGAAATTTGGTTTACTCATGCGTGTTTTTGGTAATACAAGTACATCTGATGAAAAAGTTGGTATTGAATCATCAAGTGCAGGTAGTATTGGTCGAAAAATTCTTGAAGCTCTACATATAAATAAGTCGAAAAGTGAGCCTTCAAATAATATGAGTAGTAAAAAGTCTGATACATCTTCTCTTGGTGACTCTTCAATGAATACAACATCTATTATTCCTAAAGTTAAACCATATGTATCTGAAAATGTGATAAGTAAGGATTATGGAGAAGTAAACACTAATAATGATTTTGTTACATCAAAAAATCATTTAAACCACATTAATATTCAGAATTCTGAAACACCTCAACCTTCAAACGCGAATAGAAATGAAAGTAGTTCTATGCAAAAAGACTTAAAAGATGAGAATATCCAAGATAAGTATCTACATTCACATAGTATTAGTAACTTTATAAAACCAGAAAAGGACTGTAAAAAACAGTCAAATAAAGCTTTAGTGAACAAGAATGATGATTCTGAAACACCGCTTCCTCAAAAAGTAAGCATTATTAACATATATATCGATTTACCGAAACAAGATAACAGCAAACAAAATGGACAACAAGAAGATATTACCAAAACAGTTGTTCTTAAGCCACCAAAAAGTAAAACGTCTGTACCTTCTATAAAACTAGGAGTTTCAAAAGAGAACATTCAAATAAAACAAGATTCGGACGCTTATGAAAAGTCACCTAAAACTAGCAATTCTGATATTTCTCAGACTGAGAACCAAGCGAGAGTAAATGACCTCAAATGTCATGAAATCAAAAAGAGTAACACATTATTCGACATGGCTTCCAGATTTTTAAATAGCGATACTATCAAAGATCACAATATAGAGCCAGAACACATGAAAAATTCAAAAAGTTCTTTAAATACTCCAGTGCAACCAATAAAAGATCTAACCAAGTTTCCTACAGATACTAAAACTGTTACATGTAACGAAGGGAGGGATTTATCGAATGATTTCCATCACAAAAGTGATTGTAACGTAAATGATCACAAGAGCAGTCTTCCTAAGCTAGATGAGAACGTTAGTAAGAAAGAAATATTTAGTGAAGGACCAATTGTAACAGTGGAGGTTAATCAAGTAGCAGAAACGTTGAAGAATAATGCTGACATAACCAATCTTGTGTCCCAAAATATTAATAACGAAACGAAAAAAGGAACTAAAACAGTTAGTCTTACAATTATTGAACCTGAAGAAGATGTCACGTCTAAAAACCAACTTAACGAGGCAAATAAGAACACGGTACAAGATAACTCACTTTCCACTGATCGTAATCAAATAAATGCAAATGAAAGTGTTGAGAATGTGAGCTTTGAGAATGAAGACTTTACTGATGAGTACGAAAGTCTAGCTGACGACGACGAAAATGAATCTCTTTTTGAAGACAGTTTTCACAATGACCATCCAATTATCATAAACAACACTCACATCACAATAAATAATGGAGACAATCAAAGCGATGTATTCGAGGACTCTCAAGATTTCACACGTGAAGCTGTGCCGATGGACCCGAAGAGAATAAAAAAAGTAAATAAATGAAAAAGTAATAAATGAAAAATAACTCATTAATTTCTAAGACGGTCTCATTGGCCATTAAAGAAACTAATAAGAAAACAAATACGAAAAATTTCAAAATGAATAAAAAATTGTAATTTCCTAATATTAATTTTATTCGTTAAATTCATGCCTCATCTCATTTTCATATGTACAGTGGTTTTATTGTTTCAATGACATAAGCATGATATCTATGTAAAGTCTGGGGTTCCATTTTCTGGTCGAGCGAAAGTGATATTGAATTTCCTTTTACAAAGTTGCAGGTAAGTAAGTACTTTAAAGACCATGTTGGCTCATTGTCGTGTGTGTTTCACGTCACATCAACGGCCTTTTTCTGTAAAACCAATTTATTTAAAATAAAATAAAAAGTGATTTAAACAAAAAAAAATACGCACGAATTCACGTCATTATTTAAAATATTCGTGTGAGGGTTGCACGTTCACCCCATAGATTGTTTACCATAATTTTAAATACCTGTACCTGACATGAAGGTCCAAATAAAGGAAGGCAAACAAAAAATAATAAATGGCTCCAGTGCTGAACATAGACCACCTCTGAGAAAGGAGGTTTTGGCCAACTATAATACCACGCCAACCAGACCAGGTTGGTATAGGGTTTTTTTCAAGTTTTCCCGTGGTGTGCAGTTTTCCAGTGCTGTTGTCCTTTGTAGTTTGATCCCTTAGTTGGCTTTTACGGCAGCCAAGGGATGAATAGGGGTGGTGGTACTCTTAATCCGACACCACCGTCGGAGAGACGTGTGAGTGTATGAAAAAATAATATATAAATGTATAAACAGGCAGTTTTCGAACTCGAGCGACAAGTCCAGTTTCGCGGTCATTTAGAGGGTAAAGTCAAATTGGCCTCGAAGAAGCTCGGTGTGCTGAACAGATCGAGGCAGTACTTCACTCCAGCTCATCGCCTCCAACTCTATAAGGCGCAAGTCCAGCCACATATAGAATACTATTCTCATGTCTATGCAGTGGCACCTCAGTATAAGCTTCTCCCTCTAGACCGTATCCAAAGAAGAGCGACTCGAATTGCCGATAGCCAAAAGATCTCCGACCGGCTCGATACCTTGGCGTTGCGTAGAGATGTACCTTCGCTCTTCATTCTCTATCGTATGTATCATGGAGAGTGCTCCGAGGAATTGTTCGGACTAATATAGGCCGCAACTTTCCTTCATCGTTCCGCACGGCAAAAATTTTATCTCCACCATTGGATAATTGGCACTCCACCACTGTGCGCTTTTCGAGACACCTTTGCCTCGCACTATCATCCTGTGGAACGGGTTATCGTTTGCAGTATTTCTTGACCGATACGACCTTCAAACCTTCAAGAAAAGAGCGTACCTCAAAGGCTTCCTTCCGGCAACGCGCCTATGAATCCTGAGTTGCAGACGGTAGTGGCTTTCCATCAGGTGACCCGTCTGCTCGTTTGCCTGCTATTCCATAAATTAAAAAAAAATTAGGCAAGTTCTCTCTCAAGTAATCTTATGACGTCACACTACGCCGTTGCTGAAATCACATTTTCAATATTAAAATCCTACTGGTTTTCATTTACATCATTTACGTAACGTCTTGCGGTCCAACACGGGACAAAATTATCATTGGTGCTGATTTCAATGCATCACCTACATTATGGTATGGTAAGTTGCGTTCAACCGGATGGTTCGACGCTGTGCGGTTGAAGACTTCATTGCGGAAAAGAATCTTACTATTTATAATAGCCTGGATGCACCACCAACTTTAACAATGCAATGGGTGAGTCTTCTATTGACTAATTTAATTAATCTTGACTCTACTGTACCATTTAGCCCACGAATTCGATTCAAGACCGCTGTCTGATTACCAATGGTTAACTCCTCCAGTTTTCTTCTGATTAATTTCGTTGCGGGCTCCAAGACAGTTTAATTTCTTCCTGGGACTTCCCGAGTGTCATAACTCGGGTGTGTTCGTGGGTCACTGCTGTTGATCCTGGTGTACAGGAGTTACAGTGGTGGACGTGTGGGTGGGATTAGTCCCAACTGGTTAAACCTCATAGGATGAAATCAAGTTTTAAATCTTTTTAACAATTTATTCACATAAACAGGTATATTTCCATACAAAATACATCATTTAAAATATTTTATATCATTTTCATACTAATTAGACATTCACATAAAACCTAAGCAAGCATTTATGACTAGAATTACTCAAGGTAGTACCCATAGAACTATATATAATAGTTTCATTTATATCCATTTAAAATAGGGCTATATCAATAAATAAATTCATTTATATAGCAGAAAATATAGCAACACTATTCATTTGAAGGCAATTAAATATTTTGGCACAATATTTTCACATATTTATGAATAAATAAGGCACATAGCCATATAGTTTTAATTATTTGTATAAATATATATTTAAAATTCCATTTAAAAATTCACTCTATACCACAAAAAACTTACAATTAAGGCCCCATAGGGGAGGAATCTAAAAAAAATGGGACCAATTTTTTTACAAAAGCTAGAAGCATCTCTTTCGTTTTACAAAATATTCATCGAAAAATCTATTTTTCTCCTCGATAGCCATCTTGGAGGCCACGGAGAAAATAAACTCTTAAGGTAGTCAACCATGAGAGTATCAATAAAACCAAACTGTGTTTCCATTTGTGTTATTTTGTCCTCGGTGGGGGCTGCATCGGAGGCTGGTGGAAGGGATGATATTGTCTTGAAAATATGCTCTCCTGAAAAAAAAAACGTTTTCATGTAACCTCACAAATCCCAGACTAGGAAGAACACCCAGACACATAACAAATGCTCATCACAGAACTATTTTTTCTGGTTGAGAATCGAACCCACGACCTGTGTCTAGCAGTCAGGATTAACCACTAGATCAATAGGCCCGGCAAAGTAGTTTTATTTATTGCCAGCGTGATAGAGAGACATGCGGTTATGATGAGATATTGTTTTAGTCCCAGTTTATATAGCAGCTTCTTTATCTTACTTTTCCCTTAGTTCCATCCAGAAACGATTAGATCCCAAGGAAGTTGGACATCAGGTGATGGGTCATAAAGAAACTAGTTTAAACACTTTGCAATGTAATCTATTATGCCTGTCCAAAATCTAATTCAGAAAAGGGCGGAAAGGTGTTAATTTTAAAGATACACTCCTGTAGTTTTTGAAGATTTAAATTTGCTTAATAACTTTCTTCTTAGATTATACCCCGACTTCACAAAAGACCCAGTTTGAACTACACATAGTGTGCTGAAATCCGTTTTCAATGAGAATGACTTTATGAGATTTATATCCTTAGTGTTGGTAATAAGATCTGTGCTCATAAGTGAAATACTTTGTATTGCATTGGTTAGGGCAAAAATAAGAAATTATCAAGAAATTGTCCTATTCCACTTACCACGTCAGTCGGCCTGGTTTGGGCAGCTCTCACTCTTCTCTCTTGTAAAATAATTTGGTTAGCAGCGCTGTAAGCATTCACTTATATTAGTTCACGTTTTCATTGAAATGTAATAGGAATGTGATGATGATATGTCAATAAGACTGGAAGCAAGATGTCAAGATCCTTCAGTATCTCATTACCACCAGTAATAGTGACAAACCCTCATCGAAGGGATCCTCAGAAGACAAATTGTAGCTGCTGCAAATATCACAGATTTGTCTTCATCGATGATGAAATGGTCATATGAATATGCTCAATCAGAAAATTAAATCATTATCATCATCTCAGCCTCCCCAAAGGTTCGCCACAACAACCGGTCCTATGCTGCCGCATCCAAGGGCTTCCTGTGGCTTTCACCAGGACGTTCATTGTTTCTGCGCACAATGTGCCCCGCCCACTGCCTATTAGGTTTGGCAATTCTTAGGGCAATGTCATCGACCTTGGTTCATCTGAGGATCTCCTCACACTCTCATCACGCAGAGAAACTCCGAACATTGCCCTCTCCATTGCTCTTTGGGCGGCTTTAAGCCTTCTTATGAGGCTTTAACAGCTGGCGTATATTTACTTAAAGGGTAGAGGTTAAAAAAAATCAGCGCAGATGAATGTCCTCCATTTTAAGATCAGGAAAAACAACACTTACATATTTCTTTGGAAATGGAGTTGGAGCTCAAATAGTATTAATAGTATTACAGTAGGTATGAAACAATTCTATTCACTAGCGAACAACAAATACCTTATATATGACACCATATCTAATCTATACCTGGACCAAAACCTCCTGTTAAATGCTGTTGATTATGATGATCTTAGTTTAGGATTAGATTAACCTCCTCTTGTTAACCACATACTTAAAGACAGGAAGCATGGATTACCATCTCCATAGATTTGAATAGAACAGACCTAACTGAAGACTTTACTCTACTTGAAATGTACACAGCATTCTTCGAGAGCCTGTATTAAGTAAATAATAGGTTTAGATTAGAAACAAAGTTATCTCACGTGTCCATCTCCTCTTGCGTGAGGTCGAGCGCCTCCTGCATCTCTCTCGAGGTGCTCTGAATAAAGTCTTTGTCACAGTACTTGCCGAGCCCCTGTTCCATCAGTACCTGCAATGAGGAAATTGATTCATAACTTTGAATAAACTTTTGAAATGTTTTTTTTTAAATCTCGCAATAGGAATAATTCCTGTACCGCGGAGTCTGGGTGTCCGTTTCGTCCTTACAAACATACACGAAACGGACACCCAGACTCAGAACAACAATTTGTGGATCACACAAAGTGTTGTCCCGTGTTGATCAAACCCACAATACTCAGCGCAGTAGTAAGCAGCAAGGTGACCGCTTAAACCACTACGCCATCCGTTTAGTCTAGGTAGTATAGGTAGCTAACCACGATTTAACAGCAAATAAATGTTCTTGACCCCTGAATGGGAGTTTTCCTAGCGTAAACAACGACCCGGCATAAAAATATCAGACCTAGGCAACTAAAGAAAGCCCAAGTTTTTTTGTTTTAAGTACGGGCCTGTTGGTCTAGTGGTTAGTGACCCTGACTGCTAAACCGGAGGTTGTGGGTTCGATTCCCACCCAGGACAAATATTGTGTGATGAGCACGGTCATTTGTTCTGTGTTTGGGTGTAATTTATCTATAATATGTATCTATTTAAAAATATATAAGTATGTTTATCAGCAGTCCGATTACCATAGTAGTGGTACAGGTTCTGCCTACTTTGGGATTATACGGCCGTGTGTGAGATATGTTATTATTATTTCTTTATTTCATTCTTTATACATATAAATTACATTTTTAAATATATTTATATACAAAAACAAAAAAAAATACATTTAAAAATATAAAAAATAGTATCCCATCGGTATCGGGTACAGAGACCAAGATATCGGTGGTTAGGACTCCAGAGACAGAAACTTCCTCACAATACGTGCCGTATCGAGAAGAACTGCTTTCTGCATCAGACCCCTAATCAAACTGCCTAACGCGAGCCTCTGAAGATGTTGGTCGAGGCTCTTAGCAACTAATCCATGGGCCGATATGACTATCGGTACAACGATTGCCGAATCAACATCCCCGTGTCGACAATCTCGTGGACTAAATCCAAATACTTCACTAATCAATACTTAATATTACTTTATATTACTTTCAATACTTATTATTATTATTATTACTGTACTTACTCGAATAATAAGATTCTCCGCTGGATTCTCTATGCAATAAGGCACGTTGTTGCTCTGTATCTGCGATTTGTCACGATCTGGAATCACAATGGATTCATCATTAGTATACTATGTTAGACTACTTGAGGTAAATGGCTGGCAGCGGATGGATGCGGACTACCCAAAACTGGGATGGTTGGCGCTCTTTGGGGAGGCCTTCGTTTAGCAGTGGACGGTAGTGCGCTGATGATGTGTTAGTATTAACGTGTGGTGACGGTTTAAAAATACGAAGTGCCACCACGTCCACGGAGTGTGCACTATTAAAGGCTGCTGATAATGATGATATTATGTATCGTGTCGTAAGAGCCGACTAAGGTAGCAAACTACGCAGGACAACAGCACTGCAAAGAGAAGGAAAACTTGTCCCGTCTGGCCAGCGTGGTATAGTAGGCCAAAACCTCCTTTCTAAGGAGCGGCCTATGTCCAGCAGTCGATTATTAAAGGCTGTTGCTGTGATGTGATGATGTGATGTGATGTATTAAAATTTGCGCAAAAGACAAAATCATGCATACGTATTGTGGAACGTATGTTGTAGATGCTTCCAACATTTTGAGCATGTACTACAGCTCGTATTTTCTTTAAGCAAGTAAACTAGATATTTGAGCGGTTAGCCGTACCTAAGGAGTTCCGAAGAATTCGGAACAATCTTCCACATCATAGAGAATTTAATATGAAGTTATGTTTTGCAGATCCTCAGTCAACGCTTATTCAGTTGCATGCGAAGTTTTGGCAGTGCCATTTTTCTTAGGTAATTCTAGTTGGTGTGGTCAATTCCAGTCCATTTCCCATTACTATTATAAATTTCAAGTTTTGAGAGGAGAGCATCTATTTCTAAGTGTTACATATGTAACTTTAGTTTATAAATATATAATGCTATTCGAAAATGATAGGTTACAAGGACATGGAAAAAATCCTACTGTTTAAGAGCTCATACGATTGCTCACACGACTGCAGGATTTTCTGACCTTTATAGTCCTAGTAAGAGAATATATGACATAACACACTTTTACTTCCATCTAGCTGATGGCCGTACATTTAACAAACTTTAATATCGAATTAGGCAGATGGGGTTTGCCCTAAAGTAAGCTTACTCATTCAGTGAAAGGCTACAAAATAATTACTTAAAACCAGCAATGCTGTTCTCTAAGGAAACAGCCTTGGCTTACAGCGCTGCCACAGCGTCGAACTTCAAACTAAGTTCGTTTGAAGTTCGACGCTGTGGCGCATGGCCGGTAGTGACAGATGTTTCACCGCGGTCGCATCCTTCTGCGTAGACGTCATCTCGCAGGAGGAGGCGGCCGGGAGGGCCCGGGAGGTCAACATCCACTCGGACATAATCCGTAGCCGGCGAAGCAGGCGGCGACGGGCGGTTGCCGCGGGTGGACGGGACGGGTTTTCCTCTCCACCCACCATAACGGCCAGCCGCGAGGAGGCTACGTCCGCGTGTACCGGACTTCGCCTAAATAGAGAATGTTCCCGAAGTTGGTGCTCGCAACGGGGCCGGAATGCCTTAACAACAGCAGTTTCCGGATCTCTCCTGTTACAGGCGCAGAGTGGCACCCCGGGTGGTTTTAGTCGGTCCGATTCCGACCCGCCGCAAAACCCAGTGGAATGAAGGCCCGAGGGGGTTTCCACACAGGTCCAGAAATATTTAGCAACCACAAACTATATGTAATATGTTTTACAGTAAAATAAACATTCATTTATTATAAGACCAATATCTAGTAGATCTATTGGTCTACATTGGACTTATAATTGTGTACACATAATCCCAAAAAGAAAAAGTACTTACTGTTATTACAATTCACTATCCATCAAATGCCTATTTTTCAAATGTTTAAATGTTCATACTGACAGTTACCATATCAAACATTGTTAGTTTGTACACTAAAGCAATCACACAACACAAAACAATAACTTGTCTGAAAATCTTATCGAAGCAATTTCTAAAGATATTTTAGTAGATTTTTTTTGTATCAGAAGTACAATATTCTCGTAATAAAAGTTCGAGTTACAATTCAATTCCGATCAACTCGATCTCACAACTGTCATCAAAGGTATTTCAGTAGTAAAGTAGGTAATAAACATCCAACTTTGACTGTAATGTGATTATTTCGTATTGTAACCGAAAATTGAATCAATAATCTGCTAGTCCTAGCAATACTTTACTATTTTATAATGAAAATACCTTTTATGGCAGTTGCGAAAGCGAGAGTTGATGGCCTAGTGTGAGGTTATTTTACTGCTACTCGATCGTCACGGTGACGGCGTTCGGTGCTGTGATTGGTGTAGAGTTTAGCGCGGACCAATCGTTCGGTGCTGTGATTGGTGTAGAGTTCAGCGCGGACCAATCGCAACGTCGAACGCGCTCGCTATTGAAAGCGAGTTCATGTGAAATAAACTCGTACTTGGCCCACGGAACTGAATTTTGACCGAACTGTTATTACAAGAATTGGCCTTCTGGAGTCAATTCACGCATCAATCATAGTATTGTATAGTTCCCAGACATTGTTATCTTATTACACATATATTATATGGTTAGACTGGTTAGATTACTATAGTAATAAAGTTGATTAAAATAAGCTATTAGGGACATTATTACAACCACGGAATATCTCTAGATCGACTGGTGTTCATATTTCATATCATTAACTAACCGTTTTTTTTTATTAGTCTCCGCCCTAAAAAGCTTACTTTTAAATATAATTTTAGCTTCAAAAACCTAAAACAAAAATGGCGAACAAAAATATTATGAAGAAAATTTTATGAAATCTAACACGGACACGGATGAACTGTAACTGTGACTAAAAACGCACGTGACACTTCGGCAAACTACTAGTAAACGATACTATAGCGATTAATTATAGCTAGTAATTTAAAATATTCCAATACACACAGAATAAGAAAATCAATTTAAAGAGTATTAACTTTCAACTATCCCGCGCAATCGTAATGTTCCGCCAATTTTTAATCTCCCATGGTTAAAACAATATTTAAAAAAAGAAACGAATACCAATAAATACGTTTCAGTGTTAATAGGGATATAATAAATATATAATTATTCACAATCAAAACACACTAAAACGGACTTACAGTTCTTTTTCATAGTCAGCATTAAATCGTTGGAGGTTTTTCTGCGAATATTATTTTTAGTCATTTTTTTGTTCAAAAATACTATACAGTTTGCATGTGTAAATACCGTTGCATCAGCATCATGCGACATCTTTAAGTGTAGTGTATCTACTGTACTGTGTTAAGGTGTAAGTTGATAGTATTTTAAATCAGAAAATAATACCAGTTATACAATATAGATGGCGTAGTAAAGAGTTGCATGAGCCAATAAATAGATGGCGTTTTATTACTGGTTTCTAAATCTCTTGTTATTTTGCATCTGTATAATATTTTAGCAATTTTAATGTGCCATGATTAAAAAAAAGAATAGATAAATTGTTCACGACACTAAGTACAAATAACATAATGGTCAAAAGTTACTTCAGCTATGTTTACGACAAATAACTAAAAATGTTAAAATACTTACTCGATTACTTTAAATATCTTTTCGGAGTCTTTTCCGTGAAGTAAAGGCTGCATCTGAATTTCTTCGTCACTCTGATTGGCATATTCAATTTTCCTGAAATAAAATGTGCAACCACTACTATAGCCATCAACGATTAGAATTTGACTGTTTTAAATTCCTAAATATGCTGAAGAAGAATTATTTAGCCAATAGCTGACTAAGACAGCTAATTATGTTGTTAAGGAAACTGTCCATATTGCAAATATAATAATAACATTAAATTTGACATCATTTTGAATATTAGACGGAGAGTTGTGACATAGCTCGATAGATGGCTCTGTGCCAAAAATTTAATCGGGTTGTAAAGATTCTCAACGAGTTCATTATATGCCTGGCTTTTGTATAGGCTGTGTTGAGTAAAAATCTACTATATAGTGAAAATGTGAATGATTCTCCGAAATATTTAGCGTGTACAGATATGAAATGCCTAAAGCCGAGTAAACAGTTTATTAATTGATATATCTATACCTACTACTACTTAAGATTTGAAAGTAGGACCTTTTTTACGTGTGGAAACCCCCAAAGGTTTGCCAAATTAATCTTCGTTAGCTATGAAATATTTAAGTTATACGTAACTGTTGATTGGTGTCTTTCATTTTTAAAACTGATGTGTGTTGTTTTGTGTTGATTTAAGAAGAGGCCTGTTAAAGGTTGTTGATGTGATGTGTTGTTTTATCTCGCTTAAGATAAAAAAAAATCTAATAATATATTTGTCGTGTTTAAATGAGTAGGTACTTACATTTCTTCTTCTGGTATTTTGCCATCCATGCCTAATTCTCTTCTCATCATATTACCCAGCGTTGGACCGTCCTTACCATCTAAAATACATATTTGAGTAAATAAGTAGACAAAAATATAAATAGCCTTCTACTTCTAGCGCTACTAAGTTTTGTCTCTGCTCAATAGCACCATCGAGGAACAAGATACAAAGTCTCTCCAACAAAGGACGTTCCTCCTAATTTTACCTATTTGCCCAATAAAATGACAGAGGCCGATAATATGTCATGAAACTTGAAATTAAATCAATTTACTTACTGCCATTACTAGAAGTTTGGATAGCCACTCTTTTATCTCGTCCATAGAAACTTTCCTTGCCATGTTTCTTAATGCTGGTCCACACAGCACCAAATAATGTGTGGTTCCGCTGTTAAAAAAGAAAAATTTATTTACGTGTATTAAAATATCTATTTGTCCAAAAAAAATCCTTTGAAAGTGTACAACAAGTCGCCAACTAGATCCAAATTCTAGTAGTAGATACCTTAGTAGACCCCTGATTCTTCTTTAAAGTTACAAAAAATATGTCAACCTTGTCACGTCATGATATACAACGCTGTCATGCAGAGTTCAAACTCCACATGAGAAATTCTAAGGAACACATTTAAGTTGTACGACGTGTGGTAGACGAGTGTACATCCGAATTACTATTTATAGGCGTTTTTGTAACACGAAATAAAAAAATAAGATGGCGGCCAAAGAGCGTGCGTGATATGCTGGGTTCAGCGGAGTTCAGGACGAGAGCGGGACGCAGGCACGTCTCTTACCTATTCGTATCCGTCATGGGAAATAATGCCACTAACCCACGTACATTCCGATATACGATATTTAATGTCAATAAATGAACGCGCTCATTCGACCTACAATTGTATACCTTTTTATTTATATTGACAACATTTTCTTACCCTATGCATCGGTTCTACAACCTCTCCGACGAGCTCGTCCAAGTTACCAGAAATTGCTCGCTTCAGCTCCGGTCCTGCTTCATGTAACGTTCGTAGTCCAGCTTGCAATGTCATCTGGTTATTCTTCTCAGAAGCAGCTGCCTCCTGCTCCTTACGTTTTCTGAATCTGTTTAAGTATTGTGGATGGAAGAGAGGGAAATGTTAACGATTTGTTTTGTTACTAACATATCGTGTTGAGATTTTAGAATTTCACAACACTAAAATTATTGGATGGGAAATTCTATTTGAGGGACAAAAAAAGGTGAGTTATTTCATTAATATTCACATTTTTTTGAGTAAGCTCTTATTGTAATATATGAATAAAACTAGTAAAATTTACCAAAAAACTATTAAAAAATAAGTCTATTATATTATCATTTCACAGCAATACAAAAAGCTGGAATTAAAATGTAAAAATGCATGAAAAAAAAACTAAGAATAATTGGTTTCATCTTATATATACTCTAAGGTTTCAACCATCTGTTTTCCAAATAAGTCTCTATGTTTTGACTTACAACCATTTGCCTAAACTTCAATTTAAATCATCACTGGGAAGAGGAATATAATGTTAAATATGGTATTGTTCTTCATGCAAAGACAATGGACAAAACACAAAAGGATTTCAATCAACTCTTAACACTCAAAGAAAGAAATGGGAAGACACTTTGCATATCAAAACGTCACGGTCAGCAGCCATCCCAGGAATCTCAGGGGTACATGTAACCTAGATATGACCTTACCGCGATGAGCTAACCTAGAAAATCTTGGTTGTGCACATAAAGAAATGTCAGTTACTTAGATCGATGCTGTAGTTGACGTGTCCTATACATTGTGCAGGTCTCTAAGCAAGTGATTGTAAACACATAGATTGAGGAAACATGCTTTGGAACTGCCGGAGAAGTCGTCGAAAAAATTTAACATGCTATAAACTCAATCTTGTTTTTGGAAATGCAATGGACTTGGCGGTAAACAAAACCTTGGTAGGCAGGGAAGCTGAAATAAATGAAGTTCGCAGAATTATACAATCACCTATATGGCTTTATAAATTATGATAAAACTTTTTATGTAGTGCAAATAGTTTAAGGACAGATGATTATATAATTCTAAACTTATCAAAATGGGAATGTCATTCACAATCAAAAATTCAAAGGGGTAAATCTGTCAAGCAACGTTTTTGGCTCAAATAGAGTATTTTGCCAAATTTGTAAGCGTAAATACAGCGTAAAAAATCTTCGGATGTTGCTTAGTACTCGTGATTTGACTTACGCATGGTTCCTATAAAAATAGAAATATTGCTGTTAATGACTGTGTTTTAAATAAAATAAAAACGATGATAAACATTATTTACTGAAAATGATAACAATAAATAATAGTATTATAAAACTAAGGATTTGTTTGATGATGATCAACAAATTAATGAAACTCACAAATATATCGATATTGCAATATTGGGAGTGTCGTGTCTTTTGTTTGATATCTTGTTATAAAAGAGCTGTACGTAAGACAGCCATTTAATTGATAAAATATTTTACATAATTAAGTATTTAAGTTTCTTATTTTATTACAGCCTAAAAAAAGTATTTATGATTTATTATACTTAGATGCATTTTATTTATCTAGATGACCTTTTAATTTATTCAACTATAAATTTTGTGTGTCAATAAACTCAACTTACCTTCTAAAGTAATCCTGTATAAGGAAAGTTGCGTAGAATTTTCCTACAGTAATCTCGTTAGGGTCACCTGGAGGTGGAACGACTTGGTCCAACAGTTTCGGAGATGTTCTCTTCCAAACCTTTTTGATTATTGCGCGAAGTTCCGTGTTGCATTCGTCGATTACCCCTAAAATTAAGACAAGAATTTTTGGATATTCAGAATTTTAGCAAAACCGCAAAACTAAAGTACTTATCCGACATTTATAATACATTCTCCGATGTGTTGTTTTCTGTTCTTAAAATGTTCAACGAGTTGAACTATTGTCAATTACCTAAATTCAATCAGTAATATTGGCCGTGGTATCAAATTTTCGTCCCGGGAAAGGGCCAAAGGAATTTGTATTCTATGGCATTTTAGAATTTTTCATGATCAATTTTGTAAATGTATGTACTAATGTATTTACATTTAAAAAAAGTGGAAATTAAATGTACGATTAGATAAGTTATCAAAAATTTTCATATTTTAGTGTCTAAATCGTCATTTTTTGTTTATTATACATTTAATACAAAAGCTTATGTGATTTTAAAAAGAGGAAATGACGAAAACAATGAACTAACATCATAATACTGTCTACAGGACCTCTACTACTTCTTCGATGATGTTCTAGAAATCAAATTTGAAGCGGCGTGCATATACCAACAACCTGTTATTTTTGTATATAACTTACCTGCTGTCTTAATTTGCAACTGCGTCCTTACAACAGCGAATAACGTCGCATTAAAGTTGACAGTTCCATCGGAGTTCAGCGGCATATTCATTGACACCAGGCGTTTACATGCCGTGCGATGTGGACAGAGTTTGCCAAAACCTGGGAGTACAAAAATCTTATGGACTTATTAAACTGGAAGAGTTACCTAGGCTCAATAAGTCTAATTAATTTGGAGAGAATATCTCTAGTAGTATAAAGGGGCAAACGAGCACTCGGGTCACCTGATGGTAAGCAACTACCGCCGCCCATGGACACCTGCAACTCAAAAGTCACAAGTGCGTTGCCGCCCTTGCAGTAGTCCCTCCTGCTCGAGTCAGCGGGAGGTGGGATTAGGGCTTCGGTAACCTCACTCACTCAGTGAAAGGCAACGAAAGAATTGCTTAACACCGGTTTTCTGCGAGGCCGTGGTATCACTCCGGTCGAGCCGGCCCATTCGTGCCGAAGCATGGCTCTCCCACGGTATAGGTATAGGTACAAAATATGAATTAGAAAATATGTATTAGAGTAAAGAGTTGTATTAATTGGGCGTAAACCTATTCTCTGCCTATTAAACACATGTTGGATTATTTATTTATAAATTGTAGGTTATAGATGTGGCCAACGTCCATACCATGTTGAATACACCGGTTCTCGTCCGATCACCGAGGTTAAGCAACATCGGGGGTGGTTAGTACTTGGATGGGTGACCGCCTGGGAATACCACGTGATGTTGGCTTTTTGGGTTAGGATGGCGGCCAGATCGCAAGATGCGATCGGACCACAACACACGTTGATAAGGCCGATAGGCGTGGGGAAGCCTGCTTTCCCTGGGATAGGGCTTGGCTAGGCGCGGCGTCGATTCGGGAGGGCCTGAAATAATATGGTCCGGATCCTCCCCAGAGCAGGGCGCCTGAGACCGGCTGTCGGGGTGGTTTTTAGTGGAAACACCACATACTCTTGCTCCTGCTTCCCCGAGGATGCGGAGATCCGAAAAAAAAGTTATAGGTGTGAGATTACATTTAATAAAAAACTCTTTGGTCATACCTAAAGGTGGACTAATTTTTCTCAACAATGTAACAACATCCAAATGCTTTATTTGTCCCTTAGCGTCTGGATCGTATTCACTCCAGAGTCTGGAAAAGATATATTAAACTCAAATACACATTACACAAAACTTTGAAACATACGTTTTTGTACACATTTGTGTTACGCGATAATTTAAAAATTTAAACGATTATGCCTTTACACAGAGGAATGTAAAACAAACTATGAAAGAAAGCTGTAAAAGATTTGATGGAGATTTCATTTCTTTTTCCAGTTTCACGGGGTCTTGGACACAACAGAACACCTAAAACTCTTTTTTTATCTGTAATAATTCCAGTGTGGTGCCTGACACCATCACGACAGGACGTCAGGGCCCCAGTCGGCCGCCATCGTTTATCTTTTAAAAATTCAACTAAAAATGGTGGTTAAACTGTTTGTACCTTACAAATTCGTCAAGATGATGAGGTCCTAAAATTGACCAATCCCTGGTCAAATAATCAAAATTGTCCATGATGACGGCAACGAATAAGTTGATGATCTGAAAAAAAAATTAGAAATTGTATACCTTGTCATACACCAAAGTCATTTAAGAAGTATCTTTCTTCATTATTTAATATTATAAAATTAATTCAAAATGATGCAGAAGCAGACTTTTTATAGTTGAAAAGCGCTACCTTAGTGGGTTCGATGCCCGGACCGGGCAAAGTTTTAAAGGGTTTTTCTGAGAGGAAAAATAGCCTAAGTTATTTCTTATGTAGACAGCTACCTGATAGTAAAATATTATCGGAATGGGTCCAGGCGTTTAGAAGATTACCCGGAACAAACAGACAGACGACAGACACAAAAAAAAAAAAACTGACTTTTATGCATAAGTATCGTGCAAATAACCATGTGCATGAAAAAAACCCATGTTTTTGACATTACAAACAGACACTTCACTTTTATTTACTTGTATAGAAGTATTCTGTTGTTCAAGAGATTACTTTATTGGTAATATAAAGTAAAAGAACAAAAGTCAAACTTAAAAATAAATACAGAATAGCTTAAAACTAACACCCAATGTTTATAGTTCTACAATAAAAGCACAATTCAAGTAACACCAGGACTCATCAAGTTTAAAACGACATAGTTTGTCACGAGTTTGATATAAGGATCCAGAAATTCCACTTCTGTTTGGTTCTGGAAAGCAGATTATAACCTCGAAAAGACAGCAGCAAATTGTGCATCTAAGTACTCAGCCATGAACAAGCGTAATTATGACATTGCTAGCTGACCCAGCAAACGTTATTCTGCTACATACATTATCAAAGAAATCGAAAGTAAGTAAAATAAAATCGTGATTTAAAATGAGGATAGGGGTAGGAGAGTAAAAAAAAAACCTAGCAAATGTCTAAAAAAAATATTAAAAAATCGGGCAAAACGTTTTTGAGTAAAGCGACCACGAACACCGTGCCACTAGATTTAATAATAATATTAATAATAATATAATATTAATAATAATATATTTTACCACATTCACACAACGCCATCTAGTCCCAAACTAAGCAAAGCTTGTACTACGGATACTAGACAACTGATATAAATACTTTTATACTTTTTTTTTGTAAATACATACATATTATACATAGAAACACCCATGACTAAATCAAACATTAAATGTTCATGCACACAAATGTTTGACTTAAGCGGGAATCGAACCCGCGACCTTTGGAATAGCAGTCCGTTACGCAAGCCACTATGCCATCCGGTCGAATTAGATTAAGTGTCAGCAGGTGTGCATGAACCAAACAGTGAATTAATTATACTCACCAAGAAAGTACAGAGAAGAGAGAAGGAGATAAAATAGGGGAACGCCATCCAGTTACCACACTTCTCATTATCTGGCTCCATGTCTTTCTCTTTCATATTCGGTTTGATGCAGTGGATCGGCGCGTTTGGGCGTTCATCATTGTTTGTCGATAAGGCCATCATTATTTCTTGCCAAGCTTCACCTGTCCAAAAAGAATTATAATTTTCACTTCCACAAAAGTATCTTCAACGTTAATCTTCTAATCTCGGTAAAAAGTAGCCTATGTGTGATGATAATGTATCATTCCATTGGTGAAAGAATTTTGAAAATCGGTTTAGTGGTTTAGGCGTGCAAGTGTAACAAACAAACATACATAGAAATAACCTCACTATGACATAATATAAATAAAAGGAAGGATTTGTTAGTAGGACTTTTATAGTTTAGAATTTTGAGCTTATTCATAAATTTATTCGTATTCGTAAATAACCTTCGTAACCATATGTACAAATTTACTTTGCCGTCTATGAAGGCATTGTGTGTGTTCAACAATTTCTTGTTGACCACACACAATGCCTTGTTTGTTGTTGAAAAGCGACAAACACGCGGGCGGAGTCGCGGGCAAAGGCTACTATTATAGAAAAGAAGGCAGTTTAATGAATTTCAATTCTGAGAAGGGAATAATTTGAGTTATTCTAGAGCCGGATCTCGCTTTTGTTGTTTTCACAAGATACAAACTTTTGTCTTGCTTCTTCTGAGGATTACAAAAAAAAAACATGAACGTATGATTCCGAACTATTACAACTTCTGAGGATTACAAAAAAAAAATAACTTGAACGTATGATTCCGAACTATTACAAGTATTTATTTTTACCGGTTCATTAGTCGGCTACTGTTAAAAATAAGATTAGTTTTATTTTAATTGGTAAAAAAGCTCGTCATGGATGTGTAATTTGTGCTACAACTATTTACATGATAACGTTTCAAACTAAACTTGTACGTATTTACTATAACTATATATATAACTAGTAGAAAAAGTGAGCGTTACCCGTTGCTGATCGGAAGAGCACCATGAGAGCACCGCCGAAGGTTTTAAAATTATTGTTAGCAGTAATAACTTCGTCATCCGGATACACCTTGCCGAACAGCTGGAAAATACAAAAACAGTTTTTTTTTTAATGCTACAGATTCTGTCCATCCATCCATCATCATAAAAAGAAGTAATTCACAATAAAATAATATAATATTCTACCACATACACACAACGCCATCTAGACAACTGATATAAATACATATATACTTTTTTTTTGTAAATACAGACATATTATACATAGAAACACCCAGACCAAATCAAACATCAAATGTTCATGCACACAAATGTTTGAGATGAGCGGGAATCGAACCCGCGACCTTTGGAATAGCAGTCCGTTACACAAACCACTGCGCCATCCGGTCGACATCATGTCTGTCATCATAATGTCATCTAAGCGAGTAAAATTATTAAATTATTATGAAAGTTCTCTTTTACGACATCTTAATTTTAATCTTTTATATATTTCTAATGAATATCGTTAAATGAACTCACTCAAATTAATTAGCGAGGGATTCTCAAAGGGGTCGATATAAAGGAAAACTGATTTTGGGGTCGACGAGGTCTAAAAATCAATCCCTATTATGTTCTTATTTGAAAATTTCAAGAGTTGCGTTACGACGTATAAGACTGACTAATATTTCTATTTTGTTGAATTTTGGTAAAAAAATGATTCCCAGTTTACTCAATTCACCAAGGACAAAGTTTTTAAATCTGAGGTATTTGGTATTGATAGCAAAAAAACTAGAGATAGGATTTTTAAAGTAATTTGGCTATGGGGGTCTAAGGTATCAGTTCATTTTGGTAAAGTAAAGAGGTCTCTTGCCCAAAATAGTTTGGGAATCCCTGGATTAGACCTATCATAGATTCTAATAACCTACCATGGATAAAAAAATTGAAAGATTTTTTATTTTTATTACATTAAATTTATGTCCACATATTGGAACCTTTAAGATGACGTAAAATAGAGGAATAATTAAATCTTATTTCATTTAAGAACTAAATTTTAAAAAGAAGAATCAATAATGATTTATTAAAAAGAAATCTAGACCCACTTGCATCCCAACGACAGCGTAGATAAAGAACAGTAAGACAATGAGCAAGGCGACGTATGGAAGAGCTTGAAAAGACTTGATAAACGTCCAAAGCAGGGTCCTGATGCGCTCGCCTCTGGATAACAGCTTGATCAGACGCAAGGCACGAAAGAGACGGAAGAAGGTAATATACTTCAGTGAAAGCAGTGTGCCCTGGAGAAGAAAAATTGATGGTATAAATCATCGAAGCGTCATATTTCGTAGACAAAAACCATCTTTAAGATATTTTAATAGGAACTGATAAGAACAATAAAAGCGAATGCTGTAGTATTATCAGAACCGTAGGCGGGCGTAATGCCATTGGCATTTTGTTTCAGCTATAATCTTGACTTTTTATAGGTACTTACATTTCATTCAATTTCAAACATTGAACTGAAATATCTTACCTCTTTACTAGTTTTGTTCATCTGTAAATACGAGAAAAAAACATTAATTTTGAATAACGTACTTAGCTACATCAATTTAAACGAAAACCCAAGAAAAAAACTTACGCCAACCACGTTGGGTTCCGGTGGTGCAATCTCTTGTACTTGTGTGACCACAATATCTATTATACTACCCACCACTAAAATGAAATCTGTAGTATTCCAAGCATCTCCAAAATAATTCTGGAAAAAGGAAAAAATATATTATTTACCAATTTTTTTGAGGTTAAACGAGTAGCCGGGTCACCTGAATAGAAGTGACCCTTGGACCCTTACAACTCAATAGATGGAAATGCACTTCAGACCATCGATTGCCCCGCTTCCCCTCTTCCCTCTCCAGAGATAGAGATTCGGGGTCTATGAGTACAAAACCTACTCAGGTCATTTAAACATCATACAGTTATCCACAATCGTCATATCGGCTCGTCATATTATGGGTCCAAGAGCATCATGTAACCGTAGTATCATCATCTCAGCTGGAAACGTCAACAGCTGAACATAGGGTTCCCCCAAGGTTCGCCACAATAACCGGTCCTGAGCTACCCACATTTAACGTTCTACCGCGACCTTGACCAGGTCGTCAGACCACCTTGTGGGGGTTACTTAAGATACTTACTAACAATACTTCTATAATAAGCAAAAGAAGAAAGGAAAATAAATACCTTGAACCTGAAAGCTGCTAATTTGAAAACAAACTCCATCATAAAAACTGTTGTCAACATCATGTTGATGAAATCCAGGACCTGTATTCAAGTAAAGAAATTAAGTAAAAATTTCAAAAGATAATAATAATCACTGATAATACACTTGACAGTGCTTTGTAAGTCTAGCTTACACTTAAACCTAAAAAACTTTTTTTTTGTTTGAAAATACACAGGTACAAATAAGTACACTCAACATCAGTTTTATGTAAACGTGTAAAGTTATCAAAGTATCAGCAGTTTAACAACAACACATTTACTTTAGCAAAATTCATATTTATAGAGGTCAATGTTTTAATAGTTGTTTCTTGTTTCTTTAAAAAGACAACTCCCGCATTAGGAGTATACATATATCCTGTGTCGCGGGGGACTTTACAAACATACATGAAACGAACACAAAGAACACCCAGACTCAGACAACAATTTGTGGATCACACAAAGTGTCGTCCTATGTGGGGTTTGAACCCACAACACTCGGCGCAGTAGGAAGCGGCGTGGCGACCGCTTAAACCACTGCGCCATCCGTGCAATCCGTTTATCGTAAAACGTTTATTACTTGTTGATATTGTTTATACGTAATTATATTATATTAATTATAAATTATATTGTCATATTATAATTGTATAACATGCAGCTTAAACCCTAAATCCTTAAATTGACTATCTTCAATGCTTTGATGTTGTTTAGAAAATAGATTTGTGTTCATTAGATTATTTTGACGAGTTTTATGTTTGTTGGAATCTGAAGCTTATTCATAAAACACCAGGACTTTACAAATATTTACAACTGAGCAGGAAGATTATTGTTAACAAATTGCGTAAGCAACAAAAAACTTTATTCCTAAACAAAGTGAACTAGTATTGAAAATTGCTAAAATATCCTTCAATGGATTTTTTTTTTAATTAAGAGGAGAGTTTAATTAATGTAGGGGAGAGTAACCAAAATTGAACCAGCGCTTAAATTGGACCACTTCTGTATTTCTACCAAAATTACACTATTTGGTATAGTATATTAGCACCAAAAGGAGCGCTACAAAATGGCGGAGTATTAGTGACGCTACTAGCGCTCCTTTTTGTGTTGCTAGTGTAAAAAAAATAGTGCCATTATGATAGAAATACAAATACCCCTATATGCCATAGCAGCTCTTCGCCGAGGGTCGAAAAGTTTTTGCCGACTGCCGAAAAACACGCAATGTTCAACTTCTCTCTTGTTTTATTAGTGTTACCTTTTTGTACTCAGGACTGGAGCCATGGAACTTCATCATGAGTGCCACCGTGTTGATCACAATAAAAAAGAAGATGACGTATTCAAATTGCTGTGACGTCACGAACCACCATGTTTTATACTGGATACGACGTTTTGGAATGTACCTGGAATAGGCGTTCAACGTTAGTTTCTTTGAAAGTCACAATGTTATAGATGAACATGTCTCTACCTTGTATAAATTATACGTTCACTATTTCTTAGACTGAAGTCAGGTAGTGTCATAAATCAATACATTTCAAATTAGATATTATTTGTCATTTTGCATTATGCCTCACGCCTCTAAAAGTGAACATGTAGTGAAAAAGTCTCAGGCCCTGTTTCTGCCCATGGGACTTCCTTTCTAGGATACGTCTCGTTCCCCGGCTACTGGTACCCGAGACGGCGTGCGGTTTTAGTCGGTTTGACCACTGGTGGGTGGTATTTGAGGGGATTTCCGCACAAAAAAGGCCCTGTTTCTGCACAAACAGCTCTATCTATATAACTTTGCGAACTTGCTGATTGAATAATAAACACATTTAATATTGGTAAAGTTTTTCATATGTTTTTCCATATTTATTTATTTTATTTTTTTTTTCTGTAAAAAAGACAACTCCCGCATTAGGAATAAATCCTGTGTCGCGGGGGACTTTACAAACATACATGAAACGGACACAAAGAACAGCCAGACTCAGAACAACAATTTGTGGATCACACAAAGTGTCGTCCCATGTGGGGTTTGAACCCACAACACTCGGCGTAGTAGGAAGCGGCGTGGCGACCGCTTAAACCACTACGCCATCCGTGCAGTCGCAGTATTATGTTAAAATAGCTCAGTTAAATAACCAAGTTTATTACCTTCGCACCGGCTTCGCTTTCAAAGCAAACTCGATACAATTTCTTTGATTTTTATCCAGCTCACAATCCTTGAACTCCTGTTCTCCCTCCTTCTGGAATGTTACTATGACAAAACCTACGAAGATGTTTACCTGGAAATGATATCAGTTGTTAAGGCGCATGATGTTATCGACTTCAGTATATCTATGTTCTTAATGAAGGACCTTTTATTAATCATCATAGGGTCTAAAACGTAATACGTAACGTTTTGATTAAATAATAAGGTGCAAGATTTTTTTTTTGAGGTAATACTTAAAGTAAAGCTGCAAGAAATAACTAGCAGCTGAATTGATTGACCGATTGACCGAAGAAGTGCTACTTCATTGACTTCTATGACCAAAGGGTCTGCTAAACTTCTAGTACTTCATCTTTGTCTTATTAAGAGGCAGTAACATTTGTTAAGGGATTTAGGAATTACCATTTTTTATTACCCTCTCTACAATTGAGGGACCACACGATCAAGTCAACCAAGTCATCAATACTGTTTAGCCATGGTCTTTGTACAGATTGGAAGCACTTCCCTAAGTGAGTGCATCCGACACAATGAAAAATCCAGTATATCCCTCATCATCATCATCAGACCTTAATAATCCACTACTGGGCAAAAGTCTCTTCTTAGAAAGTAAGGTTTTGGCCTACTATATACTCCTCATACTTAAAGTTCATTTAACTTAATTCTCCTTAGAGTCCAATTCCTAAATCATTTCGTGTAACTAGCTTTATTTGTTACCAGTCAAAAATGTCATATACTGATCAAAAGGCTAATATCGCCTTCACTTGATCATGGTATGTTATAAGGCCTACGAACCCATACCAATTTAAATGCTGAAGTTTAACCATTATTTAATCAAGCGTAAATACTACCAAACCAATTTTGGTGTGAAGGTAGAAGAAAGAAGCTTGAAAATTACATAGATTACTTTTTGACTCAAAAATAATAATATATAGGTGACATTGTTTTAAATGGGTGATATTCCATGTAGTCGAGGACATAGTACCAAGATTTATCTTATATATAAAATTCTCGTGTCACAATGTTCGTTCCCGTACTCCTCCGAAACGGCTTGACCGATTCTCATGAAATTTTGTGTGCACATCGGGTAGGTCTGAGAATCGGCCAACATCTATTTTTCATACCCCTAAATGGTAAGGGTGACCCATCCCTAATTTTTTTTTGTTTTGCAATACAACGTTTGCCGGGTCAGCTAGTAAAGAATTGTATAAATTACCATGAAGAATGCTATGACGATAATATAACTGATGTAAAAGAAAGCGACCAGGGGTCTTGAATTTTCTATAGGACCATGGGCTTCCTCGTTGGAATCCATTGATGTTGAGAGTAACCTGTAATAGTGTATACATGTATATAATTATTTGAAAGTTTTTAGATTGTAGTAAATAAAATCATCTTCATCTGCTGGTACTTTTATAGCGCAATTTGTAACATTAAAGATGATCTTGGATGGCTAGAAACCTTGACCACAAAATCATAAATACTAGATGTCAAATACTACAAAGAACTATCTAGGCATAAAAATTAATCAACAAAGAATTTGCAAGAAGAATTTCAAATGCGAGCACGATAGAATATTATGTGTAAAGATATTTTTTTTCATCAATATATATCGTTTACTTGTAACTCTATTTAAGTATGATGAAGACGGTCTCTATCTCTTATAGCGTCACCTTACCCTGGCCATCCTTCAAAAGTAGAAACAGTAAACAGCGTCAGCATCCCACTAAGCACATCGTTGAAATTCCATTTATTCAGAATCCATTCTCTTTCCAATTGTCTAGGTTTTCCATTCTCGTATATCAAATATGTACCACTGGAATACATACAACACTATTATTTATGTAAAAATAGGAAAATGCCATAACACTAAAACGGATATATTATTTAAATTTTTATTATTGTTAACATCAATGAAAGCTGAATGCGCCAATCTATAGGTCTAGAATTTGGAAATGAAAAACTCTTTGATATTGAGTGTACTATTCCTGACCTTCCTATAGATTGATCATCATGATTACGAGTTTGAAAAGCAGAGCCAAAATTACCATCAAAGTGGATGGAACTAAAGGGAACAGGTAGTAATAATATAAAAAAGAAACTTACTGGCAAGCGTCTTCTGTCACCTTTGTGATATCTGTACATCTATAAAATTTACCCTGAAATGATATTGATGTTAGAGAAATTAATTTACATAATGATTTAGTTATTCATTTACCGTCAAAAAGTGTAAGTAATGAGAGAAGAGAGAGAAAGAGAAAATAGAATTGGGGTTATAAATAGATTTACTCTTTATCTTTCATCATCATCCTGATGATGATGAAAGTTAGCTTCATTCATCTTCTAGATAATAGAAACTTGGTTGATCATAATTTGATTGTTACTATCATTAAACAAAAATACATTTTCAAGAATTATGCATAAATAAATAATAGGGAACAAAACTGTGGTCCAGAAACAGACTGAGACCTTGGTGAATGCAAACGCATTAGAAAGATCGTTGGTTCTTTGACCAATTGTCAAAATCTTGCACTAAGCCGGTACATCTTAATTAATGATGCTTTAACTAAATCATAGTTTTTGATATTATAAAAAAAGTAGCTGGATATTTCAATTGATCCCATGTTTTCCCAATCCTCACTTACCTCTTACTCAATAAATAAAATTTTAACTAATACTATAAATTATTGTAAAATCTAATTTCTTAATATCAATCGTTGAGATTTTAACGTACGTAAGAAAAGTATAAAAATCATCAAGTTTTCATAAATATATCACAATACAAAAAATGGGGAGACTTAAATTCAATTCACATTTTTTCATGTATTATATATATATCTATATTTATATATTTGGTATTAAAATTTAAACTGTCATTTTCATTATACGGTTGCTAAAGCTTACAAAGTTATAGTGTATCTATGCTATAACTAATCATATAAGCAACGGGTAAAAAAAAGTAAATATTTTCAACCCCAAAAAAATTTGTTCACAACTTCTTTTTAGTTTTGAAAACGGCATTCGATTACCTTCGACTAAAAAGATGATACCCTATCTGTCCAAATTCCAAGTTACAGTAAATGGTATGATTTTGTCTTGACGAAATTTACAGCCGCCGAATCAATGCTTACGTACGTATAATTGCTATCTACAAAAGTAAACATAGAGTCACGTGACCTCGCTGTTTAAAAGCATCTGAAGCTTAAACATCAATTAGTACATTTACGTTAAACATCGCTGCTGGTCTAAGGGCAAATTTCAAGAACTTCACCGTTCACTTTTCCGCTAAAACTAGTAAATTGGGTTTCCTTTATCTCCAAGATGGAGTTACGTAAGCGATAATATCTCTTGCATCGTAAATAAAAAGAATTGCTTGGAGACAATTATTAAAGTCGTCATAAGAAGACAAACAATCAACGGAAATGCCTATATTCTTCTCTTTATTTCTTCGTCTATATTTATTCTCTTTCGTAGTTTTAGAGCTCTACAATTACAATTCGAATATTTCAATACTTTTGAAGATATGAGTGACAAGAAAAATGTTATTAAGTCACACAATGTAATACCAAGTCGTTGCAAGAATTACGCTTACAATACCTTGATAATAGATGTATTTGACAAATATTTATTACTGTCAAAATCTTTAAACATACAATAATTTTGATAAACTTTATCATGAGCTCTTTAGTTGAGAGCTCGGACCGAAAAAACACCGTCAATGTACTTAATGTTTATTCCACCCTCTTTGTTCGACTAATTAGTATGTTTATCATCAATATTCAATGTATTTTAATTGTATCCTCTTTTACAGCGTTTATTTTATTTTGTATTTTGTACATTTGTTTTTTTATTTAATTTGCTAATCTACAAAAAATCTAACCAGTAAGGGAGAGATTTCCCTTAACTCTCCATGATATTACATCAAAATAGTGATGGAAAAGAGATCGGTGAAAAAAATTACAATTATATGTATATCTAACTACAACACTATACATCTATACGACTAAAATGTCTACCTTGAACAATTGTATACCAATTACAGCAAACATAAATTGCAGTATATGGTTTATAATAAATATATTTCCAATAGATTTGATGGAAGCGTACACACATTTCACAACATACTGAACAAAGCCAACAATGCAAAAACACAAAATGTTAAAAGCACCAAAAACAATAACGTTACCAAATTGCAGTGTTTTTTTATTGTTTTTTTTTTATTTCGCCCATATTGTCCCAATGTACGATTGTGTAGGTGTATGTGAACCACAATGTAAAAAATGCAAAAAATAAAATAAGGACAAACGTAAAAAAAATGACACAAAAAACTTCAGTCATCACCTACTTACATCACGTTAGTCCTAGGAATTATAGAAACAAAAAAAAATATAATCATCACTTTTATAGAGACACGCCAGTGTCCTGTTCTGACTGTGATCATCAGACAAACAAACGAAAACACAGTAATGGACCAAGTACCTCACTCCTAGTTTTCGAGTGAAATGTCAAGGTAGGGCATACTGTGCAACAGAAACACACCGAAGCACATAATTTTGAGTCCAAAAAATCACCAAATCGGAAAAAGAAAACGAAAGAAATGTCACACGACACCTTTGGGCTAATTTAAAAAAAAGTCAATAATGAAGCATGCGACCTCCTGGTTAGGAAACAAGAAATTTTTTGGACCCATGAGCAAGCAAAAATCGGTTAGTATAAGTACTTTTTTGATATGCACGTTAAAAAGCCTCACACGTAGAAAAAAAAAAACGAAACCAGATGATTGTTTTTTGAAAAAATAATAAAAGTGCATGATGGGTTTCCGAGTGCTTACATATACTTACTTCCACAAACTTATATGACAAGAAATAAATTTACCCAAAGGTGTCGGTCGACAGGCAAAACAACCCTACCTTGAACATTTGCACCCCCATGACGGCAAACATGAACTGAAGAAGGTTTGTCACCAACAAAATGTTGCCAATCGTCTTAATAGCGACGATCACACATTGTACTACGTGCTAAAAATTGACAAAATTTACTTTATACGTCTTATATCGAAATTTTACTGGAAAAATATAAAAAGAACAATTTGGTGATATAAAAATGTACTGACCTTCAATCCTTTGGCTCTGTTGATAGCTCTCAAGGGTCGCAATACACGGAATACTCTCAGAATCTTTATAAAAGATACACTATTCGCCCTGTTATAGACAAAATATTGATTAATACATTTGACACAACGAATTTAAACGGAGGTCTTTATATAAAGCAAAGAATAGCAATAAAAAAAACAATAATTATCTAATTGAAGTTGGTTCCATTTATATTTCAAGAAAATCCTACACATTTATGGGTGTAAAAGGGATTGAATACACATCACATCATCAACAGCCTTTAATAGTCCACTGCTGGACATAGGCCTCTCCTTAGAAAGGAGGTTTTGGCCTACTATACCACGCTGGCCAGACGGGTTGGTATAGGGTTTGGGGTGCTAGCTAGAAAACCTCCCCGTGGTGCACCCTGGAAACGCTGGCGATGGTGCTGTTTCCTCCTTGTCCTCTTGGAGGAGAGGATTATCGCCAGCGGCTAATATTCTAGCAGAAGAGGTAGCCGTTCATCGGCTCTCGGGCAAGGCCTGGTCCAGCAGGGTGGGCGTGTCTGCCGGTTGCCCTGCTGGCTCTTCGCTCTTCGGAGCATGGAGGAGGAAACCTCGGTAAAAAACCGGATGGCGGGGCCCTGTAGGGGCCACAGTTTCTCCGCTGATAGCGGTGGAGAAAGGAGGACGGGCTCGGCGTGTACTGACACTACCACCGAGCAGGCAGGGGGACGTAGTCTCCCTGTCAACCGTCGGCATATCGTAATCCCGAGAAGAGCGCTGTGGTTAAGTCTCGCGGCTCTGATCGGGGGCGAGGGTCTTGGCTTAACCGCCCGGACCGCGAGGAAGATAACCTCTCTAAAAAATTCCCCGAATCCCGTGTTCTGGTGAGTGGCCAGGGGATGCATGGCTGATGGGAAGTTCAGTCGCGAGCGCACTCCAAGCCGAGGTACCTGCGGACCCCTCGGTTGGGTTAAAAACTTACGCTTGCCCGGGTAATGGGGGATCTCTGCCCGGGTGGACCTTTAGTTCTCCCCCACTCGTGGGATTTAATATGGAAAACATTAACTCAAACATAAAGAAACGGCAACAAACACAAAAAAAAAACAAAACAGGCAAGCAAAACGGACTCTGAAATGAAAGAGAAGAGGAACAGTGGAGTGGATGGGTCATCCACGGAGGGTGAGATAGCGTCGGGAACGCCTATCTCGGTGGGGCTCCCAGAAGTCAGTCTGACGCTGGTCTCTGGGAGCCGAAGAGCATCGGATCGGCTGCGTTCCGGATCCGCCGCTTCGTCGGATGGCGCGGAGGCCATGGAAGCGGAACATCGCAGCGACAGCCGAAAACGCGGACGCTCAGGGGACGTGGAAACCGACACGTCCCAGGAGATGATGCCACCAAAGGTGGCAAGCAGCCGCCGAGGGAGGGCACGCAAAACGGCCCCGGTCTCGACCCCGTCAGGCTCCGCGTTCTCAAACGCGGAGTCGTACAGAAGCGTACGGGTGGACGGCGAGGCCGTAGCGGAGGAGGAGATCGCGGATCTCCTGCTCAAGGTTCGGGAGCCGGTGGGGGGAAATGCCCCCCAGACTCCCGTGTCCGTGCAGGAGAGGGCGAAAGCGGCGGTGGCCGTCATCCACAAGGTGGCCACCAAGTCCGTGAACCTTAAGGGCTCGTTTGTGAGGGCCCTTGAGGACTCCTCCTCCGCTTTGTCGGAGGTCGTGGAGGGCCTAGTGGGCGACGTTTCGCGCCTACAGGTGGCCAACGAGAGGCTGACGGAGCGGGTGAACGAGCTGAGTGCTCAGTTCGCCCGCTTCCAGGCGAACCTCCCCGAGCGGGAAGCCCCGTCCGCGTCCCAGCCTGCCCCTACCACCAACTCAGGGGCATTTGACTCCCAACTGCGGGAAATCCTCATCGCAGTTGGGAATATGCTGGACGGACGCCTGGCTGGCCTGGAGGCGAGACTGCCCCCTGCGCCGATTGTGCGCCCCCCGCTCGCGTCAGCACAGCGGCCTAAGGCCGCCGCTGCGACCGCGCTCCCCGTGGTGGGAGGCCGCGTTTCCTACGCGGCGGCGGCGTCTGCCCCTACTCCATCGGCTCCCCAAAAGCCGAGGAGGGGGGCCAAGGCACCGGCCCAGGCGCCGGCCAAGGCACCGGCTAAGTCGCCGGCCAAGGCACATCCCCAGGCGCCGGCCAAGACGGGGCCTAAAACAGCGCCGAGGAGCGGAGTGGCATTCCCTCCGCTCCCCACTCCGACACCCCTGCCGGGCCCCTCCGCACCTGCCCCCTCCAACGAGGGTTGGCAGGAGGCGAGGGGCTCCAAGAAGTCCCGAAGGCGGGCCAAAAGGGCTGCCCAAAAAGCAGCCCATGCCCAGCCTTCGCCACCGGTGGCAACGGCCTTCACAAAGAGGCCGCGGAAGCTGCAGCCGCCCAAAACCGCGGCTGTAGTGGTGACCGTGTCCCCGGAGGCGGCTGACGGCGGGCTGTCCTACGCGGCCGTCTTCAAAAAGGCCCGGGACAGCCTCGCCAACGAGTTTGGGACGGTGGGGGTCAGGATGCGCCTCGCCCAGACGGGAGCTCGAGTCCTCGAGTTCCCTGGGGCTGAAGGCGCAAAGACGGCGGACTCCTTCGCTGAGAGGCTGCGGGGAATATTTGCGGCCACAGATGGTGTCAGGGTCGCCAGGCCTACCAAGTGCGCGGAACTGCGCATCTCGGGCCTGGACGACTCAGTGACGGCCGAAGATGTCCGCGCTGTAATCCGGGAGAAGACGGGGTGCAGCGCGGACAACGTCAGGGTCGGCACCATCCGCCCCGGTCCAGGAGGGCTTGGCGCCGTGTGGGTCAGCTGTCCCGTAGCGTCGGCCAAAGTATTGGCCGACGCCGGCAGGCTGCTCATCGGTTTCGTGAGCGCCAGGATCACAGTCCTGGCGGCGAGACCGATGAGGTGCTACAAATGCCTAGCATCGGGACACACGCGCGTCAAGTGCGACAGCTGTTTTGACTGCGGCGGACTGTGTTTCCGCTGCGGTCAACCGGGGCATAAGGCGGCAGAATGCTCTGCCGCCCCTCACTGCCCAGCGTGTGCGGCGGGCAATAAGCCCGCCAATCACCAGATGGGGCAGAGAGGCTGCAAGCCTCCCCGCAGTTCTCGGCAGACGTCAGGGGCTAGCCAGTCGACCCAGGCTACCCCCGACGTCAATATTGCGTCGACGTCGTCGCCCATGGAGGAGGTTGTAGAGACGATCCAGTAATGGATCAAGTCTCCAACCTCCTGGTCAAGACGAACCTGAACCACTGTGCCGCGGTGCAGGATCTCTTCCTGCAAACCATGGCACAGTGGTCGATAGGTGTTGCCGTAGTCGCGGAGCCCTATTTTGTCCCTCCCCGTCCAAACTGGATGGGTGACTGGGACGGCTCCGTGGCAGTCGTCGGTTCCACGGCGGCTCATTCCCCGCCCTTGTCGCTAAGAGACAAGGGCACTGGATATGTTGCCGCCGAGTGGGGGGGGATCACCATATATGGTGTTTATTTCTCCCCCAACCGGAGTTTGAGCGACTTCGAGGTTTTCCTCAACAACCTGGAGACCTCGATGCGGCGACTAGCGTCTGGGCACGTCCTTGTTCTGGGGGACTTCAACGCAAAATCCACTGCGTGGGGTTCCCCCGGGACCGACGCAAGGGGCGAGGCCGTAGAGAAGTGGGCGGCCTCGGTGGGCCTCTGTCTTCTCAACAGAGGCTCCACCAACACGTGCGTGCGACAGCAGGGGGGGTCGATAGTGGACCTTTCGTTCGCTACCCCTGCACTCGCCGCACGAGTAAGGAACTGGCGTGTCCTGGAATAGGTTGAGACGCTCTCGGATCATCTCTATATCCGATTTGAGCTCTCCCGGACCCAGGACTCCAGTAGGGGTCACGTGGCGCGGCGTTTATCCCGCTTTCCGCGGTGGGCTGTTGCCAGACTGAACCGGCACCTACTAGAGGAGGCAGCCATAATTCACTCGTGGCTGTCTCCTCAGGCTCCGACCGAGGAGGTCGACGTGGGGGCTGGTCGCTTTCGCGGTGCGATTACGCATGTATGCGATGCGGCCATGTCCCGCATTTGAGGTCGTCGGCCTCCAAGGAAGGAGGTCTACTGGTGGTCCCAGGAGCTGGCGGACCTCCGTGCGGCCTGTACACGTGCCCGGAGGTCCTACACGCGCAGTCGGCGGCGTCACCGTGGAGACGGTGAGGAGGACCGGCTTCATGAGGAGTACCGACAGGCGCGGAAAACTCTGAAGCTGGCCATTAGCCGCGCCAAAGAAGAAAAAAGACAGGAGATGCTGGAGGGTCTTAATCGTGACCCCTGGGGTCGCCCTTACCGCGCGGTGCGACAAAAGCTCCGCGCGTCGGGCCCCCCCCCTTACGGAGACTCTCCAGCCCAGCTTCCTGCGAGAAGTGGTTGAAGGCCTTTTCCCACAACGAGCGGAACACACTCCCCCGGCGATGGCCTCCTTGGCCGGAGACGACGGGGAGCACGGGGAGGATAATGTTCCGCCCGTCCGGGATTCGGAGGTAGGGGCGGCTGTTTTACGGATCCGTTCCAAGAGCACCACCCCTGGGCCAGACGGGGTACCGGCCCGAGTGCTGGCCCTGGCCCTCAACCACATGGCAGACCGCCTCGGGGAGGTGTTCGACGCTAGCTTGGCGTCGGGACGCTTCCCTGAGTGCTGGAAGAGCGGGAAGCTGGTCCTATTGAGGAAGCCGGGACGGCCTGCCGATTCGGTCGCGGCCTATAGGCCCATCGTGCTGCTGGACGAGGCGGGCAAATTGTTTGAGAGGGTTCTTTCTGCCCGCATCGTCCGGCACCTCTGCGAGGTGGGCCCCGATCTGTCGGACGCCCAATTTGGTTTTCGGGCGGGGCGTTCGACAGTCGACGCCGTGTTGCGCCTGAGGGCCGTGACCGAAGAGGCCGTGAGCTGTGGCGGCGTGCTGTTGGCGGTGTCATTAGACATCGCCAACGCATTCAATAGTCTGCCATTCAGCTGCATCAGGGAAGCACTCCACTATCATGGGGTGCCAAAGTACCTGAGGCGGCTAGTGGCAGACTATTTAGAGGAGCGTACCGTCGTGTACGAGGACCGAGAAGGTAATCTGAGGTGTCGGCCCATGTCGTGCGGTGTTCCACAGGGGTCTGTTCTTGGACCCCTCTTGTGGAACATAGGTTATGACCGGGCCCTTCGCGCCGATTTCCCCCCCGGGCTGGGTGTAATCTGTTACGCAGACGATACCCTGGTGACAGCCCGGAGGCCAAACTTCCAAGAGGCGGCGCGCCTGGCCACAGGGGGAGTCTCCCTGGTGGTCGGGCGCATTGAGGCGCTGGGCTTACGGGTGGCCCTAGATAAGACGGAGGCCCTGTTATTTCATGGGCCCCGTCGTGGTCACCCCCTGGCGCCTCAATCGTGGTCAACTCGGTCCTCGTACCGCCCAGATATTTCATCTGGGCCTGATCCTCGACGGGAGGTGGCTCTTCGACGAGCACTTCCGACAGCTTGCTCCAAAGCTGGTCGGCGCTGCGTCTGCCCTAGGGCGACTTTTGCCCAATATGGGTGGACCCAGCGTCGCAACAAGACGGCTGTACACGGGGGTTGTCCGGTCAATGGCACTGTACGGTGCACCGGTGTGGGCGGCGGCTCTGACCGCCCAGAATAGGGTACGCCTCTGGCGCCGTCAGAGGGTAATGGCGGTCAGAGCCATACGCGGTTACCGCACCGTTTCGACGGAGGTGGCATGCGCGTTGGCCGGAACTCGCCCGTGGGATTTGGAGGCGGAAGTGCTCGCCGAAGTTTATCGGCGAGTGGCTGACTCCCGGGCGGAGATCGGATTTCGCCCTCCGCCCGAGGATGTGCGCGAGTGGCGCGAAGCCGCTCGCCGAGCCACGATGGCTCGTTGGTCGTTCCGGCTGTTCCGTTCACGCGCTGGCTTCGCCGCCGTAGAGGCTCTCCAGCCGGTCATCGCCGAGTGGGCAGGGCGGCAGCACGGGACCCTTTCCTTGCAGGGAGGACTCGGCCCAGCACACGCTGGCGGTCTGCCCCGCATTGGCGGCGCAGCGCCGGGCCCTCACTGCAGTCATCGGAGTGGATCTCTCGCTACCGGCCGTAGTACGCTCCATGGCCGGTAGCGACAGTTGTTTTACCGCGGTCGCAACCTTCTGCGAGGTAGTAATCTCGCGGAAGGAGGCGGCGGAGAGGGCCCAGGAGAACGACCTCCACTCGGACCCGATCCGCCGCCGGCGAACCGGGCGGCGGAGGCCCGCCTATTACAGCCTCATGCCGCCCTGAGTGTGGCCGCGGGTGGACGGAATGGGTTTCCCCTCCACCCGCATTAGTTTGGCCAGCCGCGAGGGGGCGGCGTCCGCGTGTGCCGGACGTCGCCTAATGAGAGGAAAATATATTGAGACGGAGCCCGCACCAGGAGCGGGCTGGCGCTAGGAGGGGTCCGGATGTCTTAACAACAGCTGTTCCCGGATCCCTCCTGTTACAGGCGCAGAGTGGCACACCGTGTGGTTTTAGTCGGTCCGAGTCCGACACACCACCCCGCCGCGAACCCCGGAGGGGTGACGGTCCGAGGGGATTTCCACACGTTAACAAAAAAAAAAAAAAAAATTGTTTGTGTCAAGTTTTCCTTCTTTTTGCAGTGCTGGTGTCCTACGTTGTTTTGACCATTGCTTGTTGTTTGCGCCCTTAGTCGGCTCTTACGACATTCACGGGATGAATTGGGGTAGTGACATTCCGTATTCTTAATCCGTCACTACACGGATCGAATACAGTTTACTACAATTGACCATGTTTTAGAAGCATTGGGACCTCTATATTTTTTTTCTTCTAAAGATGTGCCTGATGACAGTTGCTGACCTAAGTTACTCGCAATACAATATTGATGCCATTCATTTACCACCCGATCCATTGCCGTATAGCTCTTTGATGACCGACTCACCAAAGAAAAAAAATTGTGTTGTCCCAACGTAAGTGTAAATTGGCTTACAGTTCGGCACCGACTTAAAATTGTCTTGTGAATTGGATTACAAATCACTAGGGCCAAATAACGATACCCATTTACGTGCTTGCGTCACTCATCGCCCAGGTTAAGAATAAGCCGGGAGCCGGACGATCTACAGGTGCATGACATTCTCAGAATCACTACTCAAGTAATTGCGGCTTGTACATATTGAATATAACCTTGTTGGTATGGTTTCTATAAGCTAACCAAGAAAAGAAAGAAGAAATAATAAAAGAAAATAAAAGAAAAAGAAAATTAGCGTACTCACCCATCCAAAGAGATAAGTGACACAATTACAACTACTAAATCCAGTATATTGAAAGCGGATCTGCAGAAGGCGTCCTTGTGGAAGATAAATCCGTACGTGATCACTTTCAGCAACAATTCAAGGGTGAAAACCGCAGTAAAGAAGTAGTCAATTTTGCGTAGAATCTGGAACAATAAGTTTTACAGGTGCACCAATAACATGCCAACTCATACCGATGCCAGATGGAAAATGCCATTAAAATGCTGCTATTTCCCCTCAATTTAAATGTTTTTGTGAGATTTTTATACTGCAGTGCTATCTTGTGTTCAAATGTTTATAGAGAAATGTTACTATAAAAATCGGTTGTCTGTGAAGTCGGTTTACTGACGATAGTTGAACGTGACAACGTCATAAGAAAATACTGATGGAATGGTTGCATTTTTCAAAAGAAAATTTTAATTACGCTTCATACTTGACGAAAACATGTAAATGTATTATTGTATAGCAGCTGTCCACGCGGTCGCATGGCTGACTCAAGTAGGAGAGAGACAGATGTCGAACGCTGCCGAACGCGAAGGCCGATTGTGCCTCTTTGTCGCTCGTTCCGCGCTCTCGATTGCACTTCAAGCCTTAAATGGAACGCCTCAGAGCGAGGTAACGCCGCATGCGTCATGTTTTTTCGTGCGTGCAGCCGGCTCCATCGAATTATAAGACGTTTTCACGTCAATAATAACTTTACACACGACTGTCTGATCCCAAGCTAGGCAAAGTCTGTACTATAGTAACCAGACTGCTGATAAACATACTTACATATTTCTAAATACATACATATTATGGATAAATACGGGTGTATTTACTATCTAATCGGTCGGTATCTGGGTGATACCCACCAAATGATCATTATTTGTCCTGAGTTGGAATCGAAACCGACCCCTGGCTGAGCAGTTAGGTTCATGAACTACTAGACCAACATACCCGTCAGGCGCAGTCGGTAGGTATGATGATGTTTTTTCTACTTACCTCAGTCTGTTCTTCGCTATCCTTAGTACCGACAGGATCTTCCATGGCCAACATGAGTGATGATGCCAATATACACCCTAAAATCAAGTTCTTGAACCAGGAGTTTTTTTGTATATTGTAACAAGTTACACGGAACCTAAAAATTAAATGAATCTTATATATTAACTTTAAAATCAGCCCACGCGATCGGGAGTTTTCTAATTTTGACACACATTTAGTCCCACTGTGCGTCGTCCATGGACACATGCAATTCAAGAGTAACAAATGCATTGCTATCCTTTCGCCTTAAGGTGCATATTGCAAGCGCGAAATTAAAAGCATGAACAACTGATCATGGAAATGAGATAAGATATCGTGGACTATGTAAGAAATAAACATGTTCCCTTTTTTTATAAATAAACTGGTCCGCGGATGCGCCCGCCTGTTTGTCGGTTATCGCAGTAAATACTAGTCTTTGTCCTTCCTCAAGAATCGAACAATACCAAATTTTATATAAATCGGTTCAGTGGTTATTGATTCCCCACACAAACTTTCGTCAAAAATCGCTTTAGGGTGATTTCTGGGATGAAAACTATCCTATGTCCTTTTCCAGGACTCAAACTATCTCTATATTAAATTTCATCGGTTCGGCGGTTTAAGTATAAAGAGGTTACAAACAGACAGACACATTCGCATTTATAATATTGGTATGGATTTGGTATTATTAGGGCTTGAAAAAAGGCATAAATATAATACCCACTTACACCACTACAATTTTTACACAAATGGTTACATTAAATAGCCCAAAACATTGTAAGCAGGCACTTACCAATTGGTACTAGAAAATATAAAGAAACTACTGGCATTGGGTATTGGTTTGTCTTCAGCTTTGATCTCCACTTCAGACAACCGTCTTGGACGTGCAGTTATTCCAACCTTCGGGGTGTCTTCTTTCTTGACATCACCTGTAGACCCAAATCAAGAAGGGACAAACGAATCATTACTTATTGTGTTTGTAGAATAGTACACGGCGGAAAGAACTAATTATAGAAATAGATTTTAATTATATTTAAAAATCTTAGTAATTTACTTGGTAAACTATTCAGTTATCTAACAGTAAACTAGTATCGGAACAAAAACAAAAATAAATAACCTAAATACTTTTATTCATTGTCACCGCTTTTTAGTTTGAGAAATGTGTCGAGGATTGGAAAGAAGCGTTGGTACAACTGCATGACATCAAATGAGGACTATTTTGAAGGCAATAATATAATACATATAATAATAATATATTTTACTACATTTACACAACGCCATCTAGTCCCAAACTAAGCAGAGTTGTACTATGGGTACTAGACAACTGATAGAAATACATATATACTGTTTTTTGTTTTAAATACATACATATTATACATAGAAACACCCAGACCAAATCATACATTAAATGTTCATGCACACAAATATTTGACTTGAGCGGGAATCGAACCCGCGACCTTAGGTATACAAACGCGACCTTAGGTATACAGTACGTTACACAAACCACTATGCCATCCGGTCGTCAATAATGTAGATGGATATTTTATACCAAAATTTACCTCGTATATATTATATGTATCACACACCACTATCATTATCACTACTTAGAACCTTTTTACAACTTACATCGGAATGTGAGCTATGTGAATTAGAACTGAAACTATGTAAAATTCATAATTTTAACTAAACACTTTTTAGAGAAGACAAGCATTTATATTCAAATTGAAGTCAATAATCTCGAAAAGACCAATAATAACATCATCATCTTGCTGTCATTTTGATTGGGATCTGCGAATCTGGGTACGGAAGACCATAAGGAATACAGCAGGTATATTCGTCCTATCATTGTACTTAGACAAATCATCACCTTTAATAGTCCACTGCTGGATATAGGTGTCTCCTTAGAAAGTTTTTAGAGGTTTTGGCCTACCATACCATCTACACCAGTATAGGGTTTGTTTCAAGTTTTCCTTCTTTATACAGTGCTGTGGTCCTGCGTAGTTCATTCCCTTAGTTGACTGTTACTACACCTACAGAATTAACAGGGGTGGTGACCCTCCGTATTCTTAATCTATCACTACACAGATAAATACTTCAACATAAATTAACTAATCTAATCCAGAGTAACGCTGCTTATAAAAACCTTTTTTTTTTCATAATTATATTCAAGATTACTATTAAAACTTACCGTTCTGTTTCTTTTCTATGCTCACTAGCGTCTCATCTGCATTGTCTCTTCCTTCTTGCTCTTGTTCGTCTACTTCTTCTTCTGATCCTGTTTCTTCGTATTCATGATCAGACCTATTATTAGCACTTTAATTACTACCAGTTTATTAATCAAATAGCTCTCAATACAGTGAATAATATAAACATTTCTCATAAGTCGTAACTCATTCATTCCAAAAAAAACTTTAGGTTGTCTTAAACAGTTCTTATTTTAATAAATCAAATCAGTATTATACTGCCTTTAAATAATACAAATAATTTAGAAGATACTTACCTTGGTACTCTTTTATATTTCTTATAAGGCTGGCTGTTTGCAAAATATTTTAAAATAAAAACTCAGTTTACAAAAAAATATATTATTAAATATCTTTAAAACTATTGTTCCTAAAATCATTAAGTAAACGAGTAAATATTCGAGACCCTTACAAAAACATTTATCATTTTAAATATATTACCTAATATTATAGTTTTGCATTTGGGTCAAAAGGTCAATTGATTTATATCAAATTTCAACTCAATCTTAAGATTTAGAGAAAATTGCTTGTGATGATGAATAAACACACAGGAGTGATCCCAAAATACTATCCTTCTTATCCTATCCTATCTGATCCTATATACTGTTTTTCCTTTTGGAAATACTTTTGTGTTTAAAAATGAATGATTGATTTTAATCAACAAAAATCTATATCTGACGTAAACTTTTGTTTTCATTAACATCTACAACTTACCCTTCACTTGAATATATTTCTTCTTCATTGACGTATTCATAATCAGTTTCACCCCTCTCTTCATCCAGTTGTGGGTTTCCAGCTTCTGCATTATTTTCTGCTTCCTAATTTATGCATAAACACTTTAAAATTATATTCTCATATACTGGTATTTGTACACGCATGTACTTGTTTTCATCAAATAGCTTGATATAAATATGTTTAAATGAATATAAAACAAATTTACCAAATACGGTACATGAAAAACTTCTGTTGTACCTGTACTCGTAGAAAAACGTAACTATAGGTATACAATGTTTACGTACCTCTTTCTCCTTTTGAATTTCATCCATTTCTTCAGCATCTCCTAAGTTGTCAACGGCGATAGCCAAGAACACGTTTAGCAAAATATCTGTACACTGTTTAAGGAATATGTAAAATTTCAGTACTATACATAGATCTGATATTAGAAGTGATCACCTTGATAAAGGCGTCAAAAAAGTCAAGGAGTTCATCAACGAACAATGGAAATTTAGAATAGTAATCAACAGGCCGTATATTCGAAGACCTGATAAACTTATCGTCATTTTCGATATGACGTGGACTATGTAATGATACGGTGGAGGAGGGTATGACAGACCTGTTGGAGAAATATGGACCTTTGCCGAAAAATTTGGAAGAATATATTTACCTACATTGTGTTATAAAGACTTGAATTGAAGAGAATTTACTAACGTTTGATGCGGATTAAAAAAGTTTTTTGCCACTGCTTGTGTGTATCTAAAATCCCTGATTAACACTGCGTACGATGCTAATGTAGTGAGGACCTGACCAATGCGACAGACCAAACCACTTGATAAAAAAGCATCCGTTAGAACTGAACCTCGAGCATTGCTGAAATTCAGCACCTAATAAATATCCTTAGAACCAGAATATATTTTTACGAATATGTTTGTAATTTTTTTAAATTCAGTTTTATTTGACAAAGGATACAGTTACCACAAATGAAGATGACAATAAAATAGATAGAAGCCAACATCCCCGGCGTGCCGTAGCCACCGAAAGCGTTAATGCCATGATACATAACAATGTTCCAATCCTCACCGGTCAAGATCTGAAATATGAATATGCACACTTACAAAACCTTTTGTTTGTGGCTCTGCTTGCGTGTATGTTGGTAAAAAATCTATAATATCATTTGTTATAGATAGTTCAACTTAGTTGTGCGCGCGGCCCTATGTATGCCTGGGCTTGTAAATATACACCTTTCATTCGTGTGGCAGTGACGCGGCAGTCGTCGTCCGAGCAGCACACGAATGAAAGTTGTATATTTACAAGCCCACGCACACACAGGGCCGCGCGCACAACTGAGTTGAACTATCTATACCAATAATATTATTTGTGTTAGTGCCATATGTCCTTCCTCAAAAATCATGGAGATATACATGTCAAATTTGATTAAAATCCGTTTAGCTGTTTAGCCATGAGATCGTAACAAACAGATAGACAAAATTCTTTCGTATTTACAATGTTAGTAGGGATTATGGAGAGTAAGATATAATGTGTGAATTTATTCCAGAATTTTCATAACGTAAAATTTACAGGAGATTTCTTTAACACACCTGAAACATTGTGAGTACAGCTTGCCAGAATGAATCAAAATTATGTCTCTCTTTTTGAGCTTCTGGATCGTAGTCGAATCTTCCACCGAATACTTGCATACCGAGTAAAGCGAATATCATGATAAACAAGAAGAGAAGAAGCAGCAGAGAGAAAATGGATTGGATAGAATTCAGAAGCGATGCTACCAGGTTAGAGAGTGAACGCCAATATCTGGAAAAATAACAATTTCATCTTAGATTACGTCCAGTTTTTTTAAAACCTACCATACCTTAAAGCATCCTTTATCTGGTTAAGACCTAGCATAGACCTTGAATAGGAAACGCCATTGTGTAAAATCCTTTGGAGTTGTTTCTCGGTCATGGATTTTAAAATTACCGTTGTAATATATATTAAGAAAAGTATTTTACTGTAAACCAACCAAACGTCCATCGATTTACTAGAATTATTTATGTCCATAGACGTGTGGTTGATACTTACTTTGTGACTTTGAACACTCTCAGTAAACGAACGCAACGCAACACAGATATACCCAACTGCGGGATCGTATCTGATATGGTCAATGCCAATTCCAGGATAGAACAGAACATCACGAAGCAGTCGAAGCGGTTGAACAGTGACACGAAGTAACCCTGCAATGAAAAGTGTGATAAAAGATAAGAAAAACAAAAGTCGGATATTAAATACAGAACGAAACAAATTCAGATATCAACCCGCTTTACAGTTCTTTGTTTTCGTATCGTACGAGTATAATAGTAATGTTTTCAGTATTTGCTAGAATTTGTCAAGATCAGCTAAATCAGCTAAGAAGTTAATATCGTGACGCTAACACCGTAACAAATACTCGAATTTTTGCATTTATAATATTAGTTAGGATGTTAAGTCTAAGCAGTAGTGTCCGACCTCCTCGTGGGAGAGCTATGCTTCTGCAAAAATGGTACCCAGAACCCTAACAGATTCTGGGGAAAGGAGACTCAAAGGGCGGTAATGCATTTGAGACTTAAGCTGCAGGTGCCCTAGACGGCGGTAGTCACTTACCACCAGGTGACCCGTCTGTCCTTTTACCCCCCTATAGCTTAAAAAAGAAGACAAAAGGAACTTACTTGAAATCCCAGTGCATACATCTTCACCAACATTTCCATGGTGAACAGGACAACAAACAAATAGTTGGCGTAATTCTGGAAGTAATCCAGCCACTCTGGCTGTCTGCAATTCAATGTGAAATAACGTAAATATTTAGTAAACAATAACACAAGTACCCAGAAATGATACGGATTAAAATTGGAACTTAATTTGTCTAACAAGTGCTGTGCAAGTCTCGGGTGCTGCTAGTATTGCCACCCTAAGTTATGTCTGGTGATTAAAAATTCTGTCTTATTGTAGTCTACTGTGGAATAAAGTTTCTTTACCCATCAGCTGAAATTATGCAGAAACAAGATGTTTCCGCTCATCGTTAGCGGATGTGATGTGACATAAGCTCTTCTGCAGCTTTCAGAATTTAGAAAGTGGATTAATATTTGTGCCGAAATTTTTAGGTGATGAAAATAGCAGCATCCAGCGAATACAAGCGAACATATTCAGAAGCTAATCAATGCTGCATCGAACGTAAAAAAACTCACCCAGAAATTGTCATGACATAGACATGACCAGTTAGTGAGGTCAAGGTCGCCCATAAAATTAACGCTTATTCTTCCACACATTTAGAAGATTAACAAAAAAAAGTTACTTACTGATGATGTTCCGTGGCCAAAACTAAAGTGTTCAAAAACACAAGTACTATAATGGCCCAGTAAAATGTTTTCGATTTCACGGCTTTTCTGCACGCCCTTCTCATCCGTCTGTTCACCTAAAAGAATTAAAAAAATCTATAAGCTAAATTACTCGTAGCTATAGAAAAGAATGGTAGTCTGGAAGTATATTATCTCAAAGAGGTTCAACTCCGGAAGACCCAATATTTTGACCCATAGAGAGATATCCATCATCAATTTGATCAGAATATAATCCAGTATCTATATAAAGGTTTGCCATATACAACGAAGCTCCTTTCCAAGGAGAGGCCAATATCCAGTAGTATGCTACCAATCGATCGAGAGATACGTAATGTTTTGACTTCATGGACAGTAAGATGAGTCTTTTGGAAGCTATGGCTTTCTGACCCACCAAACGGGATCGCTCACTTAAACAAAACGTAAATATAATTTTAAATCTATAACATAAGCTATGATTTTGACTATCAGAAAACCTTACTGACGACCACCGAACCGCTAACTAAGTAGTAAGTAAATAAATGAAGAGTTCATGTATAAAAATTTACCTTATCGAACCTTCTGCAATACATTTTACAAGTAGTCGTTTGCATTTGATCTGGACCTCCATTGATCTGACTCTGGGATCCTTCGTTACTTTTTCTGTCTTTTTTACCTACAATCAATAAGATAGCATTAATAAAAAATTCAATAATTGAAATATTTAAAAATAAAAAACTTAAACCAATGCAAAAATTACTAATATAGGTCATCAATATTTCGAGGAAGAACAAAAACGTTCTATCTCGGAAATTGCCGTAATTAGTTAGCGGTTATTAAACAGAAAAAAACCCGTTGAATGATCTATGTCTTGTCTTATTATAACAAAAGAAGTTCATAATACATCATTGACTTTTTATTTGTCTATAATCCGTGAGTTAGTTAGGTTTAGTCCAGATGTTGTCAATTTTTTCGCAACCGGTATTTCAAGCTATGAATTGGCAAAATTACAAGCATTGAGAGTTGTTCACATTCTTTGTTTTACACTTAAAAGTCTTAAATAATAAGTTCTTTATTTTGTACATTCTATACGGTAAATTTTATTACTGTACTGTTTATTTCTTAATATACGTTCAATAGTTAAAGTGTTTGCTTTCTTACCCTGTGAATCTTGGTCTTCTTCCTTCTGACCCTGATCATTTTCCAAATCCAACTCCTCAGCAACCGTTATCCAATTCAGATAACCTTTTAAATCCTCTTCAAATTGCTGTCGTTCTCTTGACTTCTGAAAGTCACCTCGATTTTTTGCTTTTTCTCTTTCTTTGGAGAACTCTCTGAAATATTAAAAAAACGAAATAATACAAATCCTGTCACCAATATTACAGGTTATAAACCGTATACCATAGTTGTTAGACAAATGAAAGTCAATAATTAAATAGGAAAGCATCTCTAGCATCTATTAAAATTATCTTAGTTTTTGATTTCTGCTGATAAATAACATTCTAAAAATTTCATGGCCGTAACCCGAGAAATACTTTAACTATAAATTTGGTCACTTAAAAAAATACCATTACTTACTAGTAATGTAAATTTACAGAAATTACTCCGAACGACACACGAGTTTGAAAGCTTGACTATCATTTATATGAAAACAACACATACTCTAAAATTTCATCCACACAGTGCGCAGAAGCGATAGAAACACAGAGAAACTTATTATGAGAAGCAAGATAGACCGACCAGGTCAAAGACCCAGAGTCCCTCAACTTTTACACGATCGAAAGAGATGCGCTGGACAGGAACCGTTGGACACGATCATCCACTCCAGATTAGTCCAGATGCAACCCTGATGCTGACGACGATCCTCAGACATGAGGAATCAACCAAAGAAAGAGAGAGATAGAGAGAAATTTACATCATTCCTCCTTTTCTTTGCTTAATTAACGTTGAATACGGGGTTTGAACTGAAACTACTCAAATATCAACAACAACATCATTAAAAATATGTAAATAACGGTCTCTATGACTACTTACTTAAGGATGATTAAAGATTATGGCGCCAGTTACATCTAGCAACATAATTATAGCGGACATCATCTGAATCACAGGACCTACTGACCCTGGATTGTGCAGTAAATATTATCGCTCTCGCTAATAGTATACCCAAAGAAAAGTATTTAATACCAATAATAACATAAAGATCCACCATATAAGGGATCATGATCTTTATACTAGAGGGGCATAATATATGGTCATTCATGTACACTTACCCAGACAACACACCAAGAATCAGGTTCATGACGAAGAAATTGCCAAAAATGACAAGGGTAACAAAATAAATCCAAGGCCACGTATTACCCTTTACATCGGCAATCTGAAATATTATATTTGTACACAATGTATATAGCTAGTATAGAGAAAACATAGAATAAGAAAAAAGGGCTTACGTTGTCTATGGACCCCCGGTCGGAACGAAGTTCCTTTCGCTTTTTGGTCAATAATTTTAATTTGTATTATAAAATATCAAGTCAATGGAGTTAAATTGAAAAAATTATGATTAAATATATTTATTATGGATAAAATAAATAATGATAAATTAAACACCAAATGATCTTAAATAATTAAGTTAATAACAAATAAAAGTTTAGAAAAAGTTAATACACGTCTGTAACTATAGCAAGAAGTGTCGGAAAAAAGTCTTGTTACACATTTTTCCTCGGAACTTCGCTTTAAACAATCATCAACATCAACAGCCTATACTAGTCCACTGCTGGACATAGGCCTCTCCTTAGAAAGGAGGTTTTGGCCTACTATACCACGCTGGCCAGACGGGTTGGTATAGAGTTTGTTTCAAGTTTTCCTTCTCTTTGCAGTGCTGTTGTCCTGCTTAGTTTGCTCCCTTAGTCGGCTCTTACGACACCCACGGGATGAATTGGGGTGGTGACAATTTGTATTCTTAATCCGTCACCACACGGACACGGACTTAGAATAATATCATCATATAATGTAAGATCTTTATTAATCTGGAGCAAACGAGCAGATTTGTGAACTCAAGAGACAGAAGTGAGTTCCCACCGTTTGAGTGAATGAATCAGGGGAGGGATTGAACCTCCGGTAACTCACGGTTTATGTTAATATAACTACTTTTACAGATGTATAGGTGAAGAGATTTATTTTCTGGCTAGCCAAAAGGAGGGTTATGATGTTAGCCCGTAAAAAAACAGATTTTACAACATTTTACAATTTCATTTCGATTCCCCCACAATAGGTCTTTCTTTTTGGATCAAAAACACTATTTCTTTTTATTCTATTTAGTAGCGTATATAAAACTTCATGATAATTAATTGAATATTTAAGCGAAACAAACAAAAATTTTAAACAGAAATGACTTAATATTTTTTTTGGATTCTAGTAGGATTTCAACTGAAACTTACAGCGTACATAATATCCGTCCACCCCTCAAGCGTAATGCACTGAAACACAGTTAACATGGCATAGCCAATGTTGTCAAAGTTGGTGATCCCGAAGTTAGGACCTTCCCAGCCAGTTCTGCAAACGTATCCAGCCGGACAACCAGTTTCATCCCCTTCAATATTGCATGGCGATGGCTCATCAATCATGTCATCTAAAAAAATTGACATGTCTTAGAATGGTCACCGAGGAATTCTCCGACTTATACACCAAATTGAATATATGGTTAACAGAATTTCTCTTCAAACTATTTACGAAGAACGATTTTCCAAGTAGGGTTTGCGATAGGTGGGCAGATCCTGCGCCTCATGCCGCCCTGAGTGTGGCCGCGGGTGGACGGGGTGGGTTTCCCCTCCACCCGCATTAGTTTGGCCAGCCGCGAGGGGGCCGGCGCTAGGAGGGGCCCGGATGTCTTAATAACAGCTGTTCCCGGATCCCTCCTATTACAGGCGCAAAGTGGCACACCGTGTGGTTTTAGTCGGTCCGAGTCCGACACACCACCCCGCCGCAAACCCCGGTAAGGTGACGGTCCGAGGGATTTGCACGCGTAAAAAAAAAAAAGGCAGGTGGGCAGATGGGCAGGTAGATAAAGGAAAAAAGTCGAAACCATTTTTCAATAAATAGTGATAGAAAAGAATGGTAGAAGGAACTCTTCGCACCGACCTGCATAAATTTGAGAAAAGTGTAAAAATGTGACGATACGGCAATCAATCACTTCATATCTTGACTAAGAGGACGCTGTAGCCTAACCTTAACGTAGATAGGTTTACAGGAGTATCACTAATTCATGGCTAATTCTCTAACAGCCTCTTCTTAGAAAGGAGGTTTTGGCCTACTATACCACGCTGGCCAGACGGGTTTTTGTAGGGTTTGTGTCAAGTTTTAACTCTCTTTGCAATGCTGTTTTCCTGCGTAATTTGCTCCTTTAGTTGGCTTTTGCGATACCCACGGTGGTGACACTCCGCATTCTTAATCCGTCACCACACGGATAGCTGTTTCAAGTTGGTAAAACCATTATTAAACAACTCTATACTGTATTTATTTAGTTGAAGAAAGAAAGAGAGGCAGAAAGAAAGCGACAGTATTCCACAATTTAAGCGCTGTAGGCTAGCGATCTACTAAAGGTCTACTCGCTGAATATCTGGGTGATGTCTACGATGGAGGTGGAATGATGAACCAACACCGACGGTACGGTATTACACCGTGCTTAACACATAACTATCTATATCACCATCTCAGTTACCAACTTTCTCCTTTCTCCTTTTATTTCTATCTCTTACTAAATCTTTTACGTTCTCTGATAACTCTTAGCGATATGGAAAAATATAAATAGTACCTGTGCCATTCTTATAACAAGTGTCGTGGAGTATCCCTGAGAATAATTCCAGACCAATGATAGCGTAGATGATGATCACGAACAGCACCAGAAATGCTATGTGGAATAATGGCACCATCGCTTTTAATATGGAGTTTAACACGATCTGTAGACCTGGAAAGCAATAAATAGAATGTTGTATAATTTGTTAAAAAAATGTGATTAAAGGACAGCCGTAATTAATTTTTCAGTAAAGCCCCGACAACCCCCGCACTAGGAATATTACATCATTGGTCATGGGGAAATTTACAAACATGCATGAAATATATATAAAGAACACCCATACTCAGAACAACAATTTAAACATCGCACAAAGTGTTGTCGCATGTGGGGGTTGACCCCATAACTCTCAGCGTTGTAGGAAGCGGCGAGGTGACCACTTAAATCACTACGCCATCCGGGTAGTAGTCTTCAATGTAGTCAGTAACCTATCGCTAGAGATAAGAGTCACGTCTGTGGTCTAGGGTATAATACGTCAAAGAGGTGGCGAACAGAGAACAAAGAGAACTAGTTGTCGCAGTCTTGCAGAAGGAGTGAAAAGCAAACTATCTCCAACGTTTCTGAATTATCTTTTAGCATTTATTCTGACTCTCATGTTATCGTTTTGTGGACTCTTATTATAACGTCAACATAAAGTAGGATGTATTAAATAACCCTACAGAGTGACTACAGAAATGTCTGGTAAAATTTTCAAATGTTTCTCAATTTTTTATTCGGTATTTTTTTTCTTTGTGTTAGCTCAATTTTGTAGTGTTTTTTTAAAAGACATTCCATCATCATCCTCGATATTAAATACCAATAGATTAATTCATGTCAGTCCTCGCAGTTTCAAAATAAGATTTCTGTACCAAAACCTATAAAACTTTTTACGGTTTTATACGATACTTAAATATAACAGTGCCTCTCTGTTCCATTCTGTATAATCTACAACTGAGGTTTAAAAAAATGTGAAACTCACTTGGCACTCCTGAGACGAGTCGCAAAGGTCTTAGCACACGGAATGCTCTCAAAGCTTTTACGTCGAATGCTTCTTTTGAAATAAACTGTAGTGCCATGCTAACTACACTGTAAAAAATAAAAAATTAATAGAATCAATAGTATTTTGAATCAAAGACTGTTTTACAAATGAGGGGCTGTGAAACTTCTCTCATTTACCATATTAATTGTAAGCATAAGTTAATTATATGCGTTATCATAATTTATCTATATGTATGTATTTAAAAATATATAAGTATGTTTATCAGCAGTCTGGTTACCATGGTACAGGCTCTACCTAGTTTGGGATCAGACGGCCGTGTGTGAGATATATTATTATAATCAACAACCTTTATTGGTCCACTTCTGGATATAGGCATTTCCTTAGAAAGGAGGTTACATAGTGTAGTTCATTTTCAGAAGGCTTTTTTTGGCATTTATTTTTTATAGTTTTTATTTAGACTTCTGATCTCGTAAAGTTAAGTTGCTGTTTTCAAATTTTTATATTTACGTTGTCTACGTGTGGATGCTGTGTGCATATTTGTAACTAGAGTAGCACTTGTATATAGTTTAAAACAATTAATGTGTGTGAATTTTCTTCTGTAAATATGCCTTAATAAATAAAAAATACAATAATGGACGTCAGGTAGGACATAGCCGAAAAATCTAAAACTCCAGTCTCAGAGAACTTTAAGAGCTATATTAAAACACTTGAAAAATCACATCATCATCATCAAAAAAATATTGTAATTTAACTCTAAAGTAATAGTAAATAACCAAAAACTTACGTAAAGCTTATTTAATCAGTAACTAGAGTTGTAATGTAGTGCGATAGGTACCATGTTGTTCATTTGTCCTGATGTTACATTAGTAGTAAAAGTATAAATTATTGCAATTTTGTAAGAGTAAATATCTTTATAACACAATGAAAATGGAACAAAACGACCTACATCAATATTTTAATATTCCGTAATTTAGCAGAACAAAAATCGGTATTCTTCGCATAAAATATCCTGTCAGGACGGAACTTTGGTAGTTTTAAACTTTCCGGTTTAAAAAAAACACCGTTACATAATAATAGTAAAATAGAAGTAAAAGAAGTAACATATCCTATCCTATATCCAGAGCAATACCACATGGCACAATATTATTGTGGCGTACATTACGCATATTTGAAGGAAAGATAAAAAATAAACAAAATTATTGAAATTAAGTTTAAAAATTTCAGAACTGCTATCATTTTCTGATTGCCCATTGCTTAAACTGTCTTATTATTATCGGTTTTGCACCATAACTGGAGTTTCAACATATAATTGGAGTTTCTTCTATACCAATAGCAGAATAAGAGAGAAAAACTTACCCTATTGTAACAATAGTAAAATCCAAACTGTTCCACGTGTTCCTCAGGTAGGCGCCAGGGTGGAACAGGAAGCCGTAAGCTATGATCTTCATCACACACTCCGCGGAAAATATACCCATGAATATCCATTCTACTTTTTCCTGAAAATGCAAGAAATTTGTTGTAAGAACATATTTTTTGGCTGTTTTTTATGAGAAAATTCGATTATGTTGTTCTCTTTTGAGATTTCCATACAGGGACTGGCTTCATACTTAGGCAGACAGCGGGAGGAGCGGAACGGTGATGCGCCTTGAGCAGGTTGTAATGTATTACTAAATAAAGAAGATGGCGTGAAGTCGCATCACAGTCAGGGTCAGAAAGGTTTATATAGCTTATATGTCTACACCACGTCGTCATACCGACCCGTCAACTGTCTACGCCAACCTTTAATTTATTAAATTTTTACTAACGTATTTTGATGATTTTAATATTAAATTGAGGGCCACTAATATCAGAAGTGTCCTTAGAGTGAATACAAAATAGTTGTTCTTTACAAAAAGTTGTGTTATCACTAGAACATGACTATTGTTGCGACTATTTTGGTGTAGTTTATTCGACTGCTACGTCATGGTCAATAGTATAGTAGGCATCGATACCCTCTATACCATATTAAATAAAATCAAGTCGCGTGATGGTAAATTTCTACCACCGCCTATGAACAACTACAATTGAGAAATGGGAGAGCAGGTTTTGAGATCTGGTAGCCTCACTTGCCTCTTGAAAGAATACAACACACCGGGTTAATCAATTCTTTTGTTGTATTTTCTGAGTCAGTTAAGTTACCGGAGAAAATTCTGGCGGAGGTATTACGTCCGCAACGCACTTAAGCGGTGAAATTGGTTCACCATTAGGCGACGTTTATGCCATGAAAAATTAATTATGATTTAATAGAAAGATTAGAGCATACTCACCAAAATTTGATTTGTATAATTCGTATCACTAGCTGGATAAGGTGTGAAGATGGCTAACGCGATGCAGTTGGCGAATATAGTCGTCAATATCATATATTCGAATGGTCTGTATGTCAAATATTTAGGAAATTATTGTAGAATATTTCGATGTAAAAGTAATAAATATTGGTGTGATACCGAACTCCCAATAACACATCGACACCAACTTAAATCTATAGCACATTAGAGTCAGTGCTAACACTTTCTTGCTTTCATACTCATCAAGTGGTATAAAACTATGATCTGCTTTTTACGGGAACGGTTTAATAAACTCCCTTTGTCTCAATTCAAGTTTTACTATACCAACCCGTCTGGCCAGCGTATGGTATAATAGGCCAAAACCTCCTTTATAGGGAGAGGCTTATGTCCAGCAGTGGACTATTAAAGGCTGTTGATGATGATAATTCAAGTTTTACGTTTTTGATCCTTAGGTACTTCCTTTGTCTATATTTTTACATTATTTACTGATAATTATGTATTCTTATTATTTGAGTTTCGTCGACACGACTTCTTTTGACAGTCCTGCTTATATCTATATTAATGTGCGAAGAGATTTTTTTGTCGTGACATTGGGAATACTCAAAACATTTTCTTAAATTCATATTTAAAACAAGTGCTGAAAGATCCTATTTAAAATTATGAGAACACGTCTACATTTAACTACACGCGTTCATTATACATATATGTTGATCTGTCTAGTACGTGTAAGACTATATACCTACAATGATAGTTCAAATTAAACTGGGTCTTGGTATAAACCAGATAAAAAAATACAATTGAATAAAGTAATAGTCAATATTCAACCAACGACCCAATATTTAAAAGTCATTAGAACGACTGCACGGATGGCGTAGTGGTTTAAGCGGTCGCCACGCCGCTTACTACTACGCTGAGTGCTGTGGGTCCGATCCCCACATTGGACTACACTTTGTGTGAGCCACAAATTGTTGTTCTGAGTCTGGGTGTGCTTTGTGTCCATTTCATGCATGTTTGTAAAGTCCTAACCGACACAGGATTTATTCTTAGTGCGGGATTTGTCTTAAAAAAAAGAAAAAACAGTAACTCAATGACCCAACTTACTTAACTTATTAATTTCTCTCTATTCTTATTTCGTGCAACGTATTAAACCCTAGGAGAAGTTTCATTTATGACTATTTAACACCTCATTTAATACTATTTAGATAAAACAAACGTATTATGACTGCATTACATCATTTACACACTTATATAATCAAAATTTCCTGTTTATAAATATTTATTGGACACAAGGATTGCCATTAAATGCGCCATTGATTTTATGGGACGTAGATGACGTACTTAACTATATTTATACGTAGTTTTATAACTCAATATATACTAGGAATTGCACGAAGATGTTTCTATGTTAAAGATAATTACTAAAACGTGGCTTGTGCCAGAGGGCCTACTACTCGATTACATGGAGGACAAGAATGCTTGGGATTAATTAGCGCGGACTATTTCTTTCTTGCTATGTGCCCTGCCCATTGCCACTTCAGCGCGCTAATCCATTGGGCTATGTCGACCACCTTTGTTCTCCTGCGGATCTCCTCGTTGCGGATTCGATCACGCAGGGAAACGCCAAGCATAGCCCTTTCTATAGCACGCTGAGCGACTCTGAGCTTTCTGATTAAGCCCATAGTAAGAGACCATTCTCAGTTCCGTAGGTCATCACTGGTAACACACACTGGTTGAAGTCTTTCGTCTTTAGGCACTGAGGTATTTTGGACGTGAAGACGAGAAACAGAACAAAACAGAGATTGTTGCTTTTGTGTGTGTTGATCTATGACTTTAGATGCTACATAAAAGACGTTTTCAAACAATTTTGAAAATTTTATGAAATAAAGAGAGTTTGAGTTACTCATGAAGTCATGTACATTCCGCTGACTAATTACATTATTTACTATGGCCCTGTTGGTCTAGTGGTTAGTGACCCTGACTGCTAAGCCGGAGGTCGTTGGTTTGATTCTCACCCTAGACAAATATTGTCTGATGAGCACGGTCATTTGTTCTGTGTCTGAGTGTGATTTATTTACAATATGTATATATTTAAATATTTATAAGTATGTTGATCAGCAGTCTGGTTACCATAGTACAGGCTCTGCCTGGTTTGGGATCAGACGGACGTGTGTGAGATGTGTCAGGTATTATTATTATTACTAGCTGACCCGCGCAACTTCGTCTGCGTCTCTCAATAGTAATAAATTTTCTCCGTTTTTGAAACATTCTTCATCGGTGCTCCGCTCCTATTGGTCTTAGCGTGATAATATATAGCCTATAGCCTTCCTCGATAAATGGGCTATCTAACACTGAAAGAATTTTTCAAATCGGACTGGTAGTTCCCGAGATTAGCGCGTTCAAACAAACAAACAAACAAACTCTTCAGCTTTATAATATTAGTATAGATTATAATTTGCTAGATATGACAATATTATTAATATCTCCATTGATTGATTGATTGAGTGAATAAAATTTATACCGATATTTTGACTGATGTCAATTGCATTTCAATAGCGTGTCAATAGAATAACAGGAATTTAAACTGTTATATCCGTTAAGTTCATATTAATTCTTACTTTCATAATACTCAGAGGAGACAACTTCGAATATTTTATGTAGACACCTTATTTTTAATAGCCTTTTTACTTAACGCGGTTTTATTAGTTTTACTTGTAAAAAAACTTTAACCCGCATCTAATAGTCGTATAATCTTGGAACTAATGTAATGTAAAAAAGTCCGAGGGCTGCTTTTCAAGTATATCACGTTAAAACCGAGAGAAAATAAAAAATGACAATTATTTCTTTCGAAATTATGCGTAAAAGCAAACACCATCCATACTTCCATACTGATATTATTTATGTGAAAGTGAGTTTGTTTGTTAGGCTTTCACGCCTAAACCACTAAACCAATTTTAAAAATTCTTCCACTAATGGAAAGCTAAATTATCAGCGAGTAACATATGCAGCTTTTTACCGCCATAACCGACATACACGCAGGCGGAGCCGCGGGCAAAAGCTAGTAATGTTTATATACATTTCAAAAGGATACTTCCACTCCACTATGTCATAGCATAATTTCCTTATAGGGTTCTTTAATCCAAGACAAAATAAACTTCTTTTGGGTTTTTCTGGCTGTGGTTTGCCTCGTGGTCTGGCTTGTTTTCTTGGGGTGGGTGCGATTGCATTGGGGTCGACTACGCTGTCTGCCCCCGGGGTTTGAGCTCCCGTAGACAGCGGCTGTTCAGTCGACATTTTTACCTGAAACAAAAAAAACATTTTCCTTTAATGAAGATTGTGCCACTCAACTCAGGGATCTTTGGGAATAGTAATTTTCTGAATAAAGGTACCCAATTTCTTGTTCTCTATCTTTGACAACGTATATATATAAATTGCTTATGAGTCACCTAATAGTAAGTGACTACCACCGCTCTTGGACACCAGCAACATAACAGTTACAAGTAGATATGGAAATTATTGGTACTCTAAATCATAATAATTTGATGATATATTTGGTTTTAGTCACGACGATTTCACATGTGATTGTGATATCATCACAGACATAAAAATCAATAAATGGCATAAAAATCAATCAAAATTCTTTTATCAAAGATAACGAAGATTTCGAAGATAACCTTTCTTTTAAGATTTAGATAGATAATAAAATTAATTAAGTAGCAGTGGTTTTATAAATCAGTCACATAGGTGAAGATATGATTTGTACATCATATGATTAATCGCATGTGATTCCATCCCTAGTTACAAGAGCACACCGGTTTTCTGTGAGGCCGCGATATCACTCCGGTTGAGTCTGGCCTATATTTGTCGGAGCGTGGCTCTCCCATTAGTGTGGCTTAGTTAAAGTCTTTAGGCCAGCTCAGACTGAGAGTAGCTGCGCTGCGGAGAGGATTTTTTTAAGACACTCTGAAATAAACTTTAAAACTATTAGTATAAAGTGCATACGCATGACCCGAGGCCGCGCGGGCTTTTTATGTTATGTTCAATGTCATGTTCATAAAGTGCATCATGCACTTTATTGTAATACTTTTAAGGTTTATTTTCAGGTGTCTCAAAAAAATCTTCTCCGCAGCGCTCCTCTCGGTCTGCGCTGGCCCTGAATAAGCTATATAACCTTAAGAATATCTTGTCTCTCTCTGTCATTTAAGAACTTCTGGTACGCCCTACATTGATAGAAATTTGATAGAATTTTTTTTTCTTTTAATTAAAAGCATACATAAATCGAATATGAAATGAAATAATTAAATGATGAAATGATATTTATTTCTGTAGGTAAATCTTTTCAGATATTATTACAAGTCGGGCGTTACAGCTAGAAGGCGCTGGCATTTCCTGAGACCCACTCTGGGAAGAACATCAGAAGTGTTTTTTTTTAAGACCGTGTACAATGTTAAAGAGAACTATACGAGTGCAGTATAGGGTCTAGAAATTACCAGAGTATTATGTCGGCTCGTCTATACAGACGGCATATGATGGCCCCAGCCATTGTATAGCCTAACCGATAGTCAGGATCAACAACCCAGAACACGACACTACAGCCAGCTGGACACTTGAGTATGCCGTGGATACATATACCTACTTAAAGGTTTTTGTACTTTAAAAGTTAAAAGCCTTAAAATAGTCATCAGTAAATTCTAATAAGATTCAATTTCTAATATTAATAAGTTCTTAGATAAAAGTGGAAAATTTTAAAAGTTACCCATGTTAAGGAACTAGGGGTTATGAGTCGATTGAAACTCAAGTTTCGTATGTAACTTACTGTACGAGAAAACCCGCACATTTGTAGTAGTTAATGAAATTAGCTTGCGTTCACTCATTTGAATTGCACTCGTATTACATAGGCACTTACTTTACATACATAATTTTTGTACATAATTTAGTAGCAATAAAATCATCATTCGGTAAAGTTGTCTACTCATTTATCAAACCAGCAATCTATCAGTAATGTTAGGGAAACTACCCCTACATTAATGGTCCTTCGAGTGTAACCGTAACACGGGACTATAACGCGAGTGTTCGATCAAGAATATATCGTGCGTCCGGTTACTGACTATCAGCGTACCTGTGGTCACTATCAGCGTCACTTCACGCTAAGAGCAGCCCCAGGAGTAAGCACAGCAGCACACGTACAGCCTGGCTCCCAGTCAGCAGTATTAAAGTAAGATCTTTCCTTTTTTTTTCTGTACATCATGAGCCAAACAATGGAGGATCTTGCAGAAAACCAGAATCAAATAATGGTGGCCATGAACCAGTTGTTAGTTAATTTTAAGAAAACTGGGCATGAGCGTAGGACTCCAGACTATGTCAAGCGACGTCTGGAGACCTTAGATGCCTATTGGCAGGAATTTCAGATGAATCATGTTACTTTGAGCGGTTTTAAGGACGAATCTTTAGAGTATTTCGCTAAAAACCGCTATCAGCAAACAAAAGAATTTTATATATCTACTCACGAGTACATAAAGCAAGCGACTACATCATCAGTTTTGAGACCCGCGACCCCTTTGGCTGGCACATCGGTCGGGGTGAGCGTGGAACAGCATACCAAGGATACGGCCGATACCGAAATTAAATCCTTACCCGCGGCTCCAATGTTTCGGTCTCAAGGTACAAATAGCAAACTGGATGACTGGATGAAGAAGCAAACCAGTAACTTTAAGGCTTTTTCACGCGCAATCAGAAACATAAACATAGATAGCATAAGAGAAAGGTGGGAGTTTCAGGATACATTAAAATCTTTAGAGGCGAGATGGTCTGCTATTGACTCCCTTCACTGGGAGTTAGATGGGGAGCTCGATGGTAAAGACCAGTCATACGAAGACGCTTATTCTGCCTATGAAACAGCTTTTAATTGCATGAAAAAGAAACTGAATAGCAAGTTGTGGACAGTAGCACATAGGGATAAGTCAACCCCTAAGATGGATGTTCCTACATTTCAAGGCAATTATAATCATTGGGTTTCCTTTAAAGATTTATTCACGGAGACAATACATAACAACCCGTCGCTGTCGAATGCGCAGCGAATGCAATTTCTTAAAAGTAAAGTTAAGGGGGAGGCAGAAGCGTTAATACAACATTTACAGATTAGTTCAGAAAATTACACTACTTGTTGGGAAATTCTGAACCATAGATATAATAACAAAAAGCGTATCTTTATGTCGCACCTAAGTATTCTGTGGAACCTTCCAGTCATGCAACAAGCATCCCTTAGCCATATCAAGCGCCTTCACGACACAACATACGAGTGTCTCAACGCGATCAAAAATCTAGGAGTAGATGTGAGCACGTGGGATCCCTTTCTTGTGTTCCTATTAACAAACAAATTGGACCCTGAGACCCACGATGATTATTTAGGCTCTCTGAAACAACCACGTGAATTACCGATTTTACAGGACCTTTTAGACTTTTTGGAAAACAAATTCACGAACATGGAGTCCTCAAAGCGTAAACAGGAAACAAAATCTGTAAATTCTAACTCAAAATTATTACATGAAAATCATTCCAATAACAATCAGAAGTTTCGTAACTTCAGACAAACATATTCAAGTAATAAAGTAGTTTCGCAATTAAATACTAAATCAAATTACAATAAAATCTGCCCATTATGCAAAAATGAACATGGTCTATATCATTGCGAAATGTTTACTGCGATGTCTCCAGTAAATAAAATACAATTTGTTAACAAGCACAAACTGTGCGAAAACTGCTTATACAATCATAACGGTAAGGCATGTTTTTCAACAAAACGTTGTCGTGAATGTACCGGATATCATAATACAATTTTACACGAAGCATTTACGCAATCGCCAACTAAGTCAAAAAATATTGCTCTAGCAAAATATGATACCGCACGGGTATCCGCTGAGCAAACACATCAAGTTAATTCGCACGTGGCACAAAAACGAGAAGTTCCAGAAATACTTTTATCGACAGCAGTAGTCAAGGTTCAAAAAATGGATGGGTCATACCTTACATTAAGAGCTCTGATTGATCAGGGTTCACAAACTTCCCTCATAACAGAGAATGCAGCACAACTATTATCATTACCGCGACAAAAATGTAACAATGTGATAACGGGTATCGGAGACAAAAATAATGCTTGCAAAGGAGTTGTTACCATAAACTGTAATTCCCGGAATGATTCTTACACTTTCAATACAAATGTTTTTATTATGAAAAACTTGACAAAATGTTTACCGACTCACAGTTTCGCTAAGCCAACATGGGCATACTTAGACAATATATTCCTTGCCGATCCAGATTTTAACATCAGCAGCCCTATTGATTTATTATTTGGCGCTGACATATATTCGAATATAATTATGGATGGCATATGCCGACTAGACAACACCATTCCCGTTGCTCAACAAACGCAGCTTGGGTGGATCTTGTGTGGACATGTGAACAAAACTTTACAATGTAACGTCATACAGGTTGACACTGATCAGTTACGTAGATTTTGGGAAACCGAAGAAATATCCGAATCTACGTCTCTTTCTTCGGATGATGAAAGATGTATACAATTTTACAAGTCTTCCACGCGCCGATTGCAAGACGGAAGATACGAAGTAAGGCTCCCTCTTAAAACGGGCATTAAGGAACAGTTGGGTAAATCAAAGTCGAAAGCTATTGCCCAATTTAGCCACTTGGAACGAAAATTTGCAACAAATCAAAATATTGCCTTTGAATATAAATCCTTTATAAACGAGTACTTAGCGTTAGGTCATATGACACGAGCTTTAGGTAACACGAAACTCGAATGTTTCTTACCGCATCATTGTGTACTGCGTGACTCAACAACAACGTCATTAAGAGTAGTATTCAATGCGTCATCAAAAACTACAAGTGGCCAAAGTTTGAATGATCTAATGTATAAGGGCCCAAATTTACAGCAAGACCTTCAGTTCCTTATACTAAAATGGAGACAATTTCAATTTGCTTTTACGGCAGACATCGAAAAGATGTTTCGCGGAATTTTAGTACATCCAGATGATCAGGCCTTACAGAAGATCGTGTGGAGGGAGAGCCCCACAGATATACTACAGGACTATCAATTAAAAACTGTCACATATGGCACGAAAGCAGCTCCATTTCTCGCTATGATGACTTTGAGACAGTTGGCTAGCGATGAAAGGAGCAAGTATCCAGAAGCAGCAAAGGTCCTAGAAGAGTCATTTTATATGGATGACTTGGTCCATGGGGCTCACAACATATCCACAGCTTATCAATTACAACAAGAT